GTCGGAGGGAACTTGCGCGATCATCGAAAAGAAGCCTTTTGATTCTTACCAAATTTTACTCAATTTTTCGGACACTCTGTATTCTGCCGATTCATAAATGCATCTACAAAGTTGCAGGAGTCACTGACTGATTGAATCCACGAAAAGTCTTTAAAACTGGATAGATCTTTCTTCTGAGTAATTTTAACAATACAGAACATTAATTTTTGTTGAGGAAATTAGCCGGTAAAAAATTATGAACAAAATTTCGGGGCTGAGCAAATTGCCCGCCGTTTTGCGGTAACAGAGCGAAAAAGGTTGGCCCGGCGAGGAAATAAATTTTTTTCGAAAAATTTGCGCCAACTACGGGTCATTTGCTGGGTTAACACATTAAGTGTACAACTCCATTACGGAAAGGGTTTAGCGCGGAGATCGTATGGAAATGAAAGAACATAGAAAATCCCGCGCCGAAATAAACAAAACGAACGACGAAATTTCTTCTTCAGACTAATTTCGCTTGCAGGATTGGATTCACTGAATTTTCAAATGCTGCGGAGTATTTTGGGGAAAAGTTTACAATATTATAGCCAGTTTTCCTTCAGTATTCCTTGTGTACTTTATAGGCACTTTAATATATCATGTTCATTCGAATTAAAATTCTATTCTATAAGTAACTTATAAGGGAGTATTTTTCTGTGTGAGAGAGTTTATCCGGTCCTGCAGGACCGGATAATTCCGCATACAAATTCATGTTTAGTCTGACACGGTCCGACAATTAGAATTTTAGAAATGCTAACGATTATATGATTTTCGTAGCTGAAATTCTGCTTGATTAATTCTTTACTAGCGCTCTAAACTGTCGGAAATAAAATTTTACTCGTCCGTTTCGCGTGATGCGCTCTTTATCTACGTCGAAATTAAAATTTGCATTTGCGCTACATTTACATATACATTTGTAACAAAATTTTAATTCTCCGCCCGACATGTTGTGCTCCTGCCGTTAAAAGTCATCGTTACAGTTTCAGTTCCGCTCTACGAAATTTTTCTCGATTTATTACAAAGAAGAATTTTCTACAGAAGATTGATCCGAATAATTTCAAAACGCCTAAGAATTTTTAGAATCCTCAATTTATTCCAATTTTTATAAGAAACACAGAACTCGTAAGTGAATATTTTTCATTAAAAAAAAATCTGTAAAGTAGTGCTCGTCACACATACGCTCCACAGGAATCATCAATGAATGTGTGACACTGTTTCTATAACTTTGTTAATTGAGATAAACGCTTAATGACCAATTACTAGAGCAAGTGTAAATCCTCATGAGATTCGCACGATCTCCTGGCCCGGTCGAACGTGAAGGATAATCTCGATGACATCATCTCGTAATGAAAAACGCTCCGGCAAGTGATTCATGAGAGGCTCTGTTTTGTTAGAATACGTCTTGTAATGATTGCGGATTATTTTTGTTTAGCGCTAATTTGTAGGTAATGAAACCACGGGGAGGATCCGTTGAAAGGAAAGAGGAAAGTATGATTATATCTGCTCATACATATTTATGGCGTTTAATCAAAATAATCAAGATAATCGCTGTTAAAATAACAAAATATTGCGGTTAGAATAAAACGCCAGAAGGGTTGAAACGCCCACGACACGACGGGCTGTATAGTTCCTAAGCTACTTTCGAGCTAACCGAAATATAAATATTTTTCAAGCACAAAGACAAAACTTAGATGGAATATCGCAACTCCACCCCATCCATTAGAACCCCTTCAACGATGTAAATGCGTGGCCCCCGGCTTATTTTGCCTCTTTTAGGTTATATGTATTCGGATCCGGCGCAGCCTACTGTAAGCCATCTGGCAGACATCAAACGATTTTATGTAGATTCGCATTTAAGAAAATAAAAAAACTTTAAAACAGTGCTTAATTTGAATTCGACATGTAAAGAAACCAAAATACGGAGCCAAGGTAAATACCGCAAAAGGGGATGGATGTTATATATAAAATGGTTTTACGTTGTGTCGAGTTTTGTTTCGTTTTTTATACTGCACAACCACTGAAATTTTTATTCTACAGCCAGCGACTCGTATGATTCCTTAATTTATTCGGATTGATAAAAATGTTTTAAGCGAAAATTTTTCTTCGCAAAAATATATCCTTGTAATGGATGATTTAACTTTATAAAATAACTCTAACCCTTTTCATAATCCACTTTTTATCCAGTATCAAATGGGATGCAAATTATATTGTCATCAAATGCGCGATTTTCAAGAAAATACAATTTAATCAATAGACTTGCTAATCCAGCGACAAGTATAGAAGAAAATTTGAATTCGGTAAAAGTGCGACAGGGTTTCCCGTTCGAGAGGAAAAATAGCCGCAGATGTAATATTCAAGCGGGTATAAATAATACATGAAATATACGTTGGTAGTGTTCCTTTCAATTCCCATGAAATCTCTAAACCGAGCTGAGCAGAACGAAGTTTGATACACGTTCTATGTGTGTGTATCCCGGAATAGAAACGTAATCTCGTGTCAGCCCGGGCGATAGATGACTCCGCCATCTGTTCCTCCTGCGATAAGTTCGCACGAAGTTAGGCGAAGTGTAGTTATGAGACAAACTAGTCTCAACCCTTCTCGCAATGGTGCAATTTCTCGCACTCAATCAGCAATGATTCATCGCGTTTCGTTTAGCGTAAATTCGGAGAGGAAAAAACCGGGCGCGATTCGCAGCAAACCAAAGCGCAAAGATTTCCTATCCTGCGAGCCGACGGAAAAACGGCCGGCAGGAAAAACACCGAGCGAAAAATCCAAAGAAAAATCGCGAAATCTTTTGGTGCCGAGGTTGAGTCGTTATAATGGTGTGAACGAGCAGGTGCTCGGGCCATTTCTTGGGTACAGCAGGAGCCGCCGGTCTTCCTGCAGCTGTATATACGCACTCTCAGACGGTCTCCTTACAGATTTATTGTCGTTTCTCCGTTACAGCTACCCTCGCCGGTCGTTATTATTGTTTCGTTGCCAGCTCGAAAGCTTCAATAACAACCATGTAACACATAAACGAACAGAGATTACCCGCGTTTCCATATTGTTTTTCGTCTACAAAGACGCCGGTTTATTGGAATATTTTAGGCGAATTCGGGGACAGCCTGTACGGAGGCTCTATTCGAAATGAATTATATAAGGGAACATTGCAATTTTCCGCTCGACTCCGGTTGTTCTTTTGTGCCCAATAGATCGGAATAAAATTAAGAGACCTCTATGTTTATATGAGAGAACTAACAGATGCGAGAGGATATTCCGGGGCGTTGATCGACACTCACTGGGTAGCGTTTACCCCCTTTCGAATTTTTACCCCGATGTTTGTGCGAATAACCCATAACAATGTCCTGTAATTATCGGCTAATTATTGTTACGGAGTTAGAGGAATAATGCACGGCATTTCGCTTCTTCTGTTCGAATAGGCGTTATGTTATAATAGATATTTATATTTAATGCTCGGGTTATGACGTTGTTGGAACCTCCTTTTATTTACTGTGTTAAGGGTAGAATATGTTGATTTTATTTTGGAAAAATGGGTAATTCGATTCGACAACCCTTAATTGTGTGATGATGGGGTGTTAAGTTTCATATGAATTTTAGAGAAGGTATAAGAACAACCCCTAAAATCGGTTCTGGATAGCTCAAACCAAATTGAATTTTACTAGTCTTAACAATTAAACGTGTATCAATCTATCTACCCACATAAGTTCGTAGGAAAGAGCGCACTAAACGACGCATTTTTTTAATTTACCGTTTTTTCTCGATTTGTACATTAATTAATTAAGTTTCATTGGCTACTTTGATACGTCAAATCTCTTATTTTGTTTAATCACTCACATCGGTTTTAATTAAAATTATCACGAAAGATACGGGCGCCGAAAACGGCTCTCTAAATTAGTGGTGTCGTAATGAAAGGAATCGTATATGTAATAATGGGTTTTATTAAGGAAAAAAAAACCGAATACACTACTCGGAACATCTGTTAGTCGACGGTGTATTATGGATTTTATGGGAATGGGCTACGCGGATTAAACTGGTAATTTTTATTTAACTAGCGTTAATAGAAATTCATTAATCACTATAATATTGATTTCAACTTATTAGGAATGTTTGTTGTAGTATAATCAAAAGATAATGGAAATACCTTATGGAAGAATTACAAGCTATGGTTTATTTTATTTAAAGGATTGAAATAGCTACTTTTTAAAGGTTTTTTTTAACATTTTTTTACGATTTTTAGATGTGGTTCCAAATGGTGTATTACATTATTTACTCATTGTGTTTCTTTAATTTTTTAATAAACTAGAACCAATTAATGAAAAATTCAAAATCTAAAAATCCTATAAACTTACAAGCATTTTTATTACGAAACCAATCCATTCAAATCCTTCATATTCCGAAATTTTCTATAAAAAAACCCCACCTAAAACTTTTTCTATAAATTCTTCTTAACTTTCAAAAATTATCTTATCTTCCATCCACTTTACTTTTCGTCTAGCGCCTTTCTAACAAACAGCCCCATCTACACGTCCTTGATTGAACGAAATGTCCAATCTTGAAAGCTGCTGGAATTCTGAGAACGACGAGCAGGAAACAGGAGCAGGGCCGCGTCAAATCAAATTACCGGGCCGGGAGAAAAGATTAAAACTCGGTCGGTGATTCGGTAAAAGTGGACTTGCATCGGACTGCGGATTGCACTCCGGGTAAAAGCTTCGTCTTTCGCCACCTGCGACCGCCGATTTAGAACGAATGGAATTGGGATGGATGATAAAAAAAATCGTAAATTGATGGTGATTTTTTGCCGATAGCCATCGCCTCGCGATTTCCACAGGGGAGCTTTTTAAAATGATTTAATTTCACAGCGAATTATTCTCCATTAATTAGAACTTGGTGCATCTCGATCAAATCTTTTATTTTTCTCAGTTGAGTGGGATAAGAGAGAAGAATCTCTTGGGTTAATAGATAAAATAAAACAGTGTTTTATCAAACTTTTTATTAAGCAACATTATACGTACGTACCAAAACTATAAGAATCCTAAATCTATTTCAATGTTTGTAAAGATTACAACGTAAAACATGTAAAAAATCGTGTTGACTTGAAGTATTCTTTCCCATATTAATACTTATGATATACATACAACGTGGACCAAACAAGGAAGAGGCGTCGACAGATTTTTCACGTCGTTAAGCTGACGAAAAAACATTGAAAAAACATGATTGCTACACAACACTAATTAGTATTATTCATAATTAGTATTCGCACTATAGCTAAAAATCTCTTTACTATAAATTCATTTTGTTTAAGAAATACTCATCACAGAAGCTAGTAGATTGAATATTTTTGGAACAATTTTGTTCAAAAATCTTCAAATGATTTTCCTAATACTTTTGATAGAATTACCTAAAAATGACGAATCGGGATTAACAGAAAAATTCGTCGTAAACAAACCGAGGGGCACTCGAAAATATTCAAATAGGATATGTTTTTTTTTTCACATTACAAAAAATACTGCTAAAATTGCATCCTTATTGCATCAACATATTCGATAATTACAATTTCATAAGTTGAATTTATAGTTCATAAGTAAAAACCGTGCCGTTTGTGTGAATTATATTGCAAATTGCGATAATACTGTTACAGCTACGGTGATAGGAGAATTGTAATGAGGATCGTTTTGATTTCATCTCTAATCCTTCTAATTATTACATAATAAAATATCTCTCTTTCTTAACGTGTTTCATAGAATATTTTACAGTGTACAAAATCCTACAACTTCTGAACCGAAATGCAAATTTATGAAATTTTAGAAGTAACAATTACTGACAAAATTTAATTGATGGTTGTTACAAAAATCGGCTAATTGAGCTTTTATTTCAATTGGGGAAAATTGAGTATCAGAATTGTTGCAAATTTTGCATTGCAGTTCAGTACATAGAGTAGAGTGAATCCGACTGTCACTGAACAAAAATGTTATTGTTAGATATTCATTCTCTATTTATTTGTATTTTACTAACGCATTTATTGACTTAGAGGAATCGATTAAGACCCAAATTGGTACTAAACAATTATTTACCAACAAAAACCATTCTACTAAAATCATTGCAGGTTCTTATTAAATAATTTGTGTAGGTGATAAAACTACGCATTGAGCCCTTTCTATACTTGCATGATTATGCAGGATTATTTTGCTAATTTTGCAATAAATTCCAGAATCTGTCGCATAATAATCAAAACCACCCTGTATAATCACAATAAACCGTATCAAAAATATTCTACCAGTCTCGGTATAATATGTGCGGAATAATTGGAACACGATTCAGTTCTATTTCGCATTTCTCACTCGAGAGCTTTACTCGTCCTTCCATCGCCGATGACTATCTAACAATAGTTCCTCGAACAAAATTTTCCAAAAGAAAACATCTACAGCGCAAGCGCAACTTCACAGCTCACTCACTCCAAAGTTTTATACAAAAAGGCAGCACTAGGCGGTTGATTTTTTTTAAGTTTCCATGAAACATTTATACGTGTTCGTTTTGTTTCGTTACACACTTGGAGAATTTCACAAAGCTCGATACACCTAAACAAGTCTCAAAGTAATTGCGCATACGTTTTCTCCTCCTAGAGGATTTTACATTACAAATATCATGAACTTGGTTGGTATAAACTCTTCATTTCTCTTGTACAGGGTGTCCCAAGTTCAACATCTGTTTTAAGGTAATTTTGGGACATACTGTACACTTTATCGCATAACTTACGGGTGCACAATATGCTAGAAGCGTGCAATTTCTTCCCTTATTTCTACAATTGCAGGACATTTTTTTACATTCGAATATGGGAATGTGATAAATGGAAATCAATATGGCGCAATTACTAGAAGCATTGCCAATCCACAATCTTGCTAAAGCTAGCTGGTCAATTTTTGAATATAACTATATAATCTTCTTAACCTTATCTTAAAACTTGATAAACGACTCTTACATTCGGAAATTATATCAACGAAAGAAGGCGAAAAATAAAAATAAAAACGAAAATAATACAAACATTTTACTTAAATCAGTACAGTATGTAAACGCGTTAAATATAAAATAATAGAACTAAAACAGAAATGTCGTGGTCGACAAAAAAATACATTAAAAATCATTGTTGCTTGAAAACTCTTGGTAATTATTAGAAATCAAGTTGGCAAACCTTTTCTATACGTCATCCATATTTATCCCTTTTATTATCTTACAGTCAAAATAAAAGCACAAAAATCACAAATACCAGCGACTTTAAGATAATAAAAGAGCTAAACACCTTCAAGAGAAATAGGGTGTAAACAAGTATCGGATTGAGTTATTAAATTATGCGAAATATATTGATCGTAAGAGATTTAACATAGAGATTAACTGTCATATCTGTCAAAATTTGTAATTGTCATGTCATTGCATAGATGTCATTGATATAAAAATTTTTGCAACATTTGTATACGTACAGATTGATTCATTTTAGTTTGCAGTATATGGTATGAGTGCAACAAAGACAACTTCTGTTCGTTACAAATTTGTATACTTCTTCTTCGTTAGAAAATCTCCTTTCTCACTATTCGAAACTTGCATGCGTGATAGTAAAAAATTAAGTATGTCAAAATGTCAACGTCAAATGTCAATGTCAACGAGGTGTCGCATGATACGATGATTCAATCCGATACTTCTTTTTCAAGCAACGTTATATCGAAACGATATAATAGAACGATGAGCTTCAAAATAGTTAATAATAATGTAGATGTAGATAATTGAGTACGATGGCGCGAGGTCTGTTTAGCCAGAAGACGGGATCAATTTGCCTTCCGCTGCCTTGGCTTTGTTCTGACGGACGACTTCGGCCCTCTTTTCCTGCAAAACAATTATCAATTTAGTTTGATATGGGTAAGTGCTAATTTGTTTGCGATATGATCAATTCCATGAGTTGAACAAAGAAAGATTATTAAAATAAGTGGTTAGAGTGAGAAAGTTGCCATGTCACAATTTCACTCACTTTTTACTTTATATGATACTTATGAAAGTTGTCTTTGTTGCTCTTATAGATCATATTGCATACAAATTTGCTAATCTGCCAATCCTGGTACTTTCGGGACACCCTGTATAAACTACAGGAGGTACCCAAACTTTTCATGAATTCTAATTATTCTACAAACTATTATGAAGATTGAAAAATTAAAAAAAAAAACGAGCAAAAAAGTAAACTGATAAAGAAAAACTTTCAACAAAGTGACTAAAAAAAAATGATCACAGCACTATCAGCTCTAAAGCGTGTCTCAAAACTTACTGTACAAAACATTTTTAATCACATTTCAAAAGTTTTCCGCTCGATTAACATCCAACAAAGCCAATACTTACGTATGTCTTCAGCTTTTCTTTTTGCTCCTGCTCGATTTGCTCTCTTCTGGTGTGGGCTTGCTCTAATTTCTCCTGAATGGAGCTTCCCAATTGTTGTAATTTAACGCTGTTTTGTTCGCGTACTTTAGACACCTGATCTTCCTGCGTATACAATGAGAGCACATAAACATGCAAGCGGTGAATGAAACAAATAATAATAATAATGTGATAATATCGTAACGAATGCAAATAGAGAAAAGTGCGCTCAAAAATAATCAATAAACGCACAATTCTTCATCACTAGCTTACGTTCAATTGCAAAAAGATCTCTTCGAAATGAAAGCTTTTTAAAGATAAGTAAATTCGTCCAGAAAAAAATACATCAGGTAAGTGCGCTGGGCAAGGGCGAAATCTTTTTGCAAGAGAACAAAAAAAAACGTAACGAAGAAAGGAACGCGCCAAAAAGGCTAAATTACTCACGTGCTCCTTGAGACGTTCGAGCATCTTCTTGATATTGTCGTCACGTTGCTGGGAGGCGGTTTTCAATTTATCTTCTATGGCCGATCTGACTTCTTCGGTTTGCATTTCGAGCGAGAGACGGGTTTTCTCCACGTTTTCAATGTGATCCTAAATAACCAAACGATAAATAAATCTAGTGAATGCAACGGGATTTTTACTGGTTATGTGAAAAATGTAGAGAGTCCCGCCAAGAGTAAAGAGTAAAGAGTAAAGAGTAAAGAGTAAAGAGTAAAGAGTAAAGAGTAAAGAGTAAAGAGTAAAGAGTAAAGAGTAAAGAGTAAAGAGTAAAGAGTAAAGAGTAAAGAGTAAAGAGTAAAGAGTAAAGAGTAAAGAGTAAAGAGTAAAGAGTAAAGAGTAAAGAGTAAAGAGTAAAGAGTAAAGAGTAAAGAGTAAAGAGTAAAGAGTAAAGAGTAAAGAGTAAAGAGTAAAGAGTAAAGAGTAAAGAGTAAAGAGTAAAGAGTAAAGAGTAAAGAGTAAAGAGTAAAGAGTAAAGAGTAAAGAGTAAAGAGTCGAGAGTATAGTTGATAGTAAAGAGAGTGTATAGTTTACCTTTAGCTTGGTTTTCAAATCGGTGATGTACGCCTCCCGTTTCTCCTCGTGAATGCCCATTTTCTGTTCGAGAGCGTTACGAGTAGCAGTGATAAATTCGGAAGTCAACTCGTTCTTCTTGCGCCCGACCTCTTCGATTTTCACTATTTTCGAAGACAAAGCGGCCATTTTGCTCGATTCGAGTTGCTAAAAGAATCCAACCAGAATGTAATATATGGAATGGCTCGGATAAAAAGGATAAAGTTTACCTGTCTTCGCTCTTCGGCGGCCTTCAGTTTCTCCTCGATGTCCTGGAAGGACACGCTGCATCTGGGCGACAGCGACAACTTCGGAGGAGTCGCCTTGATGTCGGGCTCCCCGATGATGACCTCATAGCGCAGGCCGCCTTTGGTTTTCTCTTGGCAGCGAACTTCAGTTGCTGCAATGCAAAAATTATAAAAATTTTCGATGCTACGAAAATTGTAGGGAATAGTTTTATCTGACAAATAAAATATGCACAATAATTGCTGCAATATGTTGCACTGTGTGAAAACGCTCTAATAGCCTGATAAATGATGCATAAACGGAATATTTTTTTGGAAAAATCGATAAAAACGGACAACAAAGAAAAGTATCTAGGTCAATGGCAAAATTATTTCTAAATAGAGGTCTTCTAACTCAAATAATTAATAATGCGTTAAACTGTATTATTTTCCCAATTACCAATTTTTCATATTATTGTATGTTAAGGAAAATGCTAGTTATATTATGGAAATATTATGGAAATGTTCGTTTGTTCCCAAATCGATCAGCGTACAATTTCATGAATTTTTAATACCAATATTTTCAATGTTAAAGCGTATAAACAATCATTTTATGAAACATTCTTGAAGAAAGCACAGCGTATAGTAATGGCATAAAATATCCTCGTATTTCAATCGATTTAAAGGAATTATTGGAAGTTTAGGATCACGCAAAACTCCAATTAGCCTACTGATTATACATTTAAATAAACTAACAAAATAATTATTGCAAATACATATTTAAAAACTAGATAAACAGTTTATCGGTAAAGACAGTTCGTCAGTAACAGCAAATGGAATTATAAAGAAAAATGGTAATATGAAAATTCATTGTGGTAATTTAATAACTTGTTTTAGTATACTTATTTTAAACAAAAAGAGTATGTAAATTTTTTAATTGCATCTTATCAACAAACCGCTAGACATTTCCCTATTTGTACTTACAACCATTCAACGAACTCTTAAATATTTACATAAGACTCTCGCATCTACTTGCACATGAATATTAATAGAACATACAATTTATTTATCTTCAACGAACCAAGAAGGCAAAGAATTTGTTTTATTATACTAAAAACAATGAAATTATAAACGTTTCTCATTAACACGTAGCCAAGATAGAAGACATAAAATAAAAGTACTCAGCTATTAAAATTGCAATTAGAATTCCAAATTGCAATAAGTAATTAGATTTATTAAGAGTTATTTTTATGGTCAATTATTTATTTACACGTATAAAAATTGAACTAATGAAAACATTGTAAACCAAGCCTAGTGCATATAAATGTATTTTGTCATGTTTAACTGTATACAAGTGACTAGCAAAAAATAAAAATTTATAATTGGAGAAAAAGTAATCCATTTTGGCTGTAACAGCTTTTCCTTATGTAGAAAACTTTCACGGCAAGTATATTTTCAAATCATTTCAAACGACATTCAGGGCGTAATCAATATTGCAATAGAAAGTTAAAAGCAAATCTAGTTGGAAAAATCATCAACAAATTAACAAAACAAAACATTTCTAAAAAGATTCATTAATAATATTCGCAATCAAAATTGCCCTTTTTTGACCTTGTTAATAAAAAAATCGTTACAAGTTCAATAACATGTGTTGTTCAGATCGTTATTTTTATCGTTAAAAATTGACCAGTAAACAAATTAATAAATGCGGGAAATTAATCGCAGGTTCACGGCATTTCCTGCTCAAAAATTAAAAAAAGATATTATCCGCATTATCTAAAAACACCGATGATATTGCAGCGATTATTATTACGAAATTAACTTTCATTTAAAGAATTTTCCACAAAAATATGTTTAATTTTTTTTTGTATTTTTACTCAAACTATTAACTCTAGATTTTTCTACCATATTATTTATTCGATATTTTTAAAGATATTTCTATAATTAGTAACGGTACAGCTCAATCTTTCGTAAAATTTCACTTATGGAAAATTAAAGCACCTACCCTTAATATTTAATACTAACAAATCAATCAATAATCGATTTCTGTATGAAACCAAAAAATGATATTAAGAAACATATACGGGTCATAATTTGTATAATTCAATAATATTAATGTAATCAATTTTAATCAAACCAGAGCCTACCCTTGGGTACATTATTTACCTGCAGAAGTCTTAATTTATAAAATGTTTAATAATTATTTCTAAACTAACATTTCTAAAGATATTCGATCATTCTAATATTTATTAGTGAATTTCCTATTATTTAATGATATATCAGCCCATCAATATCATATTCCCTGTATAGTAAATACCTATAGATATACAGGGTTTTAAATAAAAAAAATTCTGAAACACACCCCTTGCAACTTTAATTTACATTTTTTAGATCATTTAGAATTAGAAGCACCCTGTATAGTTACAGTGGAATATTCCACAACAAAAACAACTCTTTTTTTCTTATTTTTTTTTTAATAAAATAATTAAAAACAGCTTGTTTTTACCACTCTTTATTCTTAGAAAACTCTACCTGAAACAATAAATTAAATTTCTAAACTGTATCATTGCCCTTTAGTCACAGATTTATAGAATCGACACAAAGAAACTACCAACCAAAGTCTCCCAAATTTATTACATTATCAAACATTCAATAGCCCCATTAACTTACCCTTTACATCCATCATTAAAAAAATTACAAATTAGAAAAAGCCGTTAAAATTTAAAAACGCTCTGAGACGAACAACAACAACACAGCACGGACTGGTAAGGTAAAAGCAAAGCAAAATCGGCGACGAAAAACGAGAGAATGAAACTCGACTGAGACGAAAACGAAAACGAACGACGAACGTGGGCGAATTTTAAAATTCAAGCAGGTTTATCGCAACAGAATCGCACTTCAACTCTTCGGCCCGTCCCGCGGAAAAAAGAGCAAAACCGCAGAAAAAGCAGTAGCACTGGAAGGATCTTTCCTTTTTGTTGTTAACAAACGACGATGATGATAAAGGAATTTACCGTGAATATATTTTTAGAAACGAATCTCGCATGTGTGCATTGTGTATGTGCCGGTTCAGGTTCAGACCGGCCGGTATATAACGTATGGGATAGTGGGGGATAGAATCTGGTTAACAGCTGTTGGAAAAGGATGGGTGGTTTAGGTAGGGCCGCTTTGAACGGACAAAGGCACGTTGTGGAAGGTCCCAATAAAATCGAGACGGAGCACAAATAATTACAGAGCGTTCTAAAGGTGGAATTATGCGGTGCCAGTAACTGGTACAAGTTATAAATTCCGGTATAATTTTTTCCGGGTTTTTTTTCTACAAAGCATAAAAATCCACCACTGGATCAAGTCTACCGTTTTATGGATATACGAATGTGTAAAGGGTTGCCTGTTGTACTCTAATTAAAATTTCTGAAAGATTAACTATAGTGAACAGTAGATAAATCCATTTCAGGACTCTATTTAAATCCAGTTTTCTCCCTAGTTTGAAACTTATTTTCTAATTGACCTAGAATATTGCTGAAATTTAACAATTTTTTTAGTCACAATAACAATATGACTACCAACTCCTTCGTTATTGATAAACAATGGGTAAATAGTCTATGGACCTAGCCCCATCAAAAATGAAGAAGAAAGAAGTGATGGACAATAACAAAAGTTAAATTGACTGTGAAATAAATCATAGTGTGAATCATCCTTTGGGAAACAATGATTCGCAAACGAAGAATTTTCGCAAAGTTGAAGCTTACTCGAGCGTGTAGCATGAACTAAAACAATGCAATTTGGACAAGTAAATAAACTTTTTGTAATGGCAGAGGAAGGGGTAGGGCAATAATCAGCTCCCTGTTTTATTGTAGCTAAAATGATGCATCGATTCTTATTCATGCTGTCTATATAATGCATTTAATTCTATAGTGGTTTGTCTTTGTAATCTGTATGTCCCAATTTAAAATAATATTATTGTCGAATGAATAGTTCGTTCGTTAAGCGAAAAAATTGGATTAATTCGTCGTACATTCACCTCACGGAAACGTCATAAATTCCGAAATTAATATAAAATTATACTCACATACAAACTGCACACTTCTCGGTTGATCTTCTATGAAGGACCTCGACTTTGCTTTCAACTTCGATACAGGCATCTGTGACTTGTGTACTGAAAAATTACGAAATCTCATGTAATGTCGTTCGATTCAATATTTCATTTGATTACAATGACAGTACATTTGTCAATGTATCGCTAAATCAACGTAGTCAGTCCTGGGATATTGACAAATGACAAAATTTCACATTTCGCCCAAAAAATTCGAATTATGCTCGAAAAGTCGTATTACTTATTATTATTGTTAGTAATGTTTGATGTAATTATATTGATGGGTTTAATTAAGTATGTACTAGTCAGTTAACTTAAGCGAAGTTGTTCCCGTACTGTTAAAGAAGCCGGAGAAGGGAGAAGGTCGATGAGAAATTCTGCAAATTTAGTTACTGGTTTGAAGGTGTAATGTAAATAATAAATTACGACCTTATGTTGACTTTTTTTACACATTTTTTATAATCGTATAGGAAGCATCAAATTGTCCAAAGCAGATGCAAATAAATCATATAAGAAAGTATTTTTTACATTCTATTTTTTGCCATTCCCGTTTTTTGCAAGACACGGTGTTAATGGGGAAAGTGAGTTAGGCGGAATGTAAGTACAACGCAGCAGGAACTGGATGAATCACCGTCGGTTTGAGTAGAACAGACGATGTCCCAATTCGTCCCAATTGCAGGAGAAGCTGTTTGGAGAAAAATAAATAAATCCTGATGATTGGAAGAACTCAGATTTGTGACAGTTTGCTTAGACAATAAGCAGCGAATTAGGTTGATTAAAATTGTCATCTGCTATATTACCTCAATTCCAATATCCTGATCAATTCGATTTAAGCGAAGTCCTACATATCGATAAGGACCTGGAATGCACGGGTTATGCGCCGGGATTGCAAACTATGCAATGCATAACATTACAATTAATCGAAATGTATTAGTGGAGTTCGATTAGGCCCGAGGACCTACCACAATTCTGATGAAAATCGTATTCCATATTAATTGCAGCGATTTATTTATAGCTTTATAAGCATGTCTGCAGACAATAAAAAACAAATTTTAACCCGCAAGCCGGCCGTGACTCATAACATGCGTTCTGGGGAAAACCCCAATCATTTAAAATTTATGATATTTACTGAAAATGATAAGATTTCGTAAACTCTTCCACAACGGTTTTCCAGAAAACGATCGTCGAGAAATTACGCCTACCCCAATCACGGCGTGATCACCTTCACCTTCGTCACCCTTCGACAAACCGCATAAGGTGAGCGAAAAAAAAAACGTCGGCAAGGAATCGATACGTCGAAATAAGAAGGCAACAGACTTACCGGTGGCGGTCAGCGGAGCCCGGCATGTGTGGCAGAAGCACTGCATCACCGATTCCCTGACCAGTCCGATCAGCATCTTGGCGGATTCTCTTCGTCGTCCTCACACGCGAAACGATAGGGCTGCGGCCCGGCGACAGAGCGACCGTGCTGGGAAATGCCGTTGGCGAGAGGGTTTTCCTGCTTCCGCTAGGCGCTGGTCGCTTTTCGCGTCGTCACTGACGGAAAGGGGAGAACCCGGGGACCGGCGAACGGCGAAAACGGCCGCGCGGCGTTGTCGAATCGCCCCGGAAAATCCTCGCCGATCGAACAGGTGTCTCGATTTATATGCTAACTGGAACTCGGATTTTCGTTGCGGTGATTTGTTAAATGTTATGAAGGAAAATCGCCATAAAGATTATAACGATAAAATCTTAAATAAGACCTAGGAGATCTAGGAGTAGACTTAGGAGACCTAGGAGGAAAGGATTATATCGTTGGTAGAAAGTAATTTTTTTTCAATTTCATACAAAATAATTAATCAGGGCTTGATTGGTCAATCAGTAGCTCGAATTATTGAAAATTGGTATTTTTATGAAGTATTATTAATAATAGAATAGGACTACCCATAGACAAAGCAAGTTTATACTTTGTTTTTCAATGTTTTTTTGGCTTATAAAAATGCAACAATGCAAATATCTCTTTAGCAAGCATAGTGCAAAATAAAATTTCGAAAATCGGAAAACATTGTTGTAAATAAACCCGTTCCATAAGGAATAGAACGCCGCGCAAAAAAAATACAATAAAATCTGGCATATAAATTGCAGCATCGAGGAAGAAAAACGAATAAAAAGGGCCCGATCGAAAACAAAAATCTTGTAACGCGGTTTTTCCGGGTGCAGCAGGCAATAGGGCAGGACGGCCGAGACGCCTCGAGACGCGGTGACGCAAAGGGCGGTCGATACGTCGGGCGTAGTCGACCGACAGAACGACGCCAGGCGTCTTCTTCGGCTGAAATGCACGTCGAACGCTCTATCGGGCGCCGTGCGTGCCAGCGGGGCGGTAATGTGGTGACGACCCCCCCGCACCGGGCGAAAACCCCGCGGTCTACGCGGACCTTTCGACTTCCCACCGATGGATTATTAACTAAAATTCCGGCTCTTTTCGCCGGTAATTCGAGATTATCGATCCGTGTCATTAGATATGCACGATTGGTTTTCGCTTCGGATTTTTAGAAATCGCACGTGGAATAAAACAACGGATTTGTAAAGTGTTTCATTTAGTTACATTTATAGCAATACATTCTTTTAAAGAGAAGAATCTAGATTACATCGTGAAGAAGTTATTAGTCTATATAACTAATGAAGACATTTCAATAGAATTGGGGAATATGCCATTATAATTGGTACATTAAATTTAGATTGCAATCTTAATTTCATTCGTTTCGATAATAAATATGAACAAAACGGTTCTCTAAATGAGTATACAAATAAGTTTTAAAACTGCCTAGTACTGAACTGCAAATAAAACACTCAAAATAAAAAAAAAACACTTGTAAAATATAAATACTTAATCCTAAATAAAAAAAATCACAATAGTATCTCCAAGTAACTAAATTTAACGCAATTAGAGCAGCCTTACCCCGTGCGTTAGCTCTCCTCGCCGCTCGAATGCGACTTGACGTGCACCGAGTAATCCGAGGTGCTCTCGAAACTGCTGTTGCAGAAATTACAATTGATGTTTTCCTTCGTCTCTTGCGTCACCACCATCAGCTCCTTGTTCTCCTTGGTTTTCTTGTCGTTGTGCCGCTTCATGTGCACCATCAAACAGCTGTTTTGGGTGAAAGCCTTGTTGCAAACCGGACAAACGTAAGGTCGCTCTCCGGTGTGGGATCTTCGATGGACTATAAGCGTACTAGAACCGTTGAAACCTATTGCAAAACCAGAAGTATTAATGTGATACTAATTTATTAGACTTCAGGCTCACCTTTATTGCATATATCACAAATATGAGATTTTTCTCCGGTATGAGTTCGCATATGTTTGGTGAGTTCATTGGATTGGCAGAAGGATTTTTGGCAAACGCAGCATACGTAAGGTCTTTCGCCTGTATGAATTCTAACGTGGGCGATGAGATTCGAACGAGTAGAAAACGCTTTAGGGCACATCAAGCATTTGTGCGGCCTTTCACCTAATAAGTAACAAGCTCTGTAGTTTACAGATTGTTTAAAGTATAATGTAAATACCTGTGTGTGTCCTCATGTGTTTCTCCAAATCCTGAGCTTGCCTGCAGCCTTTATCGCATACAACGCACCTGAAAGGTCGCTCCCCCGTATGGGTCCTCAGGTGAATTTTGAAGTTACCACTATGAGCGAAGCCTTTGTTGCACTCTTTACACTTATAGGGTAAATCTGATGAATGAGTTTTCATGTGCCTTGTGAGCTTGGTGGTGTTGGCGAAAATCTTGAAATCATAAAATAAATCGTAAAATTCGTGATGATATTGTAGTCATATCATACCTTATTACATGTTGAGCATTGCCTAGCAGATTCAGGTTTACTTTCCTTCTTAAAGGTGGTTTTCTCGTCTTCTTTTTTAACTATAGCATCAGCTGTTACTTGCGGTTGAGGTTGGTCTATGTATTGTACCTGATGCTGCGACTGCATCTAAATTTAATCATAAATTAAAAGAATTAAATTATACTTAGTAACTTACTTGTACTGATGTTACTTCAGTATTGTGCAGTACAGTAGTCTGTTGAAGGGGCATCGAGTAAGAGCTGTTGTAAACTTGAACTTGTCCGACGCCTTCTACGTTAAAAGTGCCTAACTGATTATAATCGATTTGGGTCATCTGGGATTGGTTGTTTTGAGGTAACGACATGAAATGGTTATCTTGCGGTATGTTTTCGATTAAAGGGTTGCATTCGATGTACACGCAATTTTCGGCTACAGGTTGGGCGTATTGAGGAAGGTTTATTTGAGGGTTATTCGGGGCTTGTTGAGTCTTTACATCGGCTCGGACTAATTGAGATTGTTGTCGATCTGCTGGTTGTTCGGAGGCTTTTTTTAAATACTGACGAAGTTTGGAATCTGATTTTTCGCATAGTTTTTTAAATTGAAACGATATGTGAAGTTTCGCTGAGCATTTGTTGCAGATTTGAGTTGGAAGTCCGTCGTTTTGCCAAACCTGTTAAGTTAATTCGTAAATATTTTTACTAAAGTTAAATCCAATATCAACTTGCCTGGATTGGAGCTAACGACATAAGCTTTTTGGATATGTTCACTTTGAATATCGACATCATTATGCCTTCGTTTAAACAAACTCTACATATTTTTTCGAAATCTAAGAAGCTGTTATCCATTATTTTTGTTTTGTTTGCAGTTATTTCATATTTTACTATTTTATTTACTTAACCACAAAATGTAAATGTCAATGTCAAAACTGTCAAGGGTTAGAAATATCAAAACAAACTGGAATTAAGCGTGATCCGCATGCGTGGGAAAATTGAAAAAGGAAATGAATTCTCTGCTACTATTGGTCAGCCATCTGTCATAAATAATTATATCCAATGGAAACGCAGAATAAGTTTCTACATTTCAAATATTTAGCACATGGGACACCGCCCTATGGAAATAACGTAAATAACGAGCGTCTGCTCATGGCAAATGAATGTTGTTTTTTATTTTGTTGTTAATTGTTAAATGTTAATTTTGTTTCTTTGTTGATGCCGGTTTCGTTGGTGCGTGCTTTAGGTTAATGGTTGACGTAGCGCCGAGCGCTAATAAAAATATTAAAAATGGATTATGATGAATGGACCAAATGCGAAGACGAAAACGGTTTTTTATATTATTTTAAGTATGTTTAAATGGAATTAATTGCACGTATAATTGGAAGCTTGTAATAGTGTTTCAAATAGTAATAAATATTCTTTTTTTTTTAGCAAAAAAACTGGTGTTAAAGACTGGGAGCACCCCAAATTCAAGCAAATCAAGCAAACATTAGACGAATGCAATTACGTGAAATATTCCAAGTATCGGGTAGCCCTGAAAATTAGAGCTCTACAAAAGGCTCTTTACTGTAAGTATATTATAATTTAATTCAATTATTCCATCTCATTTCATACATATTTCAGTTGATCAAGTGCCTCTTCATTTCATATCAGGCGTATTCGATAAACACAAATTAGGCTCAAACGAATGTTGTTTGCAACTGGAAAGTTGCGAAATCGAATCCGTTTTATATGACATTTATTTCGCTACCAGGAAGACACACAATTCCAATCTGGACATCGATTTAGCCACCGAACTTATGCTCAATTTCTTATATAACATTTTCGATCCGTAAGTACAACGATTGGAATAACTTAGGCCTGATGTTTCTGTGCATATCCCTGAATCATGCGAATTACTCTTCTCTGTAGTCATTATTTGTTTTAAGTAGAATTATTCACACTACTCGTAATACATTAGTTAATTATAAATAACACATATTTATGGAATTTTATAACACTTTCGCCTTTTTAATAACGCTAATATTTCATATACATACTCTTACTTAAATTACATATTTATATTTAAATTACTTGTAGGCATAGGAAAGGGAAAATACAAGTATTCTCGATTAAGATATTACTGATACTGTTGAGCAAATGCGAGTTGAAAGAAATGTATAAATACATATACTCGGAGTGTTCTGATCACAACGACTGCATCACCAGACCGAGATTGCAGGGCTTTTTAACCAAAATCACCAGTATTATGGAGTATACACACGAGGAATCGAGTTTCGGGCAACAAGTGCTAACAGCAGCAGTCGAGAATTGTTTTTTACATGTAAGTACACAAATAAATACTGTGTGAAATACACAGTTTCTAAGTTTTGTTGTTTGTAATAAATTGTTTCTCTGTATTTTCAGTCTCCCGGCTTTCTGGGTATAAACGAGGCCATGTTCATGGGTTGGGTAGACTCGAACCCGAAAATTCTCTCCTGGATTCCAGTCCTCCATAGAATTCGTATAGCGGAATCTAGTGAGCCCAAAAAACGATATAACAATACAACAATCCAAATTGTTTAATATGTTTTAGTTTCGCACTCGGTGAGATGCAATTCGTGTAAAGCCAGTCCGATAACGGGCATGTGTTACAAATGCACGAAATGCCGCCGTTATTTCCAATGCCAGACGTGTTTTCTCTCGGGGTACACCAGCAATTCTCACGCATCCTCGCACGCCATGAAAGAGTATTGTACGATGAAAAGTGATTCGAGCATCGTGGATAAAATGTTTAGGACGTTCGTCTGCGCCATTCGGTGCAACGAAAACGAAAAGTTTTCTAACACCCGCATGTAAGTTTGTACGAAAACTTATTGCGTTATAATGTACATAATGTAATGAATTATTCCAGGATAGAAAAAAGCAATGTAGTAATCAATACGGACGGAGAACAATGTGATGTGCAGCCAATGTGTTCCCCGAGGAGTCAATTGAAACTCGTGATAAACAAGCTGGAAAGGCAAACGTCGGATTTGCATCGAATTTTGGCTTCTTCGAGCACTAAACAAAAGGATATATTGGAGTATCTTCGAGAACATACGGAACATGTATCGGAACAAGTGGATAAACTCAAAATGTTGAATGTAAGAATCTCAAATTCAATAACTAAATCATATATTTATTTCGTGTAACATTAGGAGTGCATGTCTACTAACGGCGAGGAAACCAGGAGGAAATCCGTAAGAAAAAAATACTCCGAATCCACTCCGGCTTTAAGAAAAAATAAAAAACCTATTACGAATGAATCGACCAGTTTGAACATGCTTAGTCCTATTATATGCGATTCGAAACCGCACGAGTACAGTTACGTTGAAAGTAACAGAAGTTCTAAACTATCCCAACACTACACATTACACGATACAGCCGGATTGTCTTCCAACGAAAGTAAAACTGTTTACCACATCGACGATATCAGCACGTGGATGGGCGGTGAGTACTAACAATATGCGTGTAAAATTCAATTTTAATGAAATATATCTTCATCAGGTCATCCGAAGGATTCCACGATTGCTCCGGAAACCAATAGCAAGAAAACAAAGGCCTTCCATAATGATTTAGACGAAGCTCTTGCTCAGCTTCAGCAAATTCTGGCCAACAACGTGTCTTTGGACGACTCGCTAACGTCCATCGATAACAGTCAATTGAAAAGTGCCATGACGGAGGTGGAGGGAATGCTCACGTCTTTTATCGATACTGTCGAAAACAGCAGGCCCGGTTCATTCAGATCGAAAAGAACGGAAACTATTACAGAGCTATAATAAGTGCAATTTCAAGTGTTCAGTGCCGTCATTTAACGAGTATATTCTATAGATTTAATACAGTGTATGACGAATTTGATGGGATTCAATGTTTCTATTTTTTCTAACAAATTTATCGAACACTTCTGAGCCTTGCTGCGTTTGCGCAAAGTTCTTCATGGTTAGTTAAAAGGACTTTGACACACTTGCACGTATGTTTAGAAACGTTCAGTACCTTTGTTATAAAAAAATATAATAATTGATATAATATAAGTGAGAACTGGTTGATTCTCATATTAAGATGTTATACTTATCAGTTACGAAGTTAAATTTAATTGAACTATTTTATATGAAATAAATTCAAATATTTTTATAATCTCGCTTTACTTATCACTACCAGACAATGAAAAACAGCATTAATTAAAAAGATCTATTAAAGGAATGATATAACAATAATAATATAAAAAATTAGTTAATGAAAATGTATCACATAGATGTATCAAAAATTCGCATATACATGATTTAATCGCTAAGTTCTACTAGGTAGATTAAAGCATAATTAAGTACGTAAGTAAAATCAACATTTCGCCTTCGGTTTCCAAACTTTAATCGATTTGTCTTGACTGCCCGTGGCTATAAAATCGTCTTTACAACACGATATATCTATCGTTTTAATCGGACCTAAAATTAAATATTTAACAAATAACTAATGATTTGTTTATAGTAATTTACCAGCATGAGCCGCGACTTCCATCAGGATTTTGACTTCGAAAATGTCCCACAAAAGTAACATTCCATCATCGCACCCTAAGATTAGCAAATAGTCCCGCCACTTCATCGATGAAATACTGGAAGTTAACGTTTTACTGAACACCGGCAGGGCCGTATTCACGTCGATTATTTGGAAGACTCTATCTCTACTACCCGTGGCCAGTTTGGTCCCGTCTGAATTGTAACTGACAGCTGTAATACTGGACGATTGGCTAGTGTATTTCTTGAACAGAGAAAACCCTGACATTTCCCATATGTAAACGTCCCCGTCTTCCGTTCCTACCGCTAAATGATTACTCACACTAAAATAAGCATTATTACATTACAATTCCGTATTATTAATTAGTAATCACCTGTTGAAACTGAGACAATTGACCTGAGAATTGTGATCAATTTGTTTCTGAAGGCACTGTATGGGTTTGATGCATCCGTTATTGTTCAGCCCCTTCCATATTTTAATCGTACAATCTCCGCTTCCTGATACAAGAATATTAGAAGCTACATCGAAACACATGCAAGTAATAGCATCCTCGTGCGCTAGTACATTTTCTACCACTCTTCCATAATCCATATCGTATAAAGAACTAGAAAAATAAATGTTCGATTGCAATTTGCAACGTTTATGTACAGGGTGAGTCTACTAACATTTCATTATCCCAACTCGCTATGACGATGACGTTAGAATTGGGTAGTTGAATGCAACTGCTCAACGGCATTTGCCCTATATTGGCCGATCTGATTTGCTTATTTTGTGCCAAGGAAAACACTTTGAGCTTCGAATCGTGACCCACTGAAGTGATTTTAGTGCCGTCCTCGCTGATAAATAAATGACTCACTGTGCTTTTGTGCGAATTAAAACTCGTGGACAATTCCAAAGCAGTAGATTCTCTCCAATTGCCTAAAACGAGCAAATTTAGGATGGGATATACAGGGCGTTAATTGAGTGCCGATACTTCAGGATGTGAATATTTGGGTGATTTTAAGAAGAAAAGTTTATATCAGTATATGTCCTAAACCTCTTTGTTTTCGAGCTACAGGGTGTTACAGTTTTAGAAATAAAATATCTTTTTATCGTAATTTTCTTACTACTAAAAAGTGTTTTCATGCATGGTGCAAAATTCCATAAAAATATCTGAAGTAATAAGAAAATTATGATAGTTATTTTTTTTCTAAAACTATAACACCCTGTAGCTCGAAAACTATAAGGTTTAGGACATACATTGATATAAACTTTTCTTCTTAAAATCGTCGAAATATTTTATTATCTTTAATACCTGTATCAGATGAATGATTAGTAATTTCGTACGGTTCTGTCAGAATGCTACAACCGATTTTCCTCTGAGGATGCGGTACTCTAAAAACTTGCTTCGGAATTTGACCGAATTCCATTATTTGCACTTCGAGAGCGTGTCGCTGATTACGATCGGTAATCGCTTCCAAATCAATTGCACCTTCGTAACACAAATGATAAAACACTGAAATAAACACAAAATAAGTAATAATTCAATATAAGTAACCCACAAACACACGATTATTCGCCTTGACAGCTTCCTCGCCCCTTTGCTTGTACCCGAATATCAAATCGATCCATTTAGGAAGCGACTCCGAGACGATATCGCTTTCCAAAGCGTCCCTCAACTTCTGCACGAAATCCTTCGGGCCGGAGCTCCACGGGGGCAACTCCACATCGCCCACTTTCGAATTATTGTGCCTATAACCGAAGTTAATACCCATACCGTTCACCAAGAAACTCCCGCCTTCGGACACATCGTAGAACTGCGGTATCAGCTCCTTGAAGTCGGACATGTTGTTCAGGCAGTTCTTGTAGGCGTCGGCGACGGAATTGAACATCCTGTCGGGATGATCGAACCGGCCGCTCTGCAAACAGAGCACGTAATGCGGGTAGAGCCTGGCTAGGTAGTAGAGCACGAATCCGGGCGTCGAGTAGTGCGAACCGTAGAGGAATTTGTTGCTCGACATTTCCTGGTATCTTTCCAGCAGGCGATTCAGGCGGATTTCGTTTAAGGCTCCTATTGGTTTGGACAGATCGCGGTAGTTTTTCGGATCGTTCAGGTCTAAATCGTCTTCGGTGTAGTTCGAAATTACCCAGGGGAAGATCGGGTACTGGGTCAAGTCGTTAAAAGTCCTGTCCCCCAAGCTGTAAGTTCCAATGTCTTATTATAAATTCCAAATAAATAGTGCGTAAACTACCTATTAATATAAAGCAGATAATCGTAATTAGAAATGATGCCGTTCTGCCATTGTAGAGTAATCGTGTCTTGCAACATTTCCGTAAGCTTAAGTTCCGATTGTTTAAGCAAATTGTTGTAGAGTTCGTCTCTGGATTGCTGATTTCTGAACGAAAAATATACGTGTGGATTTGGAGAATTATCGTTACAGTATATCTCTAATCCCTACAAATCAATAATAAATGCAATGCAAAGAAAATATAAAGACCAACGTACGATTTGCCTCAGTAGAAACCTTCGTTTGACCACCTGCTTAATACTACTCAGATTGATTTTTATTGGATACTAAAAAATTATGATGTGAAAAATAGTACAAAGAAACGATATTGTTTTCACCTCTCCCATTTTATTGTAAGGTTGAAAGTATAATTTCGATGTCGATAACACTATTCGACCAGGATTAACTACTAACGGGGAAACTTTATCGGTTTGCAATTCAATCACGATTTTTTCGTACAAGTCCATCCATCTCGGATCGAAAACATCTCTAGACTGCCTCGAATGTACAATAGTAGCTATCTAAAAATCAATCCCCATTTTTAAATTGGATACAATTAATATACCAGTAAAGGGCAGGGTGAAAAATTCATATCCTGAACCATTTAGAACGCTACAGAATCATTTAGAACTGACTAAAACCATTTAGAACGTTACATAGTCATTTAGAACTGTCTATAACTATGCAGAACGGCCCAGAATCAATTAGAAATGTCTAGAATTTAAATTTTTGGCTTAATAAGGAGAATAATATAATTTTTTAACTGAATATGGCGGTCTTTCATTGTCGGGACGAGAACTTTTCACCTTATCCTTGTACATCTAGCCTACCATATCAGATTGCTCAGCAGCCGGTAAACTACTAGCCCTGTGCAGTTGGCACATCTGCGGTAAACAATTAGCAACATTCGCGTAATTGAGTAAGAACAAAAAATTTGCGGGCTTTTTGAACTGATACGGAGCGATGATGTTTTTCTCTAGAAGCTCTATGTACTCTTTGCAATTGACGCTCAATACGTTGTTGTTGCTGTTCAGGAACTTCGCCGTGCCCTTCCATTGCTCGATGACAACGCAATCCTTGTAGAGGATCTTAATTATCGGATGGGATATGTCTTTGGGATCGAACACTAAGGACTTTGAACACATTTTTAATCTGCCGTCCTGCTTCTTGGTGTCGTACGTTTTCGGTGTCGTGTCCGGCGGTATGAACAGTACGCTAAAATCCTCGAAATAAATTTCGCCAGGATCCAAGAGCAACAGTGAAAATCTACAAATTATCGTGCGAATACACCTGTTTTTAATTATTAGAAAATTATTAATGCTACCTTTCTTTTTCCATTTTTCTAATTTAATTAAAATTTAATACTTGGCACTTTTTTTCTTTGTTGACATTGTTAAATTAATTTGAGGTTAACAGAACAACCGGTATGACAACTGACAGGTGCCTACTTCTTTTTTAGTTGATGTCTAAACTGTTTGGGTTATACAGCCCATTTTATTTGGTTTGACCAATTTTCGTGTCTTGTAGACAGACTCTTCGAGCCTCTAAAGTGAATAAATTTTAATGACTATATTGACATATTATTGTTTTGGCACTATATTTTTTAAACGAAAAATGTAACAATTTCAAAATATGGACAGTGGATCCGATAATCCCCTTTCAGAAGACGCCGTTTCGACTGGAGAGAATTCAGAAAAATCGAACGAAGGACAAGGCATTTCCGCGCCTGCCATCGAACCGGAAACTCGCCTGCAAGACGAACAATGTTGTTCGCAGGACGAGCGCAAAGAAAAGAAAAAAACCGTCAAGCAAATCCTGGACGAAGTCCTGAACTGCACGGTCATAAACGTCCCGCCCGAAGCCGAATCCAGCGAAAATGTGGCGGAAAAGGCCAACAAGGTATTAACCGTCAAGGAAATCTTAGGCGAAATCTTGCAATACAACGTTTGCAACCGCTTCGATGCCACCACCAGATTCTCGAATCCCTTTAACATACCCCCTTACGCCGCCAGCACGTCCGCGGATCCGGTAGCTCGATCGGACCTGGACGTGACTTTGGCGAGAGAAGCTCCCATCTATCGGCCGTTTCAAATTTACTCGTCCAGCACACTGCACGATCCCAGCGTTAAAACCGAATCGATTCTCCCTACGACCGTTGATAGATTGCTCCCCTCGTATTCCTCCGTTCTAAGGCAAGGTGCGTAGGAAATTACTCATCCTCCCTCGAAAGTACTTATCCTCCCTGCAGGTCCTCCCCCGAAAGTGAAATCCGTGGATTCCTTCGTTCCGAAACGACCCCCGCCCTCTTATGCTGAGGTGGAAGGCATTTGGGACGACGTTCCCAGCGCGGTTTCCTCCGATTCGGTGCTGTTCGGACCGGATCCGCTGTACCTCATCTGCCCGGTTTGCAGGATAATCGTCATGACGCAGATAGAAAGGGAAAGGAGCGCCATCACGCACTGGATCGCTTTGATACTCTGCCTCTTCCTGTGCTGGCCCTGCTGTTTGTTACCCTATTACATGAAATCTTGTAGTTACACCTATCACAGTTGCCCGAATTGCGGGCACTACTTCGGTATGTACAATCCGTTTTAGAAGAAAATGTACTAGTTTTATGCGTATCTTTATGTAGGAAATAAAAAAAAACCAAACCATTTTAGTTATTGCGAGTTATTACAATGCACAATAACCGAATTTTTAATGATTATTTAATGTCGTTTACAGCGAATGGAGATACAAGGCATATTATAATAATTTCGATATGGTTTTCGCGAAGTGGGTACCTAAAAATTCAATAATAATTCGGACCGGTATAAACGCAGTACTCCTCGTACTCGTCGGTGCTGCTCCCGCCGTGGTCGTACGATATCCAACCGGCGTCGGCGTCGTCCAAATCGTCGTCGTCGGTCCCGTTGATCACGTCCAAAATGGAGCCCCAGATGTTTATGCCGCCCATGTTGTTGTGGATGCTGCACGTGTACGCTTGCACCGGCCTTTGGGCCATCTGCTCCCTAGCGCTCGACTCCTTCTCCCTCTCTTTGATTATCGCCTTCCTCTGGCCCTGCAGGTCCGAAGGTCTGTTCTTCAGTAGCTTCTCGATCACCTGGTCCAGCGCCAAGGTGTGAATCTAAAACCAACGAAGATTGTAGGTAACCTAGCGTGGGGGAAACCGAGGCGAGCGCCTCACTTGGCAGGTGATCTCGGCCCGGCAAATGGGGCACTCCAAGTTCGTTTCCCTCCATCGATCGATGCAGTATTTGCAGAAGGTGTGCGAGCAGTTGAGCGTGTGCGCTTCGATGAAGAACTCGGAGCAAACGGGACACCGCAGGTCGTCGTCGAGCTGGGAGCGATCGACGCCGTTGGCGTCGCCCTTCTGGAAGCGCTTTTCGGCGCTCGCCGTCGCTTGGCTCGTCGACGGCGCGTTGTCGCGCTTGATCACTGGCATAGGGTCCATGGCTAACAGTCCTTTGCTTATTCGTTTCTTGGATTTTGGCCAAAAAACCATCGTCCTTGAAATTGGAAGAGGATCTCTTTGAGAATTTTGATTCCGGCTTTCCTAAACTGTTGACATTCTGACTACGTGTCATAGAACTGACACTATCCTTCCATGACATAAAATTAGTCGCATAATCTTATTTTTAATAATACACATAAAAATATATAGGGTGTTTCGTCTAAATGCTATTTATAATTTAGTTGGTCTGACAATGAGTGTTCAACGGTGGTTTTCGAAAAATTTCTCCTTGGAACTTCCCAACGCGCGGGCTTCGTAGCGAATTTCAATTCGAACCCTACGAGCGCATTCCTTCTGGAACTAAATAAAGTCGACCTTTAAAATTTCCTGTAGCGTCGATAAATAATTGCGCAACGAATTAATTGGCAATCGACGAATTGGATCAACAGTATCAATCTCCAGATTGAAAATAGACGGGCGTTGGACGGGCGCAGGGAGCAGGTTCCTCTGCATTTAGTGAACGATCGTTTGGCCTCCTCGATGGAATTAGAATTGAGATTTTCAAAATCCGATAGGTCCTCCAATTGGGGGTTTCGAATGGTGGGAGGCGCCGATTTCCAACAACCGTTGATTATTGTCAAGGTAAAGTGGTCGATTGTGCACGAATAGGGAATCGTTGTTGGTTCGTTGGTTTCTTGTACAAAAAGTATAATCCCAGTGTGTTAAAGGTAAATTGGAAAGGGTTGTTTAGTAGATGGTATTTTTTGCTTTAGGTTGACGAGGAGAGTTTGTCCGAGAAAATAGGTTTAAAAGAAGGTGATGTTATCAGAAAAATTAATGATACTGATACTGCAACTTTAACGCATTCCGAAGCGCATGATTTAATTACCCTAGCTGGATTACACTTTACCTTAACAGTAGAGAGGTAAGTACTATTAAACTACACACAGAAATATGGACAAATATTTAGTGTTTCTTATAAGAAATTAAGAACTTGGTATCAAATCTTCATTCATCTTTATCATAAAAGTATTTTTTTTTTCAGAGGCGCTTCTATACCACCAAATATACTGCAAGTGGGTAAACGAACAAATTTATATCGCAATAGAAGAGTTAATTTTAGTTTAATTCCAGATCGAAGATAGGAATATTGAAGTTAGGGATGTGCAAGTGTTCGTGAACGAAGAAGTTATTGAAAAAGCGGAAGATTTAGCCGAAATATTAGGCAAGGAAAGTGAGTTTTTGATGTTTTTGATGAATTTGAATTAATATTTTTTGGTATTTGTTTTTAGTTTTTGTCGATTTTGGCCAGCATAAGGCCTTACTCAGCAAGAAGAGGTAAAAATATTTCGTTCCGAATTGTTTTTCCTAAAATGATTAGTGATTTTTCAATTTATTAGTGAAAAGAAAATGGTACATTCGAATTCTACGCAGACATACATACCGACAGAAGATAAAGTAAAGCAAAAAAAATGGTCCACTTTTCTACAGAAACCAAACAGAGCCGAACGGAAACCAAAAAAAACCGAAGAAGAAGTAAGAAACGAGGTAAAACATCAAACAAACCACCAAAAATAAGCAAATAAAACCAGTCACAACAATTTTCCAGGCGGAACCATATAAAATCGTCATCAAAAAACAATCTAGAAGAAAACCACAACCCAAGGAAAAACGAGTGCAATTTGACCAGAACATCGTAAGACACTAATTTAAATCAGTAGCATAATTTTTAACAGATCCCTTTAAGGTCGAAGTCGACATCGAATCCCTGTCTTCGAGGAATCCAGATTCTCCCGAATTGCTCGTTTCTCCAGAGCCGTACAACGTAGATTGCGAACAAGAACCCGATTCATTAGACGACAATAGCTACCAGCAAGACGATGATAACCAATATCAAACTGAGGACATCGAAGGATACGGTGGTAATGACAACGAAACCAATTTCGATAATCAACTCACAGAGGATCCACTGGATATTAAAATTAAATCTATAAATGAAATTATAATCGACGACCCAAACACTGAAAGCACCTTAACATTGGCTGAACAACTGAGATCCTTGCAGAAGCAGCTGGAAATGTTATCACAACTTCCTTCAGAGGTCCAAACAACTCTGGATTCCGTGTCCAAACAACTGGCTAGTATTGTTAGTAATCCAGAAGAAACAGAAGATGACAATCAAGATGAAGCAAAAGAAGAGAACAGAGGTTAGTGTGGTAAATCTAGAGAGTTATTCGTATATTTTGATTTGATTTTTCAGAAGATGTTTCAAATTCATCGAGAGCGCAAGCAGAAGGAATAGAGGAGGGCGATGATTCGATTATAGGGGATGATTTAGAGGACGATTCGATGGTCGATGAAGAATTACAAGCCGTTTTGGATCGAGCTAAATTAGAAGACGATGAAGAAGAAGAAAGGGAAACGAAAGAAATTATGGAAAATATTAACGCTATAGAGGAGGAAGAACTCAAGCGGAAACAAGAAGAAGAAGAAGAACTGTTGGCTAAAAAAGAAAAGGTAATGATGTGTAGTTTCAATTCACGATCGATTTGGCGCGTTCTAATTATATTCCATGATAATCTAATGAGCATTTATAATTGTCGTTATAATACAATAGAAAATAAGAGAAAAATTCTTCTCTAATTTGAACATCTGCCAAACTCGTGTAAGTATCGAATCCAAAGGAAGGGCCAAATTCGTAAATATCTAAATCAGAATTCGAATCCAGGACAGTAACAGCTAAACGTATCTACAAGCCTGTTTGTTTTCCTGTAAGTTATTTCATAATAATTTTTATAACTTTTCAAGTGCTTGATATATTAGGTACTCGTCGTTTAGAACCGTTCCTTAATAAACTCCGAAAATATTCTTTTTTTGTCTAAAATAAATTCACTAGGATATGGAGGGCCCGCCGAAGCCGAATTTCCGGCCCATCGTCCTTCCGGGCGGCAGGAAATGGATCGATCCCGACGACGTGGTGCCCAAAAGACGGGCGAAACTCACCGACGAGAAGATCATGGAACTGTTAGAGGATAAAATGGAAGTGATAGCGGGCAAACGAAAAGGGTGAGCAATTTTCATGACGTAGTTTTCTTATTTAGTCCCTATTTTCAGGTGAGCCGATGGAACGAGAATTGGCCTTGGTCAGACACAGCCAAACCCGTTTACAGGTACCATTTTTTTAGTACAAAAAAAATTATTCTGTTATTCGTTTTATGTGTTTTATCGATGGAGTATAATCCGCTGCTTTTTCTCCGCCGGTTACAGGATTAATTACTCTAAAGGATCGACTGTAGAGCGCCCATTGTTGAGATTGGAGCAGAAGAGTTTAATTTGTTCTAAAATTCGAATCAATCGCAAGATTGAATTTCACGACAATTTCAACCATTTTCAGTTTTGTCATTATCTACTTTTTCTTTATTACGTATTCCGACTATAATAATCTAATATGCAAATTTAATGTTAATATATTCCTTTCTTTAAGCAGACATGATCTTCAAACGCTTCGTTTAAAACTCCATAGTCCAGTACTACTTCTTGGGTATATTAGATTTTAACTATCTTCTTTCTATTTTCAGGATAAACTTCATGAAGAATACGCCTCCTCCGAAGAGTCTTGACCATCTCCAGAGATCAGAAGTTTACCGCTTAATCCACGGAATGGAACCGTCTACTAGGGGAATCACCAGCAGACCAGAGAAAATATTACCGGAGCAAGACTATTATGAGGTTGGTTTAATAGATTTTTTCAAACCATTTCCTCTGTACCTAATGGTTATTTTGATTTTCAGGCATCCAAACAAAATTCGTACTGACTTAGCTAAATGTTTGTTCTCGATTTAATCTTGTAAAAGTGCAACAATTATCGTAATAAATGTGGAATTTAAAATTGGTTTAAATCATTTTATTGGGTGGCACATCGTTGATAACCTTCCACTCCTCGATCTTAGTTGATATGTGTACAGTGGCTGGTTACCTGGATAAATTTAGACCCTAAAATGTTTTTATAGGTATGTTTCGTGAGGTGCAACCATAGATCTAATACTTAATAGGTCTATGGGTGCAACATATGGTGCATCAGGTGATACATATCAATTAAAATGTAGGGGGCCTTAGAAATGGTGTCTGGGTTTTTAGGCCCACTGAACACAAAAAAACATCAACTGTAACTACTGATCTGGTGAAGTAGTAATTTTTTATTCAATTTTGAATAACGCTAGATATTTGTAGATATCTACATGGTCCTCTTTTAATCCTTCTAACCTATGTAAAGTCTATACATAGACTCTGTATAATCTAATTAGTTTATGTTGCGCTTTGCATTAAATGCTTATACAAAAATTATGCGTGCTAAATGCATATGCATATCGAACATGTATATGCAAAGGATATCAAATGCGATTTCACCAACGCAATAAACTTGACCTTGCATGAACGAATAATATATCAGAGCCAGACTTCCCAAGTCCCGACTTCCATACGCGAATTACCAGATCGAGAGACGTTTTTATTTTTATACGTTATTACTTCGTTATATGCAGTAAGTGAAAGTTGTGTACCAACAACTTGCATTCGATGAAAATAAGCGTTGTGAGTGCATAGCAAATTAACCTTAAGGTAGGTAAATACATACATATGTATGTACAATGTACATAACTTAGATAAAAATCAATAGATACTGCATGCACAGTTTTTGTTTGTAAATAATTTATTGATTTGAAGAGAAAATAGTGAGTGTGGATAATTTTCTAACGTTTTGAGAACTTTAGGTATCTGCAAAACCGTATTTGATTTTGTTATCTTCAAATTTTTGTTTATTTTATATTATGATAGTGCATATACAGTATCTACGTAACGCAATTTTATTATCTAAAATTAAATTTAAAAAAATAGAAACTTAACTTTGAACATGATTCTTTAAATTACTGATAGTTGATAGTTTTAATAATTATTAGTGAAGTATAATACATGTGAAAGAAAAACATCCATTAAGTTGTCATATTTTGTATAGTAGTGTAATTATAATTAAATACGTATTCAGAAGCCACCACTCAATGTTATTATTTTAAAGATATTTGAATTTAAACATATTAAATTAAACAGGAGTTAAAAAATGATTCATTGTTCTAAATTCACCAAAATACACATACTAATAGGTGATTTATGTAGATATATTAGACTATTTAGATAATATAAAATAATTAAAGAAGCAATTTGAATAGATTTGCATTAATAGACATTTAAAAAATATTACATACTAGTATTACATAAAAACATATAAAACAATTACTTATCTCATAATAGATTATAGTGTTGATAAAGATGGGTTGTTTTATATTTAGTACTAGTTCAAATTTTATTCATTTTGTAAAAGTCGATTCGCGTTAATAATAATTTAATTTATCTGTACTATGTATCTAAATAGTTTTTAATGAAAAAGTCGTTTATACAAGGAAAAAGTGGAATATTCCTAGTAAAATTTTCTCCTTGATACTGGAAACGTTCCATTCGATAGCAATTTACCTTTTACTATTGACTGCTGTTGAAATTTTGCACTCTATTCAATAACGTATGTAGGTGAGCCAATTTTTTTTTAACTATCTATTTCGAAAATATTGCTTTAACGATACTTATTAAAAACAAGCCCTTGCATCGAATTATTAAAAATTTGTTTATTTTGGTTTATCAAAAAAATCTTAATCGTTTTACTTTATCATTGTATTATTAATATTGTTTACTAAAGCAATGCAAGTAATTTTGCACAGTAGAAACTCAAAAATTTGTTTTTTTACCTAATTATTATTTTTTATTCGGAGAACCTAATAAATGTGCTCTATAATTCACCTTGATGTGTACTTGACCAGAAAAAGTTCGTGTATTTAAGCCAATACAAGGTATCCAGATATACCAACAAATTTTCAGAACGAATAGTGAATACAAACAAAATAATATAGAAATGTGCGTTTTGATAAAACAGATTTCTCGCTTATTTTGATGAATCGGTGTTTCCGTTTAAAATGTATCATTTTATTATTTTATCATGTAGCATTTACACTACAACAATGTACCAATCAATAAAAAATATTTTTTAAATACTACATTCATTTATTTATGTTATTTGATTTTAAGGTAGAGCTGTTTCTCAATCGAAGAAGTGCAAAAATTAATAATGTCCTTCGTCGTTGCCATACTGGTAGGAGTAATAGCAACTCTTGCTGCTTATTTGTGGCTAAAAATACAGAGAGGAAACAATAAGTTGAAATGGATACCAGAGGCTCCTGGATTACCCCTAATAGGAAACGTGCTTGAGCTACAAAAATCCACTGGTACGTGTACCAAGCAATTTAAATTAATTTATTGTTATATTCAAATTAAAAAGTACGATTTTTTTGTTTTATTAGTATACTATGTGACAAAAAATAACTATAACTATATGTTGATAATTCAGTTATAACTTTCATGCTTCAACCTTTGGATTTTCTGTTATAGAGATTTTGAACAAACTTTTAAATCATTGCCAACAAAACAACGGCTTGTGCACTATTAGAATACTCACGGAAAAATATATAGTAGTTTCTGATCCGGAATTTTTGGAATTTTTGTTGGGCAAATTGGATATATTGGATAAAACTGACGAATATCAATACCTGGACAATTGGCTTCTCTCCGGATTACTTACTGCAAAAGGTATGTTACTCGCATAGAAATATATTACATGAACTATTAAATTGTAAATAAACCTAAAAGTTGTGTAGGAATTTTTCAAAAAGTAATTTTTTTACAGCTGATATATGGAAAACATCCAGGAAAATGTTGACTCCAACTTTTCATTTTTCCGTATTAGAAAACTTCATAGAAACCTTCAATTTGAACACAAACATATTAGTCGAATTACTGAGCAAAGAAGTGGATAAAGACTACTTTAACATAGCTCCTTTTATTACTATGGCAAGCTTGGATATTATTTGCGGTATGAACAATTTTCCTCCACCAATTCCGATAACAACAAAGCATTGTGCACTTTACAGAAACAACTATGGGAGTTTCCATCGACGCGCAGAAAAATCCCAAATCGGACTACACCGTCGCCGTGAAAGGAAAATGCAAGCTGCTCGTAGACAGGACATATTCAGCGTACAAAAGATTCGAAATCCTCTATCCGTTGTCAAAAGACTATTACTTAGATAAGAAATACAACAAAACATTACAAACGTTCACTATAAAAGTCATCAACGACAGAAAAAACGAATTGAAGAACGCCACAAAGAAAAATGAAAACAAAACCAACGACGAAGACATGGGTATAAAGAAGAGGAAAGTGTTCCTGGATTTGCTCTTGGAAGCCACCATCAACGGAAGGCCTCTATCTGAAGAAGAGATCAGACGGGAAGTCAACACCTTCATGTTTGCTGTATGTTAAATTTGATCAAAGATCCAGTTTCGTACTAACAAGTATTTTTTAGGGACACGATACCACCAGCTCTTCCATTAATTTCACTCTATACTGTTTATCGTTGCATCCAGAAGTACAAGTAAGCTTCTTTTTACATATTAATTAATCTATGTCCAAGTACTTTCCTTTTTCTCGAGTATAATCTCCAACGATGTTTATAGAAACGAGCAGTGGAAGAACAAGAGCGAATTTTCGGAGACGAGCAACACAGACCTGCCGCTTACAGGGACTTGCAGGAAATGAAATATCTGGAAATGGTGATCAAAGAATCGATGCGAATGTACCCGCCGGTGCCCTACATCGGTCGTAAAACGAGCAAAGACATTCCCTACAAAAACGAAGTAATTCCAGCGAACACCAGCATACTGGTAATGATTTTCTGCGCCAACAGGAACCCCAAGTTTTACCCCCAACCGGACAAGTTCGATCCGAGCAGATTCGAGGAGTCCAAAGTGCAGTCCCAATACAGTTATCTACCGTTCAGCGCTGGCCCGAGAAATTGTATAGGTAATCAATAATGAATAATTCTTGTACTCATATTAGTCGATTAATTGATGATTCTAAAAGGTCAAAAGTACGCTATGATGGAGATGAAGGTGGTGCTGTCGGTATTATTGAGGAACTTCGAGTTCTTGCCATCAGGAATGGACCTGACGTTGGCAGCTGAGGCAGTACTGGACTCTTTGAACGGGGTGAATTTGAAAATAAAACGAAGAGAAAAATGGAACGAAAACTAATATTTGTATGTTTAGTGGATTATGATGTAATCGATGATTTGTGTTATTTTTGTATTTTTGTACTTATGTGTTAATCTTTTATATTTGGTGCTTTAATAAACGAATGAGTAAATAACTATTTCTTTACAAGCAAATTTAAAATTGGTGTACTTACATTCCTACTAAAAAATATAATTTTTGCTAAATAAACTCGAACAGATATGAGGAATTATTCACGGCGCGTTTAATAAATATACCTCGAATTGCAATAAACAAGAGATCAATAAACCTGTAATTAAATTTGTGTATGTATAGGCACCTACCGGATGTCGCGTTTGTAGTACGGCAAGGTGTACTTCCTGACTCAGTTTCGGTTTTACCGGTAAAATTCTAACAGTTTGGCTTTCTGTTTATTAGCGTAACGTTTCATCGAGAAGAGTCTGCTCGGTTTATTCGCTAATTCGATGAAGAAAATCGACTGAAAAGCGATCAATTTCTTCCATTAACATTTGCAGTGTAGTGGAGGATTGTTGAAGTGATTTGAAATATGAAAAAATTCTTTGTGTAAGTATGTTTTATGCTCGAATATATTCGTATTTAAATTCGTTTGTGGGTAGTTTTTATACTAGTATTAATAGTAAATGAACAGACAATGATTATAATATTTAGAGTAGGTATATTAGGTATATCGATTAAATAAGTAGATAATACATTTCATATGTATGATGTTAGATGTCAATACAATCATTTTCGAACAAGAGTAACATACTCTCGACAAGCTCTAGTAATCTCGAACTATTCTCTTGATTTATAGTAAGAAAATAATCTCCCACAAATCCATATGCAATAATAATCTACAGGACATTATTTATACCTCATCAGACAGATTATTACCGTTGTATTTACCTTGGCAAGGTCGTTTCACGTCAAGTGTGTAGCAACCTAAACCAACAATACACTTACCTCGTGACTTCCACCAGCACCTAGAGCACGGGGCACTTTCTTATCTTCTATTTCCTTTCTGCGGATGCTGTTAGATGTACCGTAGAGTCGGTTAAACGGCCGCGAATGCGACCCGATGCGCGCTCGATAAAAAAAATCAATGCGGCTTCGATCGATCCGAAAAGGCGCTATGCGGTTTTCTTGAAGTAGTGTGGAAGTTCGTTTATTTCTGCGGGGAACTTCTCCATGATTCGAAGTGATTGAGGAAAATTAGTGGATTTGCTAATGGAGATGGTCTCGTTCGCGGTATCCACTGGTGTAGGGGTCAGTCTGGTGGCAGGAATTTTGTCAGGAGTTTGTTATGTTTTGGTGTACAGTAAAACGAGCAGGAAAAGGTAAATTGGTTGATGTAAAGCTTGTAAAAAATTAGCATATAGTAGAGATATTGTAGATATAGTAGAGAGGATAATGCTATTTCATAATTAACAATACACAAAAAATGTTTGAGAATATTCTCTTAGTGTAAGAGCGCGTTTGTTTGAATAACATATTCCAAAAATAATTTTCGCAAGTTATTCTTCTTATCAGTAAAGTGTGTACATACTGATAACGCGTTTAATTGGAATGATGCGTCGGTATAGGTACACAGAAGTGCCTAATTTTTTGTTTTCTTCGGTCATAATTTTAACGTATAATCTTTGATTTTTATAGTTATTATCTACACATAATTAATTTTAAATTTCTTATCGTGTATCCTGCTCACGTACCCTCATTTAATCATGAAGGGAATAGGATATGAAGTTAGGAAAACATGTAAAATATTGTGAAACTCGAAGCAAAGTTTTATTATTCTCAAAATTTGCATCAGTGTCTTCGGATCTGTTATAAAAACAATGCCATTGCATCCTTCAAACGTCTTTCATCTATCCATTTGTTCCCGATCAGAATGTAGATTTTTATCGGCCCATCTGTATTCGCATTGTTTTTTATTGACTAATAATATCCTATCGGCAAAAATACGTTCAAAGACAAACTTTCTAATTTTTGTTATGGTGCATTAACTCGGATACTCTTTCATTTTGGTCAAGCCTATTATATTATATTATTTCCGATCACTGTTTTACTTTCGGTCGAGCGTTCAATTAATTAATCAATTTATAGTCCGAAATTTGGTGAGCTTTTTCCATTAGCGATGTAATTTCATATTTATTATTGAATAGTGACTTGTCTAAAAAGTTTAATCAAGAAAAACATTTGTTCATATTTGCCTTCACAAATTTCATTAAAAAACGAAATCGAATATTAAATTAATTTACAAAAATTTTGGAACAATCTGTAGGTACATAATTCATGAGCCGCGGGCGATTTCAATCAAGATTGAATTTATCCCTACACTATTTACAGATACGCGGACACTTGGGAGAAAGTTAAACTGCTTCACAAAAACATAGCAAAGAAATTTGTGAATTATTTCGGTCGTTAATATCAATGAAAGTACGCCGATGTAAGTTGGCTTAAAAAAGAAATTGAACTTTTCGTGCAAATCTGTCGAGTACCTTCTATTTCCATTAGTACACTTTCATTCCGCTAATGCATTATTACCGACAATTGGGAATAACGAGTGAAAAGATGTATTTCATGCATCTGCCAATAAATTTATTTTTTAAATTACATTTTCATTTATGCCCGATAAGTAGTTTTCACAATATTGCAAACCAGTCACGTATTAATACTTTCATGAGAATTTTTAATTTCGTTAGTTCGTAAACAAACATTTTCATATACAGATAAAATGGCAAGGAATTGTTTCTTTAAAATGAAATGAGTAGTTCTAATTTCATTCCATTGGAGTACCAATAGTTCATTCATTACTGAGCACTCAGTATAAGCAAACTTGAAACTCCTTCAAATCAATATGTGGTACCAACAGGTAATTGATCTTTTGCCGCACCCGTATGTGACATCATGCTATGTACCAAATCTTTTCAATATTAGCAAACACTACTTTCTAAATATTGAAAATCATTAAACTCTCAGATGGAAAATTCATTTTATTATACACTAACGTAATAATTTCTTAATTAGAACCAAACTTTAATAACCAGTTGCATAACTTTCTTCAATAATGATGAATCATTAATCAATCTCTCTTAGATTACAAAAATAATTCGTATTATAAAATGTTTAATGAGATGCGAATTTTATGAAACACCCTTCAGACATTGCGCCTTGACTCAATTTTTGTTCCAATGTACTCAACCACATCTTAACCACAACTCTACATACGGACCTACCTTTTCTTCGTTTTATATGGCATTCTTAGGTTTGCCTACCTCATGTTTATTTATTTGCACGACAAAAATGCCGGCATAAAAATTCTGAACACGGTCAATGTGTCAGGCTGTTTACTTACTGCCAATTTCGACTGAACAGTTAGGAATTCGTTCGCTTCTTCAGTTCCGGATAGTCGATCGAAAGTCCGGTCACGATCGCAGATAAATCTTTGTAGATGCAGGTATAGTTAAGCGCATGGAGCATATAACGAACGTCCATTGAAAATCTATTTGTTCATTTAACTATCGAACGAATCGTTTTATGTGCGAGTATCTCTCATAAAACAATGATTGTAGCCCACGCGTGTGGACATAAAACGGCTTTATGTGTTAGAAATTGCAATTAAATGTGTGCATTAAAAGGCTATAAAGTAGAGAGTTTTTTAAGTATTTTTTCTTATCGAAAATTCTGGTATCATTTTGCTTTATAAATTGGTTTATATAAACCCGAGGTTCTTTTATTTCATTAGCTAATACACTTGGTTTCAATAATGAATTATAGTACTACATTGCAGAGTTAATAGAACGTTAAACATGTAGGTTTTCGTACACGACATGCGTATTTAAGTACTCACGTGAGGTAATAAATGTAAAATTGCGTTTGCAGATCAGCGTGTGAATGCAGTGTTAAATGATTAATAATTCATGCTTTAACGGTTAACTTTGTTCTAGGTTGGTACTAAAGAATAATTGCACGAGAAAACTAAAAAAATATCTAAATATACCTATTATAGTATTATTGTAATTTTTAATGGGTTATAACTGTATGACACTTAAATCTGCTGGTAGGTATTACACATAAAAATATTGTAGGTAGGTAATGTTATTCAGTCTTAGAAATGCAATGCATTGCTGTATTGCTTGAGAAACTTGTTAACACTAAATGTATACAATTATTTAAATTCGGCATTAAGTACATGAAACGGATACATTTGTATATACATAGTTAAATTCTAATCTTGATATTAGCTCTTCAGATGATAGCATTAATAACTACATATTACAATAACACAGACGTAAAAACACAGCAGAAATCATTGGATATCTCCTATTCAGGTTATCTAGAATCTAGATCAATCAAATCGCTCCACATACGCAGTTTCTCTATAAATAATTCAAATATGTACAATATCAGAAACTACGGTATATCGTTAATCTCTTTCGAAAAATTGACTGACAGCAGACGATCTGGAGCTATCGTCATCGTCGCCGTCCTCGCTGCTAACCCTGTTTACAATAATTATCTTCATTACAACGACTTCCAACGTACAAAACATGAACAAAGCCATGAACACGTCCAAAGCCGCGGTGTTATGCTTATAATAATCGCTTCCTGGAGGGTCGTCCGGCCTTATATCCAAATTATTAACGCTTCCCAACAGGCATAATAGAAGAAACATGTTCACAGAGGTGGCGGATCTTCGAACATTCCGAACATTGTTGTTTATCCTAAAAAAGAGCGTTCAATTTAAATTGATATTATTTGAGTAACTACTGAGATTTGAAGTGCTAGATATTTATCAGGAAAACTTTGATAAGTTGTATTCTTTTAACAGAAATAGGCTACCTATATAAATTTTTGATGCACTTGTAGTACTCTTCTTAGTATGTCATTTACAACACGTTTTATTACTACAACAATTAAATACTAGCGGTACTTTAAGTAGATCATTATGTACCTGTTTAATTAACATTGACTCGATATGAACGGAATATTGCATAACAAATAGCTTGCTTCATTAAAATATTGTTACAAAAATTACATCCCTATAACACTTTCCACAATAATGAGCAAGAAATGATCAAATACCTTAATAATCCAAAATGGAACCACAATTATAATCACATTTTCTGTTAAATTATCACATATTTTTCCGTCAACCCCGCTGGTATCGGCTGTAACAGTGCCGTTAGTACCTACTGCAACATCGAACGTACTACTAAGGAAAGTAAAAGTGGTACGCGCAGACGAGTCTGCAAGATTATTATACAAGCCGTTTCTTACTTTCCTTAAAAGTGGGTTGCACCTAGGTCAGCACGTTGAATAACATGTTATATAATCGCCGGCTCGTTGTTTATATAAACAGTACCGTTTTGCAGTTATTGGGTCGCATAAACACTTCGGCATTTATAAATATTTCTAATCGGTACCACAGCTTTAAATTCACGCTTGAAAACTTACCTCTGTAGACGGTCTGCTGCTAGGTAGGTACTAAAAAAATATTTTGGTAACCCAAACTCGTTTGATGATTGTCAAATTATGATTCCTGCTAATGTTCATGTTACATCAATAACTACCTATTATGTGTTAAAAAGCCGAATGGTAATGGTTTTTTTAGACCTTGAAGGTGAGCGTGAAGGCGATCAAATGTTGACCTAGCCGGACCAAAATCAAAGATCATTTAAAACGAGAAAACAGATGTTGCATTTGTTATAAGTTTTACCAACCAAGTTATATTAAATATACACATTAAAATGTGTGAGTAGACCTTCAAGGAAGACCCCTAGCTTCATTAATGAGTTAATTTGAGCTGGGTCTAATACTGAAAAAATATTAAGTTCACATTGCTCATTCCAGCAACAATCCTCTCTATAAAGGTACTATCTTCAGAACCTCTTTCATAAACACAAGAGAATAAATTTAATGCAGGTCAATCACCATTCTTCTTATGGAATAACTCTTAATTTCAGTACCAAAAAAACGAGTAAAGCGCATTCTTGCGCCGTTTGTGGCGAGTACTTCAGGTCCATCGATCACATCCTAAAAGGCGACAGTACCGTGGTGTGTGTGAAGTGCCAGTCGAAGGTCTGCGGGCAAGGATGCGCGCGAGAACAACAGGACGAATGGATTTGCAAGAACTGCCTCAGGCCTCCGGAGACTTGGTTTCAAGGATTCCTGCACTCTCTGCAGCCGGGTAAAATAAGTAAGTGTTTTGATCAGTGTTTGGGGTATGGAAATTTGATTATTTGATATTAGGCGATGATGGGGATGAGAAGGATTCGGTCGAGTCGGTCGGGAAGGGACGTAACAGCAATAATGTGAAGGTTCAGGTGCAGGATTTTATCGAGAAACTGGTGAATTCCATGCTGGGCCAAAACATAGATGATGCTACCATAACTAAAATTTTCAGCGATGAAAATTGTAAGTATTAGTCGAATTGATAGGTACAAAATGTTTCATTTAATAAATAATTCCAATTATTAATGGCATCAACAGTAAAATAACGTAAGTGTTTTATCAAGATTTGAAGTATCCATATATGCAATTTGATCGTGAATTTCTGGGATTTCCTAATTTTTTCGTAATATTCGTGATGAAACTAATATCTTAAATTAATGAATTGACAGTGAAATGAAATATAAATACAGAATGCTTCCTTCTACATTCCTTATAATGCAATCTAAAAAGAATGTATGTCACTAATTATTATCTATGTATATCTAATTATTAATAGGTACATAATTTTTCAGCTTTTTTACTGAACATTTTTGCAGATAATCAAATTTTTCACAAATATCATCGAGACATCAGTGAAGCTTTAAGGGAGTTGGGAAGTAGTTTACATAGTTCCATTGCTCGTAAGTGTCTATTAACAAAGTTACACTGCACAATTAATCCATATGCACTTAATAACAGGAAAAAACCAAATTTTGTTTCGCTTAGCTTCATGAGTATGTTTTGAGCTGATATCTTAACATGCAAGAGTCTTTGACGCTTGCAGCTTTATAGTTGTTTAATAAAAAAATGCATTTTAATGAGTATCTCATAAAAATGTATGGCTCTAATTGCGTTGTGTTCTAATGGAAATCTTACAGATAACATAATATTTTTAAATAAAATTACAATGAGAGATTTACCATTGTTTTTGAAATCCTCAGGGTCAATACAATCGGTGGAATTCTAATAAAATTTCTTGTATGTGTTAAATGAGGCTTAAGGTAGTAATCTATTTCCTGATTAGTCTCCTAGCAGATCAGGGAGTTTAATTAGGTTTTATTTAAGAGAGTTTAAAAGTATAAAAAAATATCTTCAAAGTTCGATAGGTATGTTAGGAAAGAAACTTATTTATTTTCCATAAATAGCAATTTGATGTTAACCTTGGCGTTCTCCGTTAAACTACAATACACACTCGGAATCATTTACGTGATATCGTATGTAGTAACGAGCTTCAGGTACCTCTTACCTTGACCATCTTATCTATCAGTAGTCGGACCGAACTTGGCGAAAACTCTGCGTGTGTTTGTCGAAAAAGGCTGTGTTTTACCGGTTATTTGGCTTGTTTACTATAATTGTATGTTCGGAAATCGCATTGCTGTGTTCGTCCGATTCGATTTTAACGTGTGTTGAATTTATTCAAAATGTGACCCGGGAGTTTTGCGTTTCGGTGGACACTTTTTAAATTATTTTTAAATTTTTAATCAAGTAGTAGTAAATTCAATTGCAATTTGTTCGTGTAGTATTTTATAGTTGAATTAAACGGATTTCTAAGTCAATTGTAGTAAGTTTTTATAATTTAGTAAGACACATTTAAAAAATGTAGCAAATAATACAAGTTGGCTTTAAAATAATTTTGAAAATTTTTCCGTATGTTTTTGTAAAAATAAATTTCAAAATATTTGCAAGTAAAACGTCGACTGGTCTTATCAGACATGAATAAATTAATGGTTTTTTTACACTCGCATTTGAATTTCCAATATCCAAAATATGTGTAAATTATTCAAATTTATTTCGATAAATTGCCGCATTTTCTATAAAAAAATATCAAGGCCAATGGATCAAAATCGTCTTTTTTCTTCGACAAAATAGCTATAAAAAAATCTATAAAAAATTCGTAATGGTATAGGTAGATTCAATAATATAATTTGCTATTACCTGTATTCTTTACGAACAGTTAAATTCTAAGCAAAAATAATTAAAACCAATGTATACTGTAGATTATTATAGAACTTACAATGAGCTATTAATGCAATAGAAAACGAATAAGAAAACTATTACAATTCGATTAAAATAGTCGAGATGAATAAGTTATGAAACACGTTTATTATAATTGAACTAAATTAACTGAAGAAACCAATCAACATAGCAAACGGTCCCGGATAATGATCGAACCGTTTAAAATTTAATCAAATTTTTCCTAAATATTTTACAATGGAGCCGTTTCCTCCTTTGTTTATTAACAGTTAATATATTTGCCTTGCGATCAACGAAGTTTAGTCACATTTTATGTGCCAAATAAAAATGATAAGATGAAAACGATAACAACTCTTTAAATTATTTTATCAAAGTGTCCACCGAAAAGTAGTGTCTGTGATAATTGTTTTTGTACCCAGTCGTATTCCTGCCATATTTTAAAAACCGAAGAAATAAACATGATTGTTGAGGTCGTATCGAGCGTTATAATCATATTATGGGTAATGTACGCTGTCGGGCTCTATGTCTATCACTATGTTATTGAGGTTGTATTAGGTAAGCATTCAATCACTTATTTATTACAGGTAATTGAGATAAAACTTGTCTCGATAATGCAGCATCTTTGTACCAACATTTTATTTAGTTGGAAAAAACAACAATGTGACAACACTGCATACTTAACTTTGAATATAGTACATAGTACAGGTACAAGTTGATTAAAATTATTAATTTTAAAATGCATTTATATGATAGATCTTCCATTATCTGGTCAACAATCGCCATGCACAGCACACGCGGCCCTGAAGCAGCTCATAGAAAAGCTTCTGTTGGAAGTTTTGCATATGCCAGCCCTTCAACGAGCCCAAGACAGTACCATATCCACGTCAAATGCGAAGGATAAGACCTACGAGGATCTGCTGGCGACGGCTATTTTAAACAAAGTGAGAATTTTCTCGAGTCCTCTTTTACACAAAGCTATACTTCCTGGATTCCCTTGTATAATAGACCCATTATGCAACATTATTTCCTAAGGCTTCCTCGTCGTATTCCCAAAGCGTTTCCGTCTATTTCAACAAGTTATACACCATTGTGATCAATAAGTAGATTGATGTTAGTCGGAAATGGCTATTGTGTCTCTAATAGGGAAGAAACAGAAAAGAAAATTAAACGTGTACAATCCGGCGAATAGAGTGAGTAATTTTGTATTTGCACGTCTGTTTTTCAAATCCACCGACAACCTTCAAATGTAGCAAATAATATAATAAACCGATTATAATGCACCTAATCAGTATAATCGTATGAAGGTATTTTTATAATAACTTCAAGTGACGGTGTTTGTTCAAGATTGCAAGCAATTTGCTCAAATGTTGCTCTATTTTGTTTTTTCTAATTACAAGCACTCGCACGTGCTGCGTTTGAATCGATTTTTTATTTTAAAAGTAAGTTAATTGAATAGGAAAGTCGTGATGAAGCAATTTTCATTTCGTCGATTGTTTAATGAATGAGTCAATTAACGGGAGTCTACAGGAAATATATTTAGATTGTTATAAACTGGTATTTTTTTCTACTTATAGGTTATATCGAATTCGCAAGCGCGTCCTTCCTCGTCGGCAGCCAGCGTATCCAGCAGATTGTCGAACAACTCAAATTACAAAGAAGATAAAGAGTACTTCTTCGGGGAAGAGACGTTGGACAATAAATGGAGAAACGCAGATTTGGAAACCACGTCCGCCTCGAGCTTAGAAGACTGGCTTCAAACCGACTCCAGCTTCGGTTCGAGGAAGTACGTCGATAGAGTCACTCTCACTGTAAGCTTTATGGAGCTTTACATCCCGAAAAATTGTAAATTTGGTTGTGTTTTAGATAAAACAAAACATCGAGGAACTGTCCCAAGCGAGCGATTCCGACGAGGATGATCGATTCAACGACAGCGAGTATTTCACGACGAAATCGGCCATTTGGAGCGACGACGAGCCGAACTGGTTCCTGCAGAAGAGGCAGTTTCAAGGGGGAACGCATTCGCCCGTTCCCGTGCCTATGCTCGTTCCTAACCCCACAACTGAAGCCAAAGTAAGATAATGAAATTTTCGAAGTTCTAGAGATCTAACGAACGCTTTCAGGTGTTGATTGGCGACAAAGAGGTTGATGAAACGTCGGATTTGTCTGATGTAGAATCGGAATTCGGTGACACCGAAATTGTTCCTACCAGGCATAGCGTTCTCGTCGATTCTAAATCTATTATAGGAGGGAAGAATATTCTGCAAAATGGTGTGGGAAGAGGAGGAGAATCTGGAAGTGAATCTTCCGTGGATTCGGGGGTAAGTTGAAACAAACTGTACAGAATGTCCTTAATAGGATGATGTACAAGATTTCTAAGACGAGCTATAATTAAAAGTTCTATGTAATATTGGATGAGGATTGTATTTTCTTTCTATAATTTAGGTGAAGGAAGTAGGTAGAAATCAATCGCAATACGACACATCAGATTTCGCGGAAACTTTGGACAGTGACAGTGTAAAAAAGACACAAAACTACGCCGAGGATACCCCCAAGACCGATATCCATGTAGATGACGATAGTAAGTAAACAAACTTTCACAAGAATACACCCTATTAAATACCCGTATTACTTCAGATATAGAAGAAGAGACATCTTTGCTATCTAATTACAGTAATGCCGAACAAGAAGCGGAGTATATCGAATATTTCTCCGCGTCTCTACCAAGGAAAGTGGAAAATAAACCTCAACCTCCTGCAAGGTAATTTCAACTTTTTATCGTACACTTTAATTCAAAGGCGCAATTTTCAGGCCGTCTTTACGTACACCAAAACAACCATCTAGAATTATCGATAAAGCAGATTCGAAAAACAGAAACTTTTTAGAACACGAATACGCTTATTCAGACGGCGATGTGAACGAGTTTTCGGGTAATTCTACTACCCCAAACATTGCTTGTTTCATTGATATTTCGGAAATTTTAGGTAGATACAGTAGAAGGGAAAAAGAGAAATGGAAAAACGCTGTAGAAATGAAAAACAACCCGTATTCCAAAGAGAACATAGAGAAGAGAATAAACCGATCTAACAGCGGGGTAAGCTCTGTGTAAGTATCGTAAAAAAATAAAAGCAATTCAATTCAAAATATTTATTGCGCCATCATACTAATGCACAATCTCGAGATTAATCAAAGCCATTAATTCTGAGCCTGGTGTAAGCGAAACGATAGAATTAAATTCTCAATAGAAATGGTGTAATCGTTATCTCGACAAATATTAGCTAAAAAAAGAGTATAACGTAATTATAATTTAACTCGAGAATAATGATAAGATTATACTGTAGATTTTAGCACAGAAAGTTCTGATTCGCTTCCTTCGGTTACAAATAACTTAACAAATGGCGAAGAATATATTTGATTTGTTGTTGGAAGATAAACTAAATTCGCAGGAACACCGGCAAGTAATTTTTTTATGAATTTAAACAGTAAATTTCTGTATCAAACCAGCCATGTTTTAATTGATTCTTACCATCAGTAACTAAACAGGAAATTACACACTTGAGTGTATTAATAATTTGTGTATTTGCAGATTTGGACCCGATTACTATGCCAAATTAGCCTCTTCCCCATCGGGAACGAAAAGTAAATCGCCCAAGATATTCGAGGTAAGTGATCGACTCGGCGATATCGAAGGATCCACCACTTATTCTAGCTTACCCAGAGCGTTGTACACGTCGAAAAATTCGAGCAAAAACTTTGTTAAAAATCCCTTACTAAACTTTCCCGATTTGAACAGCCTCTAAATTATGCGAGATTTGGTAGAGATACTAAAAGAATACTCGAATAATTATCGAATTTTAACAATCGCCCGAAGAACGAATAATTTAGTGGAATCTCTAACGAAAAGCATCGAATTATATTACTCTTTTAAAATGTATTATTTAGAAATTTATAGCAGAAGCCGTTTTGAATTAATAGTGAAATAGAAACAACAAAAATGGACTGAATTGACTAGTTTTATAGATCTGTGTTGAGTATTGTTACGTTTTGTGGAGGAAAATAAATGAAATTTCGTTCAAAAAATTTTTCTTCGCTTTAGATGCCTCAAATTAAAATTTTGTCAAATCAAAAAAATGTTGCAAACGATTGGTAAGTTTTACATATTAATTATTAGCTCATATTCATCCAGAATTTGTAACATTTGTAATTCATTTTTGTCATTTATCTATTGAATCAACTAATCCATCACCACAATGATATAATTTTTAAAATACTAACCGGAGCTTAATCTGAAAATGGGTATTATACGACTCTTATCTCAATATGTATATATGACCATATCTATATTGGGAAGATTAAAAGTAAATTGTATGATGCCAATAAACAAACATTCACTGATTACATTATCAATTAATAAATTTTAGGGTTTACTGATGATGAAAAAGGAATTAATATTTGAAAAAAATTACAAGGTATCGATAACACACATTCTGGATGAACAATTCTCGCCTTAAAATTTTTAAATATCTACCTAAATTAACTTCATACGGGTGTACTTATAGAAATGCAAGAACATTCAAACAGAAATTGAAAGCACACAATTTTATTGCAAATTATTGTGCATGTTCTCGCATTTCTCTAAAAAAAATCGACGCAATACTAACAATACTCAAACTAACAAAGTGTGTCTAATTTAAACGATTTTCATAATAAATGTTCCGCTTTTCATCTATGTAAAAAATACAATTTCACATTGTATTTATCATTATCATTACCAATAATCGATAATAATGCGTGTACAGAAACGGTGGAAGTGTTAAAATAATTCAAATAGCAATAAAAATAGCTGATTAATATGATGTAATGTATCAAATTTTCGCTTAAAAATTGTCACATAATCCATAGATTATTTATCGCATATAAGCATTTTTCACCTAATCGGATTGCTATACCATCCAAAAATGACGGTAGAAAGGTAAAATGTGTCAGGCATAGAGTATTTTGTTTGTTTTACTAAATGATATATCTAATATAGATATAACATTAATGTGATCAGCTTTCAATCAGGCCAGTCAGAGTAAAAGGATATGCCAGAGTAGTTGTGCTTTTCATATAAGTAGTAATAAAAAATAGTTAGGTATAGTTCGATTTTCGGTATGAAGGTAGGAACTTTTCCAATTATAATTAGTCATGAAGTTCATGTAATTTCCAAATTTATTTCGCGTTTCATTACATTACATGCTTTACCAAATCTAACTATAGTAATCGATCATTACCAAAGGGTGGGTGTATCATTTTATGTAACAAAACTGAACTGGGCTTGAGGTTAATTATCATTTAGGGTGAGTTATATCAACTGGATTCAACTTTAAACCCATTTGAAACAATTCACCCGAAAAAAATAATTATTACATCAATATTTTAGATTAAATTGGTTTATTTTAACTTAGGAAAAGACCTTTTCACCTCACGTAGAAGTCGATAAACGCGAATCGACCACTTCCGAAGCAGAACACTGTTACAGGGCAGAGCCTATATTCGTCGATGAAGCGGCACAAAATGGAACGGAAGAGCTTCAGGAATACTCCCAACATTCGATGGTGGATCAGAAACCAACGGAAACGGAAAGCAACGACGACTCGATTCAATACGTGGCCGAAGTGACGAGCGACAGCGATCTGAGCTACATCAATTGCTACGACGTCACCAAGTCGCAGGTCTACAAGAAACCGGTGGACAGCGAACCGGCGGCTCAGAAGATCACTTTCGTGAAAAACGCGAAAGCTCAGAAGCAACACAAACCCGCCGCCAAGCCTGCCGCCGTTTCGGCCACCAACTACGAATTGAAGCGCCACAAAAGCGAGTCCGATTTATACGATTTGGAGGAAACGCCGAAGGTCCTGCCGAGGAAAAAGGACAACACTCTGATCTCCAAGATATACAAAGTACTATCCAAGTCCGATTTGAGCGAATACCCCACCTTCAGGACCCAACTCAGCACGCCCGACATGCACTACTTCCACAGCGACAACACCAACAGCTTCAGGTACTACCTTCACCTTCTACTCATCACACACTAATAATAATAACCTTCTCGTACAGTTCTCAAGACATGGACATTTCCAATGACGTAATGACCATCACGAAAACGATGTTGTTGAGCTCAGAAGACGACTATTCCGACGGTACCGCTTTCATCAGACGCCCGAAGGCCGGAAACAATTACAGCTCGAGCGAGGACGCCTTGTCTTTCGACGAAACGGACGGATCGAATTCGATTTCGAAAGGCCACAAGCCGCGTATTGGCGCGCTGGCGACGCCCGCTGGCGCCGCGTTCGCTAGAAACGACGCCAAATCAATCGAGCCCATCGATGAGACGCCCAAGACGCCCAAGACGCCCGCAGAGCCCGCCGTTCCGAGCGAAAGGAACGGTGCAAACGACTCGGACGGCGAGAGATTCGAGAATGCGCATTCGGAGGTCGATGAATTGGCGAAGAAGAGAATCGTGCACAATATTTTAGACAAATTGAACTGCCCGCGCTCGAATTCTAACGGCGTCGTGTCGAGGGAAAGTGCTAACGAAATTATCAAGGAATCCAACGAGGACGTTAAAATGTCGGTGAAGGAGTTGATGAAGAAATTCGAAGCGAATTCTGTAAGCTTTTTTTATTATTTTTAAGTATTCATTTAGTGATTAGATTTGCTTTATTAGTTCATAGAATTAAATTGAAATTTGGTAATCGGCATTATTTTGTAGGGTAAGAATCAGGTTATATCCAGTCTTACAGCTAGAAGCTTATCAAGGCACACAAAAGAACTGCTAAGAGAATAAAATGTTTAGAGGTAATTTTAACAATCTACAATCATTTTAGAACGTATTCAATAATAAATTCAGTGTTTTTAAATGATTTTTTGTTCTTTTTAGGTAAATCTTCACAAGCCATACATTGCTAAATCCGGACAAGGCAAAATATAAAGACTTCAAAGATATTATATTTAATTTGTATATAATTTTTTATTTTAATCTTAGCCAAATCCTATCTTATTTACATATAAAAAATATATAGTTACCATTATTACGAGAAGTGCATTCCTTCTGAATTAAAGGCGTGTAATAAGCTGCAAAAAATTGTTATAAATAAATATTTTTAATTAATAAAACGCTGCATTTTTTTAAGTACCATAAATGAAACTTACGAAATAAAATCATCGATATCCATTGTTCGGGCTCGCTTTTTGTCAGCTCCTTCTTTCGTTAAAATTTCTTCTATTTTATCTTTCAACACAAAATCGTTAGGCAATTCCTTAAAAAAATAATTTGAATAAATTTCAAAATTACACAATAAAAAGTTGCTCACTTTATTATTTAAACTGCAATGAAGTTTGTAATTCTTTTCTAAAGCAGCCAACACCGCAGTTTGTTTAAATACTGATCCTAACGTTTTATTTTTCCTAGTAAAAGCTATCCTAGTCAAACCGTCCCATTCTGTATAATTTATAGGAGGCGGCGGATTGCGGGGTTCTATCCTCACCACAGCAGACTCCACTTTCGGGGGAGGCCTAAAATTATTTTTTCCCACCTAAAAACAACCAATTACATACGATATAAGACAAATTAAGTATGAATTCAACTTACTTTCATTAACATATCTACTCGTGCGAGTAGCTGAGTGTTTACTGATAATCTACAATACAATTTATGGCCTGCTTTGGCGACTAATCTTTGCGCGAATTCCTCTTGGAACATTAGCACGGCACACCTGAAGAATGGTCTGTGTAACAGAAGTTTAAATACCAATGGCGAAGATATTTGGTAGGGAACATTGGCTACGCATACATCAAAAAAGGGTAACTCGCTTTTCAGGACATCGCCGACTTTGATTTGCAGCTTAGACTGTAAAGGAGTAGCTAAAAATGCAGGAATAGTAATGCAGTTAAATATTGTTACAAATAACGTTACCTTGTACTCTTTTTTGTAATTCTGCTACCAATCTCGTATCTATTTCACAAGCGATCACCTTCTTGACGATTTCTAGCAGCTTTACAGTCATATTACCAGTACCCGGACCGATTTCTAGGGCTACATCTGTAGATCTAAGACCAGCTTTGTCTAACATTGATGTTATTATTAGAGGATTCTTTAAAATATGTTGACCGAAATCTTTGTTAAACACAATCCCTTGTTTGACAATGCCATTTTGCGATTTTGGCTTCTTCGGTGGCTTTACTTTGGGCATTTTATTCGAAAATATTTATTAAACACTTCCACATGCGAAACTTACAAATACTTGTCAAAATTTATAGGTTATTAAGGTTATGTGTCATTCTACTTTTAATTCTGTGGCCTTGCTAGAAGGTAGTCATCAGTTGCTGGATAAAAAAAAGGTCATTTGTCAATTATTTTTAAATAATTTGTCCATCATGAATTGTCAATTCAAAATTCGTTCATAGTCATGCATTTAACTTCTCGTCCCCTTAAAAAGTCCAAATGTACTGTGTTTTGTTGCTTAAAATTAAGAAGAATGAAAAAGAAGGTGAAATCCCGTAAGGCGAAAAACATGGCATCCAAAAATAACAATAATCCCAATGCGAAATCATCTGTAATTGTGCCTCAAACTCAAAATCCCTTAATTAAATTACCGAAATTAAGTTCAACTGAAAGGGAACAAACCGAAATCGAAATCTACTCAAATATATTGTTCACCGAAGACGATTTCACCGACGTTAGCCCGGACTTTCTGAACGATTTTTCATTCGAAATTCCCCGGGAATTTTCCAGGGGCGTCAAAAGATTAGCCGATACTTTGGGGATTCGACAAAACGCTTTGAGTAAACATGATATATAATATAAAATATAATATTGAAATTAGTTGAGTGGTTTTCCTACAAGAAAATAATTTTAAAATACCTTTTTTAAATGCCTCATTAAGTAGAGGCCACGATCTTTGAATATCAAAATGAGGTTTGACATTGACGTTTGAAATTGACAGTTCTAATTAAAAATGAAGAAGAAATGGATAAAATAGAAACGAAACGAAAACTATTATTCAAAATAAAAAAGAAAAACGTGCGCCGGGCAAAAACTAAACGAAAGCAAAAAGCACTGAAGAAAGAATGTAAAAGGAAGCGAAACAAAAAGTTGAAACATACCCAATTCAGGTATCAACGAAAAACCGAAGAGCTCTGTTCGGCTGTACAACTTGTGGAAATTAATGATATGGATTGGAGCCCTGTGAAACAGCCCTCGAATTTACCAGTGGAAATCTCGGAGTGGCACAAACAAGAACAAATCGCTTACTGGAAATCCAAAGCTATTAGTTTAGAATTTGAGAATAGGATGTTGAAGCAACATTTAAGGAACGTCTACGCACAAACTATAATTGATAATGCAAGTATCGAGGAGGCGGTGGAACCTCCAGTGGAGAACGAGAAGAAGAAAAATCACCGCAAAACACCTGTAGAAGAAGTCTTGCCGAATTTACCAACACGCGAATCGAAGTATAGATTAGAAGAAATGAAGAAAATATATGGTGATAGGGCTGAAAAACTGATTAGCATGGAAACTGGATTGCAATTGAATTTTGAAAGGCTTTCGGACGAGTCTAAGCCGGCTTTCTGGCCCACTTTACCCCTTAAATTATAATTTTATTCTCATTTGAATAGTCATTAAATTTGTATTAATTTTACTTTTTATATACCAAACTTTTGTTAATAAATAAAAAGGGAAGAATATGTAAGTTTTCATACTCTCACACTTTAAATTGACAGAGTTTAGGAAACAATCTTGTTCAGGCTCGCTCGTTTAGGCCTGTTTGACTCGCCTAAATAAGATTATTTTTGTGCAGTTCTTCTTTACTTTACAAGTTACAAGTTCTAATTTAATACACTTGACTCGTTCAACCTACCTGAAAAATTTGAGTTATAAGTTTCTCCCTTTGATTCAATGCATACTCTAGAATACTTTAGATAATTCTAAATCTTTAGGGGATTTTTTTACAATTTTCTAATGTAGATAGGTACAACTAGATTTACTTAAATTAATTTTAGTGACTGTAAATGAGTATTACTATCAACGTTCAATTAGCCTCGAACGTCCTCTAAATTAAAAATTGTCTTTCAATTCCCAGCTCATTTCCTCTGTAAATCGTGACGTTTGTTTTTATTAACGTAATTATTTTCGTCCAATTTCACATTAGGATCTATCAAAAAATCGATGATCTCCTTCACTTCGGTCTTGTACGTTTTCAAATCGTGCACGTTCGCCGCGATCTCGTCGAACAGCTCGTCGTTGATCTGGTCCTGGTCGTTTTTAAACGCGTCCACCCTGTTGGTCAGCTGCTCGTGGTTCGCTTTAAACTTGGACTCCATAGTCTCGTGGTACTGCTCTAAGGCGGCGAGTTTCTTCTCGGCGCTGCTCTGGAAGTCGTCCACCGTCTGCTCCAGCTCGTCGATGCCTTTGCTCAGCCGCTCGGTGAGGTAGTTGATGGCCTCGTTGTCGTCCTGGACTTTGAGTACATCGTCCTGCAAGGCCTGGGTTTCGTCCTCCAAGCGATTGCTGAGCCGGCTGTTCATGTACTGCAAAGCTTCCACCTCGCCTTCCAGCCCTTCGATTTTGGATTGGAGGTCGGTGGTGCCTTTGCTTACCAGGGATTCGAGGTCTTTGAAGCGCTGCTCGGTGTCGTTGTGGATTTCTTGCACGAGGTGCCTCAGCACGTTTAACTCCGATCGTATGGAATCGATGGTGTTTTCTATGTAATGTCTGGTTTCGTTGTTGACTGAATTCAGAATGTCTATGGTTCTTAGGACGCCTTGTGTTACGTTAGTGGTGTTTTGGCTGTATTTCTCCAAGTCGTAGAATTTTTTGTTGATTTCTTCTATTTCCTCGTCGAGTTGTTTCGCTCGGTTTTGGAGATCTTCGAATTTGGAATCCAGGTTTTCGATATCTTCGTTGAATCTTTCTTCCAAATTGCTCATATTTGTTGCGTAATTTTGGGTGGTGTCTGTTAAATAGGCTAGTTGTAACTTGGTGTTTTGAGCGTCTTCTTTAATTTCTTCTAGCATGTTGATGTATCTTAAAGAAACGTTGCTTATGCTTGTTTTTAAATCGTCTACAGCATCGGAAATTTCGGTTTTAGTTTGATTCGATAGCGAGTATAAATCTTCTATGTTGTACATAATGTTGTCGTAGTCGTCTCTGGTTTTGTTCAATTCGGTAAAAAATATAACTTTTTCTTCCTCCATTGTGCTATAGAGTTCTTGGAGTAAATCTTTGGATGAATCGTTGATTTTTCTGGCTAGATCTTCGTAGAATTCGGATTTTGTTTGGTTATTTTGATCGTGGAAATTCTGTAATTCTTTCAAAATATCTTGTATATTCGATTTGTATTCATCTTCTATGGAGTTTATAATTTCTTCTAACGCTTTGCTTTGTTGAGTTAGATTAGCTGTTTTATCTTCCAGGTCGTTCGTAATGTTATCAAGTCTTTGATGAACGTAGTTAAATTTATAATCATTTATTTCAGAGGCATTGTTAATTTTTTGATCCAATTTATTTATGATTTTACCTATTTCTGTTCTAGTATTGTTGTTTGCTGAATACAAGTTTTTAATATCTTCAATTGTGTCTTCGTTTATCTTAGACATATTTACTACAATAGACTCCAATTCGTGATTAATTTCGTTAATTGCTTGGTAAACTACACCATCATCACCAATTTTTTTTGTTAAATTTTTTATATCCTCAACCATACCTACACTTCGTGAGAATAAATCTCGAATGCTTTGATCATGTTTACTGCTATCATTGAAAAGTTTAATAATGTGCTCTAGTGCCTCATTATTTGTTTCTGATATGGTTTCCAGTTCGTTTTTTATTTCATTGATTGTTTGATTGACTTCATGTAAATCGTTTCTATTGATCATATCGTCAATTTTTCTTGTTCTGTTATTAATATCATCAATATCAATTTTGGTTTCGTTGTTTTGCGAGTAAAGATTCTGTATGTCGAGAATAATTGATATTATATCGGCTTTGTTATCATCTATTTGATTTTGCATGTTTGGTATGTTACTAGTAATGTTATCGATTTTAGCTTCTACGGTTGTTATTATTTCCTCAAATTCTAATAAAGATTGGTTTTTAGCATTCATTAATGCTTCATAAACTTCACTTAGATCGTCTTTGCTACACATATCGTTTAAATAATTTTTAGTTTCGTCAATATCATTCGTTATGTTATTCATTCTGGTCATGATTTCTTTAATTTCATGGCTATTAGATTCAGATAGGTTGCCTAGTTTATTTTGTAGCTCATCAATTTTGTTATTAGTTTGATCAACTTCAGTTTTAGATTGATTACTTTGTGAATATAGAATTTGTATATCGTTTAGAATTTCTATTATATTCAGTTTATTTTCATCGATTTCATTTTGTGCATTTGTTGTGTTATTCTTTAGGTTTTCGATTTGTGCTCTTACAGTTCTTATTATTTCTTCAAATTCTTTTGAGGATTGATTTTTAGCATCCTCTAATGCTTGATAAACTTTACTTAGATCATCTTTGCTGGATATTTCGGTTAAATTATTTTTAGTTTCCTCAATATCAGTCGTGATGTTATTCATTCTAGTCATGATTTTTTTTAATTCATCCCTATTCGCTTCAGTTAGATTTTCTATTTTATGTTTTAAATTCTTAATTTTATCTTTAGTTTCATCATTTTCAGTTTTAGATTGATTATTGTACGAATGTAAAATTTCTATTTCGTTTTGAATATCTTTTATATCTTGTTTATTTTCATCGATTTCGTTTTGGGCATCGGTTAAATTAATCGTTAGGTCATCGATTTTTGCTTCTACAGTTTTTATTATTTCATCAAATTCCAAAGAAGATTGATTTTTAGCATCCTTTAATGCTTTATAAATTTCTTTCAGATCGTCTTTACTACAAATGCCGGTTAAATTATTTTTAGTTTCATCAATATCAGACGTTATGTTATTCATTCTTTTCATGATGTTTTTAATTTCATTACTATTATCTTCAGTTAGATTTTCTATTTTATGTTTTAAATTTATAATTTTATCTTTGGTTTCATCAATTTCAGTTTTAGATTGATTATTGTACGAATGTAAAATTTCTATTTCGTTTTGAATATCTTTTATATCTTGTTTATTTTCATCGATTTCGTTTTGTGCATCGGTTAAATTACTAGTTAGGTCTTCGATTTTCGCTTCTACAGTATTTATTATTTCATCAATTTCCAAAGCAGTTTGATTTTTAGCATCATTTAATGCTTTATAAACTTCTTTCAGATCGTTTTTACTACAAATGTCGGTTAAATTATTTTTAGTTTCATTAATATCAGACGTTATGTTATTCATTCTTTTCATGATTTCCTTTATTTTATTACTGTTAGCTTCAGTTAGGTTTTCTATCTTATGTTGTAAATCATTAATTTGATCTTTAGTTTCATCAATTTCAAATTTAGTTTGATTATTGTGCGAATTTAGAATTTGTATATCGTTTTGAATTTCTTTTGTATCTATTTTATTTTCATCGATTTCATTTTGTGCGTCAGTTAAATTCCTAGTTAGATCTTCGATTTTCGCTTTTACGGCTTTTATTATTTCTTCAAATTCCACCGAAGATTGGTTTTTAACATCATTTAATGCTTCATAAACTTCTTTTAGATCGTCTTTTCTGCAAATGTCGGTTACATTATTTTTAGTTTCATCAATATCAGACGCTATATTATTCATTCTAGTCATGATTTCTTTGAATTCATTCATATTCGCTTCAGTTAGATTTTCTATTTTATGTTGTAAATTCTTAATTTTATCTTTAGTTTCATCAATTTCAGTTTTAGATTGATTATTATGCGAATATAGAATTTCTATATCGTTTATAATTCCTTTTATATTCTGTTTATTCTCAACTATTTCGTTCTGTGCTTCTGTAATATTACTCGTTACATTTTCGATTTTCGCGTCTACAGTCCTTATTATTTCCTCAAAAACTTCTGAATAATCTTTTTTAGCATCCTCTAACGCTTCATAAACTTCATTAAGATCGTCTTTGCTACACATTTCCGTTAAGTTAATTTTAATTCCATTAATGTCATGTTTTACATCGTTGATTATGCTCTTTAGCTCCCCAAATCCATCCTTATTTGCTTCTGTTATATTACTTATTTTGTATTCTAATTCGTATATTGCACGGTCAATTTTTTCATCGATTTTGTTTTGCAAATTCGTTACATTATCAGTATAGTTTTCTAATTTCTCCTCCACCGTTTTTACAATTTCTTCAATTGCAGATATGTTTTTAGAGTTTTCTATTGTTTGGTAAACTTCATTCAAATCTTCTTTTCTGCACATTTCTGTTAGATTATGTTTAGTTTCTTCAATATCAGCTTGTACATTATTTATTGTATTCATAACTTCTTCAAGAACATCATTATTTGCTTCAGAGATGTTACTTATTTTATACAGTAGATCGTCAATTTTGTCTTTGGTTATATCGATTTCAGTTTTAGATTGATTGTTTTGTAAATATAAATTATTAATATCGCTTAGAATTTCTTTTATATTTATTTCAGTTTTATCTAATTTGTTTTGCATGTTTGTGATGTTGCTGGTAGCATTTTCTATTTTTGCTTCAACAGTTTTTATAAATTCTTCAAATTCAGATTGTTTCATTTGTTCCTCTATAGCTTGTTGAATATCATTTAGATCTTCTTTGCTGCACATTTCTGTTAAATTATTTTTAGTTTCTTCAATATCGGCTTGTACATTATTTATTGTTTTCTTCATTCCTTCGATTTCTTCAGTTATATTACCTACATTTTTTTGCAATTCATTTTTAATATATTTAATTTGGTTTTTGTTATCAACGATTTCGCTTTGCATGTTCGTTATGTTACTGGAAAAGTTTTCCATTTCCGCTTCAACTATTTTTATAATTTCTTCAATTGCAGATATGTTTTTAGCGTTCTCTATTGCTTTGTTTAGATCTTCTTTGCTGCCCATTTCAGTTAGATTATTTTTAGTTTCATTTATATCGGCTTCCAGATTATTTATTAAGTTCTTCATTCCTTCGATTTCTTCAGTTATATTTCCTACATTTTTTTGCAATTCGTTTTTAATATAATTAATTCTGTTTTTGTTATCATCGATTTTGCTTTGCATATTCGTTATATTACTGGAAAAGTTTTCAATTTCTGCTTTAACGGTTTTTACAATTTCTTCGATTGCAGGTATGTTATTAGCGTCCTCTATTGCTTTATTTAGATCTTCTTTACTGCACAATTCTGTAAGATTATTTTTAGTTTCATCAAGATCAGCTTTTAAATAATTTATTGTGTTTAAGACTTCTTCAAATGCATTATCATTTGCAGTTGTGTTACCAAATTGAAGTTGTAAATCTTCAATTTCTTCTTTGATTTTATCTATTTCGGCTTTATTTTTTTCTGATTGGTTGGCTATTTTATATTCTAGTTCGTTTTTGGCTTCGTCAATTGCTTGATAAACTCGGTTTATATCCTCATTATTACAATTTTCATCAGTTCCATTAGATAAATTGAGTTTGATTTTATCTAATGTAGTTTTAGTTTCATTATTTTGCGAGTATAAATTTCGTATATCATTGAAAATATCTCTTGTGTTCTCATCCATTTCATTCTGTAAATTATTTATAGTAGTTTCTGTATTAGTTATGGATTTTTTGATATCGTCTAAGGTGTCATTATTACTGTCTGATAGATGTGTGAGTTTGGATTCCAATGTATTTATTGCTTGAATAATTTCGTTTACATTTGTGTCGATATCCTCTATAGTCATTTTGCTTTTATTATTTTGTGAGTATAAATTTTGTATATCGTTAATAATATTTTCTAAATTTTGTGTAGTGTTGTTTTCATTTTTAAATTCTCGGTTGTTTACAGATTTTTTGATATCTTCAATAGCGTTATGATTTGTTTGAGATACATTTGTGCAGGTTTCGATTTGTTTGGTTAAATTATTAATGGTTTCAACGAAATTATTTTCAACTTGTTTGTTCTGTAGCTCTTTTAGAATGTTTTGCATTTCATCATTGAGCTTATTATTATCTTGCGCTAATTTATTAATTTCGTTAGTGCAGTTTTTCATTGCAGCCTCAGAATTCATGATAGATTTTTTGATTTCTTCAAGAAATTCAGGTATTTCTTCTTCGGTGGTTTCGGTTCCATTGTATTCTGAATGTAAATTTTGTAGAGATTTTGAAATTTCTTTTATATTAAATGTGTTATTATCTATTTCTTTTTGTATTGTATCTATTTTATTGCTCAATTCAAATTGAAGATCTCTCAAAGATGCTTGGATTCCTTCGTTTTGCTGGGATATGTTACCTATTTTTGTCTCTAAGTTTTCTTGAATTTCATCGATTGCATGATAAATATCATCATAATTAGATGCATTATGTATTTTTGCTGGATATTTACTTAATATCTCATTTACCTCATTTTTGGTAATATTATTTTGATGATCCAAATTTTCTATGATGGTTAAAATATTTTCTAAGCTGGACTGTTGATTGTCAATTTCATGTTCAATATCTTGAACCTGTTGTTGAATATCTTTTAAAACATCATCGTTATTAGTTCGATTAATTACCTTTTGAATTTCGTTAATTATATTATAGATATCTTCAAATTGGTCCTTATTGTTAGACATGTTTAGCGTGGTGTTTGATATTTCGTTGGTGTCATTAATGATTTCCTTTTGTTTACCATATATATTTTTTATATCTTCGGTATTTTTCTGTATATTGAAAATATTTTGTTCAATTTTGTTCTGGATATTCTCCATGTCAGTGGTACTGTTCTTTAGTTCAAGTTCCATGTGAGTTATCTTCTTTTGAATTTTTTCTATCTGATTGTCGTTTCTTTCTGCCAATTTAATCGTTGTAGTTAGCAGATCTTTTTTGATTTGCTCGATATTTTGGTAAATTTGATCAAATAATACATCGTATTCAGATGCATTGTTTATATTTGTTTCATTATTTAATTGCGTCAAAATTTCATGAATGCTGGTATCAGTGCTCCTATTTTTCATACTATCCACAACATCTTTAAGTTCTTTGAGATCAGAATTTATATTATTAATAGATTGTTCAACGTCTTCAAATACTTTTTGATTTCTTTGTGATATATTTGCAATTTTAAGCGCCAAATCTTTCTCAATTTTTTCCTTAAAATTCGACATGTTACTGAAGATGTCATTAATTTTCTCTGGTTCGTAAAAAGTTTTGAGCTCTTCTATTTGCTTGGTATTTTTGGTAACATCTTTTTGTAGTCCATCGACAATTGCTTGAATATTAGATTGGAAAGACTCATTGGGGTTGTTATCACTTAAACTATTCTCTATATCTTTTATTGTTGATCCTAAATGATCTATTTTAAGATCAGTGTTATTTTTGTTCTGTTCGATTTCCTTTTTGATTTCTTTTTCGGTCATTTCTAGTTTGTTTTCGATGATTTTCAAATCGTCCAAGGAGATTTCTGGAACCTCCTTAGATTGAATCGTTTTGTTTCCAATGTAGTCATTAATATCTTTTAATTTGTTGTGAATGTTGTCGATTTGATTCTGTAGTTGTTTGTTGTCAGAAATAATATCCTCTATTCTATCATCATCTGCAAGTTGCGGTCCGCTTGTTTGCAAATTTTTCTGAATTTCCTTTAGCTGAGCTTCTAAATCTTGCGTTTTAGTCTTAGTACCGTCTACGTTTAATTTATTCACCACTATCATCTCGTTCAGATCTTCTAATTTAGTGTGGATGTAATCGATTTCCGCTGCTAGTTTTTCTCCCGTGTACGAATTGTAATTATTCCTGATGCTCAATTCAGTACTAGAAGTGTCAGTACTAGAAGTGTATTCTCCTATAGTTGGTACAGTGGTGTATTCTACTGTTGGTATTGTAGTGTTGAGGTTGTTAGCTTTGCATTTTTCTATATCTGTTTTAAGCTGGCTGATATCCTTTTGAATCTGCCTCACGTTGTTATTAGCTTTGCTTTGCTTGTCTTGCATGTCATCGACCAGACTCTTCGTTTGGCTGGATTTATCATCGTATCGTTGGAGCTCCTCCTGCATTACTTTCAGTATATTCTTGCACTCGGAGCTGACGCTTTCGATTTTATTATCGCAATTCTGGTTGGCTTTTTTCAATTCAACCAGTTCTTCGACAATGTCGTTTTTTAATTGACCGTTCCCGTCGTCGTTCGAATTCGTTAGAGCCTTGACAAGATTCTCCAGGGTCGAGACTCTTTGCTCCAATTGAATCGACTTCTCGACCAATCTGGTGTTTTGTCTCACCACGTCGTCCAAACGCACTTCGTTGCGAACGACGCTCCTGGCGCAGTTATCCAATTTCACCAAAACATCCTCGTCAATATTCGGGCTGTTATCGTTATTATTCGGCAATTCGAAGTTCAAATTCAGCTCCTTCAGCAATTCCTCCGGGTCCTTCTGCACGTTCTTGACCTCCACGGGCGGGCGGTTGTACTCCTTGTGAAACCCCTCGTACTTTATCGGCTTGTGCTCGTTGCTGAAGCTGCACCTGGGGTGCTGGAAGCCGTAGAAGGACCCGTCCGGGTTGTAAAGGGCGCCGGTTGGTACATCGCTCTCGCAATCGACGTTCGACAACATGTTGTATCCGTCCCTGTCGGTCACGTTGAAGCCTATCATGGAGGTGGGCGAGCCGGAGGAGTCGGTCCGGAAGGGCTCGCAAGGCGGCGGCATCGGGGGATCCACGTGCAGGAAGCTCATGCCGACGCCCTGCTGCAGCACCTGCTTGGAATCGAGGATCCGGTGCTTGACGGGGCCGTTGCACCACGACTGGGAGCCGCTGGTGATGAAGTGCTCGTCCACGGCCTTGCCGTCCCATTCGAAGCACTCCGTTGGCACGGCGACGGTGTTGTCTGGAAAAGGTTTAGTGAATTTTGTGCGTGGAGGGTTTAGAGAGTTAATAACGCGTTACTTCCGATGTTGACGCCGGTGCAGAGCAAACTGTAGTATTCGATGTGCAGGAATTCTTTTATTATAAGAGCCACGGGTTTGATGTTTTCGCATTGGGTTTCTTGCGGTGGATTCCAGCGGCACTTGGGTCTTAGGCCTCTCCAGTTAACTGCACAACAAATTACTAGTTGTATCATAATGTCACAATTGTTGTGGAAGATACAGTGTTTTATTACCACAAATAATTTATTTAGCAATTATTTAGACTATTAATACTACTAATATTTTTGTATAAATGTGATATTCTTTTAATAAACTGTATTAACTCACCGAATCGATGATTCCTTTCTAACGGTTCTCCATGTATGGCGAATTTGCTTAGTACGTACAATAAAATAAAGGAAATTTCGCCAAATACTAATTTCATTTTATTTAAGGTAAATGCAGTGTTACTTTTATTTAAGTTAAATTAGTGTATAATTTTTCGCGTAGGCGAGAAATCTCAGATAAGGCTAATTCATTAATTGTACAGGGTACTCGTAAGATATAAATATTGCACAGGTATTTTTATAAAATGTCATTCTTAAAAAAATAAAAACAGATATTCCTGCAGCCTCAAATCTGCTGAAAAATAAGGCGAAATTTAGGATAATCGACCTGTTTGAGCTTATTTCTCAGTTCATATAAAAGAAGGTATTTAAGTTTATTCACACTTAACGTATACCCTGTATAAAATGGATTTGTTTTTTTTATTTCGTTGCATTCGTTATGAGAGCGAATAAACTTAACTAACCCTTTGGTGTGTGATGAAATATACATACATATCTACATATTTTTAGCGTAAAAAGTGAAAACTAAAAGTATTTTTATTTACCCAGTTTTCAAGTACCTACATGCCTATTTCTTTCTGTGATAATCAATGATTAAACATGATTTGAATATGTAAAAATATCCCAAAAAATAGAGGGTCAAATCTCCAGTTTACTTATTTAATTATTTATTATTAAAACACCTAATATTAGAACATCAAATATAGTTAGTTTTATTAATAAATAAGTAATAAATATTATCGCCTTTTGTTCGATAATAAAACGCTCTGCTGACTAGAAATCATCAGGTTTCTCTATCTTAAGTACGACCAAATAAATAACTGAAGTGGTCGAACTTGTTTGTGTCTATGCATTCATTAAAACGTCTGTAATATTATCGTTACGAACCAAAACAACCAACAAGAGTTTAAAAGTTATCGTTTAAGACAATAAAATTCAATTAATCCTCGGTTGTTCTAGAGTAATGTTGCATGTGAAAAGTACCGCTTGAGTGTTAAAATTTGACGTACATATAAGATAGGTACATTTCTACTTTACAAATTCGTACAAGTTTATGAAAAACTGCTTTCGTAGTGATTGTCTTGCAGGGTTATTTTTAATTTTTTAGGGATCTGGAAATATTGAAAACATGTTAGACCTCTTCAAATTATTAGTAGTTCTAAACTTATCGGTTGCAATTAAGTGTATACCTACGACTACAACTCCACGGCCACAATCCCATTGTGGATACGAAGTAAGAAAATTACATCATATTTCCACAGTCACTCGATTAAATAAATTGTTTTATAATTTTGCATGTTATTACTTAAACACTGAATTAAGAAATTTTTTAGTCTTGTCATCCAATCAAAGGTGGTGATTACATTAATGTGCATATAGTCCCTCACACTCACGATGATGTCGGCTGGTTGAAAACTGTTGACCAATACTATTACGGCAGTAAGTCATTGAAAAATTATATCCGATAAGAAATAAACAGGAAAAAATGTTTGTTCTCAGGTAAAACCAACATTCAAAACGCCGGTGTCCAGTACATTTTGGACTCCGTCGTAGAATCTCTCAAGAAAGATCCAAACAGAAGGTAAATTTCGATTTTAGTGCACTTCAAAAGTTAACAAAAAATTTATTTTAGATTCATCTACGTGGAAACTGCGTTTTTCTGGAAATGGTGGATCAAACAGCACGACACAGTGAAATCCCAAGTGAGAAGATTCGTGAAGAACGGCCAATTGGAATTCATAAGCGGAGGATGGAGCATGAACGACGAGGCTGTGACCCATTACCAGTCGATTATAGACCAGATGACGTGGGGATTGAGGTATTACTTACAATTAATTTGACCTCGTATCTACTCGAACAACTTTTTTCCAATTTCAGGAAATTAAACGATTCCTTCGGCGAGTGCGGTAGACCTAAAATGGGCTGGCAAATAGATCCCTTCGGCCACAGCAGAGAAATGGCCTCGATTTTCGCCCAATTAGGTTTCGATGGGATTTTGTTAGGAAGGATCGATTACCAGGACAAGGACCACAGAATGCGAACCAAAACGCCGGAAATGGTGTGGAGGAGCAGCCAAAACCTGGGCGAAAATAGCGATATATTCACCGGAGTGATGTTCAACGTGTATTCTCCTCCGGCTGGATTTTGTTTCGACATTCTCTGCTCCGATGAACCAATTATAGACGATAAGAAAAGTGCCGACTACAATGTTAATAAAAGAGTAAGAATTTTTATTATCTACTTTTATCGATTCAGCAACATATTGCAAGTTGCAACAGTTTATATGTGGGAAATTTTCGATTCAACTCGGCCTCTTTATTCTACCAAAATAGAACTCTTCTAATTTTTCTAACATTTCCAACTATACTAACCGATTCTTCTGCTAACCAACTTTCTTCATCAGGTGGATGAATTCGTAAAATACTTAAACTCCCAACGTCAACACTACGACTCCAATAATCTCGTTATCACGATGGGCAACGATTTCAATTACCAAGACGCCAACACTTGGTTTAAGAATCTAGACAAACTGATAAGGTTCGTATTGCTAACAGGCCGCCCTTCTTCCCGCAGGTGGACGAAATCGTCGAATTCCTCGACAACACGACGAGCCGTTACGCCTCCAACAATCTCATCGTGACCATGGGCGAGGATTTCAATTACCAGAACGCGGAAACTTGGTTTAAAAATTTAGATAAGTTGATCTAGTAAGTTGCGATACTGGTGGATTGAGGTGTCGCTTAATAGGGATTTTATGTCTGTTTTTATTGCAATTTTGTTACTACAAACTCTTGTATTTTATTTAGTTATACGAACGCTAGACAAGCGAACGGGTCGTTGTACAATTTGCTGTACTCCACGCCATCTTGCTACGTGAAAGCGATTTACGATCAAACCAAAGGCAAGAAGAAATGGCCGGTGAAACGAGACGATTTCTTCCCGTACGCCTCGGATCCTCATGCCTTCTGGACGGGGTACTTCACCTCCAAACCCACAATCAAGAGGTTCGAAAGGGAAGGCAATAATTTCTTGCAGGTGAATGAAATAGAAGGTGTTGTGATGTTAGAATTAATGTTTAATTGTCGAAGGTTTGCAAGCAATTGTACACTTTAGCGGATTTGGATCCGATAGATAGGGTCGATCTGAACGCAATGAGAGAAGCTATGGGTGTCATGCAGCATCACGATGCAATCACCGGCACAGAAAAAGACCACGTAGCTCACGATTACGCTAGAATACTAACAGACGGCATCAAGGAATGCGAGGATATTACCAGCAAAGCTTTGAAGTAAGCACCCAGAAGCAACAAACTCATCCCATCTAATCCCCTTTTAAAATTTACAGCAAAATGATATCACCCAATCTAGACAATCCCATTAACTTCGTGAATTGCCCTTTGCTGAACATCAGCCAATGCGAGTTCACGGAGAAACGGCCCAATTTCATCGTGACGATTTACAATCCCCTAAGTCGACCTGTATCTAAATTCGTACGCCTTCCAGTCACCGGGAAATCCTACCAAGTGGTGGATCCCTCAGGTGAGCAACACAAAAGTTCCAGTGATTGTTTACTAATCGATATTTGTCGCGATGCCAGGCAAAAAATTAGACACGCAATTGGTGCCGATTGCCGATGCTGTTAGGGCGATACCGGGAAGGGCCAGCGCCGCGCAAAACGAACTAATTTTCCAGGCCACTGCCCTTCCACCATTGGGCTTCAAATCGTATTACGTGCAGAGACTTAGCGGTAACGAAATATCGAAGGTGCAAACGTTGAGGAACTATAAATTAGGAGTGAGTATCGAGTTAAGGATTGTTATGAAAAGACTTTATACTTTTTTCTTCCAGGAGGCCGAATTTCAGATAGACACCAGAACCGGCCTGATCAACAAAGTGACGATAAACGAACAAACTATTGACCTGAAGCAGGAGTTTTATTACTACAAGGGCGCCGTGGGTAACAATTCCAAGTTCATCGACAGATCATCCGGGGCGTACATCTTCCGGCCTGAAGGTGACGCCATTAAAGTCAGCGATAAGGCGGATCTGAAGATATACAAGGGTTCATTGGTCTCGGAAATCCATCAGAAATTCAACGATTGGATCAGCCAAGTGATCAAAGTGTACGGTGGCGAAAATTACATCGAATTCGACTGGATTGTTGGTCCTATACCCGTTGAGTAAGTATCAATCACCGACCTTCTATATCATTTAAACCCAACTTGAATGCAATGGACGTGTTTTTTCTTCAGTAAGTCCAACGGTAAGGAAGTTGTAACGAGATACAAGACCGCCTTGAAGTCCAACTCGACCTTTTACACGGACTCCAATGGCCGCGAAACGCTGACGAGGATCAGGAATTTCAGGCCCAACTGGAATTTGAAACTGGACGAGCCGGTGGCCGGCAATTACTATCCCGTCACAGCTAAGATAGCTCTAAGGGACGAGGATAGAGGTTTAGAGGTGGCTGTGCTCACCGACAGGGCCGAAGGAGGAACCAGCTTGAAGGACGGCGAAATCGAACTCATGGTAAGAGTTAATGGAGAATGCCGATAGGAATATTTATATTTTTTCGTAGCTTCATCGAAGATGCATCCATGACGATGGTTTCGGGGTAGGCGAAGCTCTAAATGAAACGGCTTTCGATAAAGGGCTGGTGGTTAGAGGGTCTCATTACGTGGTTGTGGGACAAACAAATAACAAGAATCCGGGAGGTAAGTACACATTAAACCAGGATGTAAAATTACACATAAGTATTTTCTCATTTTTTCCAATTTCTAGGCAAAACGGTGGCAGCTCAGGAGCGAGATATAATTCAGCAAAAACTGCTATCGTCTTGGATCTTCTTATCCGATATCAACGATTACACTGAAGAACAATACAGAGCTCGCTTCAAAATGGACGTAAGAAAATTATGCGCTTCATTTTCGTGGTGATATTAATAATTTTTGATACTTTTAGCATTCGGGATTAGTTAGAAATTTACCGGACAATGTTCAAATACTGACACTCGAGCCGTGGAAAGGCGACTCAATTTTACTGAGGCTCGAACATGTATTGGAAATAAAGGATGATCCGGAACTCTCGAAACCCGTTACTGTTGATTTAAAGGTAATTCGAGTCTTTAATATTGTCACAAAATTTACTTTTAAACAACTTTCTTATGATTTAATGGAGTTTTATTGTATTTATGGACTTTTGGAAATATTTTTAGAATTTATTCGTGCCGTTCAATATCACCAGTATGAGGGAAACGACTCTAGGTGGAAACCAATGGCTCTCTGATAATCAAAGACTCCGTTTCGATAGCGATTCCCTGTTAGAAGATCTTTGGAAAGCTGATGGTGGTTATCAGGAATGGGCCAAGCAAAAATGGATGGACAGTTTTAAAGAGCCCCGAGATTTTATCGAAGATTTTAAGGAAGATGATATGAAAATCACATTGAATCCCATGCAGATACGCACGTTTATTTTGAACGTTTCGAGAAAAAATCTTTAAAATAATTGTGTAATAATTATGTAGTAGTTTTAAAGGATGTTTGTATGATTGAATATTCTGTAAAGGTTTTTTTTTTTAATTAAAGTTAATTAGATAAAAATTAATTGTTTTTATTCGTACGTTTTAATTCAAAAAGTAACTAGAAAAAAAGATCGAGTTTCCAGTATAATTTGCGACCGATATAACACGAGTCAAACTATGTGCAGTAAAAGGAAACGATTTCAATCACGCCGAATGTATTATTAAAATCCTGAAAGAACCGATTTATTCTGAAATTAATGTATTAAATCTCTTCTTCGCTTCGAGATAAGAATTAATTTCGGTTGCGCAATGCAATCTATATCCCAACGAGTAAGAAATATGTAAGAAATGCACCGCCAAAAATGCCTCTACACGGGCATTTCCTTTCTATCCTCATCCGTCGTACTTTAATCACTATCACGAAGTAATTCTAATAAATTATATTGACTTTTACTCAACCCCTCTTACGGGCTGAAGCGAATTCGTGAAAAGGATCATTTCGTCCAGTTAACTATAAAAAGCCCGTGTGGATTTTATCTTATCACTTGCAGTTAAATTTTCTTGCGAAAATGCACCGAGTACTTCTTTTATGTGCTTTTGTAGGTAAGTAGTAACAACAGTTTTATTTATGCTATTTTGTGGTAATTTTTATGATAACTTTAAAAGGTGTGCTTTTAAAAAATTCTCGAAAGTAACTAATTGATAAAATTTCAGCAACAGCAGCAACCAGCTACCTTCCTCAGACTGAGCTGACCGTTTTGGACCCGTACTCGGGCATCTCGTGGAATGGACCCTCAATTTCAGGAATTGGAGCGTACGCTGGCACTTTTCAGACCGATGGAGTCCTGCAAAAAGGGTCCCAATTAACCAGCATAGCCCGAACTTCAGCAGCAAGCGCTAAAAACGCCGTGTACAATCAGAACTCCGCAGGAAGCCAGGCGGAATACGGAGTAAAAAGCAATCTTGCCAATGTTGCTGTTGGGGTAAGATATTCATAAATCGATTTCAACTCAATATTGTACCGGTGGTAATGATAAATTCGTACCACCTCTTGTACCATCTCCTCCAAAATTCGATCATTTTTTTCACCAGGCCGCCAGAGCAGCCCAAGCGGCTCTAACCGGCAAACAAGCGATCTACTCGAACCTCAAGCACCAGCTGATCGCCGCCCAGGGCCAGCTCAAGGAGGAAATCGCCCAGTACCACCAAGCCAAGGTGGCGGCGCAAACGGCCCAAGAGGCGGCCCACAAGGCCCAGGCGCAGGTGGCCACCCAGAGAACAGCGCTGATAGAGGCGGAGAACACCGCCCACAACACGGCCGCCGCCGCCGCGGAAGCCGGCAACGCGGAGGCGGCTCAGAAGGAAATGGTCCTGGACGCCAAGCAGAGGGTCGAGAACCTGCTGCGGCAGTTGAAGATCGTCGCCGGGGACTTGAAGGAGATCGAGTATTCGGCTAATAAAGCAAATAATGCCGCGAACGTGGCTAAGTTGAACGCCGCCAACTCGGGTCTTAAGAACGACTACTTGGGATCACAGAACTTGGGATTTAATAACTACCATTAATTTGTATGGCCATTTTGTAATTTAAGATGGGATACGTTCGGATTTTATTGTGCATTTTTTTGCTTTCTTTGGGTAGGTTTAGATATTATATTTCAATTATTAAAACTAATATATGTAAACTTTTTGACTTAATTTTTTAATATACATAAAATTTTAAACAGAATTAAAGTGAATTGTTTTCTTACTAATGTAATGTTGGTTGCATAACTTCAGGCGAGCAACAAGCTCCAAATTTATAAACAGGGCCATGGCATGGTCGCAAAAGCCAGGTCAAGAAACCTTGCTGGGTTGCGGATGATGTGATTCTCGGCAGAGGGCGCTAGTATCCGAAGCACATGTGGACTTACATAACGCTACTAATAGTACTAATAGACAAAATATAAGATATCATATACATATTTCCTTCTCTATGATGCCACTTTTCCTTCATTCTGCCATTTTGCCTTTCAAATTTCATTTTTATTTAAGTGTAACAATGGTATAAGAATTTCAAAATTAACGCTACCCGACACTAGCGTCCGGATTCCTTATCCTCATGAACCCTCAATCCAAAATCCAAACTCACAAAATATTCCAAAATTTCAAAATATCACTAAACCAAGTTTCCAGACCTGTGTGTTAGACCGTAGGTCATGGTAATATTTGTCAAATGTCAAATATTGCCTTGTTTTTGTTTGTCTGTCAGTTTTATGTCAAGTCAACAATCAACATCCCACAGTATCGAGTTCGAGTATCCAATAATTCAATCCAATCGTCGTTTACCTGTTTGCGAGGTAACACAACAGTTTTTAAATTTGTCGGTGACCAAGAGAAGCATTGAATTACAAAAGCGACGGTCGGGCGCGCATTACAATATGTTTGTTATTCGGTGTTTTGCGGTGTAAACAGAGGTCTTGGATTGCTGGACATGAACATTTTTTCAGTGTGCGCCTTTCGAAGCAAAAAAAAGAAATTCGGTTTGTGCGGACGCGTTGTTTGTTTTCCGAACTGCGAGGAACGTTTTCCGTGCGGTAACGAAGAAGGTTTAAGTGGAGTACTCGCTCGGGATTTCCAAATTCCTCGGCAGTAATGACACACTTTTCATCGACGTCTCGCGATCAACCACCATTTACGAAACATTCCTGAGGAATAATGACTGATCTATTAGTGCCTCGGGGTGATACGTTCCCCAGGTCCTTCCTGGACGCGTATCGGGCCAACAAGAACGAACAATTTTACAATGACCTGAGTTCCAGCAAAAGTGACGAGTTAGTTTTGCAAAACTCCAATTGCCTGGATATCCAGATTCCGGAGGAGATCCACCACGGGCATTCGGAGAATTTGCTGGACGTGAAATCGGAAGTGCTCGACAAGCCCAAGGCTTATAGAAAGATACAAGTGTACGATCGAGTCGATCCCGAAGATAGCATTAGAGACATTGTTAGTGAAAATGATTTTTACAGGTAATTTTATTGCTTAAAATTGTTTTTTTTATTTCTAGGGCAATTACCTACAATTCAGTAAGAGATTTGTAGTTTCTCTACGATTGTAAATATTATACTTTTTTTATACTTGTTTCCATTTAGAAAGATAAATTATATTTTGATATAGCTCATATAATATTATAAATAATAAAGGTATATTTGGAAATATTAGATAAATTAGTACTGATATCAATATTTAACCTTATGCAATGTTTAACAGGAAACTACATATGCCTAATCAATCAGAACTGAACTTTATTGTTTAATTCGGTTTATTTTTATTTGATTATTTCGTTATATTTACCTTGAATTTGTTCCTGTTGCCGGTTGCAAAAATACCGGGAAAATTACGTCTGTATTTATTATTTTTTTAGATTCGTTTTATTCAAAAAGCACTACGACAAATATTTGCATTTGTCCCAGAAATACGAAGAGGTCAGGAATACAGCGTATTATTTGGAGGAAAAATATTATGAGGTTAAGGTAATGAATTTCTCAATTTGCGTTTCATTGAGAATATTTAATTTTATCAACATTTCAGTCTGAACGGGACGATTTAATCAAACAAAGGGATCAATTGACGAAAAAATTAGAGTCTAACGAATCTTTGCTCAGAGAGAAAGAAGACGAGTTTTTTTTACAATTCGAAAGGGTGGTGTACTTAGAAGAACAATGTGATAAGGTGAGTGTTTTCTTTTCAAAGATATTAGCTTTTTAAATTGGGTACTTATTCACTATTATCATCGTTATAGCTGGATTAATAAATTAACTGTAAATATAATTTTATCAGGTATAATATAATTGACCTTGTTATTTACAATTTTTAATAAACAATCAATCATACTGACAAAACCGTGACAAATAAAATCGTTCACAATCAAAGATCGCGTTTCCTTATATTTTTCTTTTCGGAAAATTGGATAATTAATACTTCAAAAAGTCCTGTTTTGTAGAATATTAATTTTTAAACAATTTATTAAGTTCTTCTTAGCACCGTTAAAATTGCGCATCGTTGTATTTTACATGGCGAAATGTAGTTTATTTTATTCAGGTGTACCTATTTTGTAAACTAATTAGCTTAATTGGACCATTACTTAATATGTATGTTGGTTAATTTGCACAAAAGAGTAAATAATGCATGTTTATGTAAAAACCACCGAATTTAAATTCTGATTCCACGAATTCGAGAAAAGCATTTTCACGTTTGAATAACATCAGGTCTCGTCAATGAATTGTGAGTCTTCTAAGATAATTTTAATCTCTCATTTATTTGTTATTTAGTAAATAAGAGAATTATTCTAGTCCTACTAAATGTAAACTAAATTTTTGTATTTACATTTTATTTGCATATTTATTCAAAGCATTGATTGAAACTGAAATGTAAACTGGAAGTTATAAGTATTCCCAGCAAGTACACCAGTACATATTAATTAATAGGTAATTGATCCTGAGTTTCATTATTGAACGCTTATGTTTTTACAATTTGCATGACATCATTATGAATCATTTTTATTTATGAAATTCACATAATTAATTAATTTGTAATATCAAACGTGTTGAATGATTTTTGATCAAAATTAAAAGCCGACCGGTTATCCTTGGAAATGATAGTGAAATACTTGGAACCGAAAGAATCTCCTTTCGGCCAAATTCGAGAAACGGTAACAGGATTCTTCGTGTAGATATTAAAATAATCCAATTAGATTACGAAATGTAACGTTTGTAACGAATAATGAAAGTGGTTTTCGAGAGCAAATAAAAGCAACGCATACGCACCCCAATTTAATACAACAATTTCTCTAATAAAATTACGCAATGGAATCGATTATGTAGGGGAAAGCGGGAGTAATAAAACGCGAAATGTTTTTTTTGCTTTTAATATCCGATTTTCTGCACGTTTAATGCCTGTAATAATATATCATTTTTTTAGTTGAGAGCCGAAAAGGAAAAATGCGAGACGCAAAAAGGATTGTTGGAAAAAGAACGAAACAAAGCGTTGAAAATGGTAAGTTCGTTTTATAGGAAATCGATTTATTTTAGGCTTAAACATGTCGATTTCAGCTTCAAGTGGAATCCACCGAATCCGAATATACGAGAAGGAAATTGGAAATGGCCCGACAAGAGGTCGTCGCTCACATGACAATAATCAAAAATGAAAAAGACGAATTGGAACGTGAGGTATGTAGAAAAAATAAAATTTGTAAATATTAAACGTAGAAAATCATTTGTTGTGAACTGTCGAGAAATTCGCCTCTCACCTGTTAGCACCAGGTTAATAGGTGAAATATTTACCGATCTACAGTTAAATTTCACTTCTTCTTAACCGATGAATATACAGGGTGCGTTCAAAATACTACTTATTCGTTAAAGAAGTACTTGGTGCCTGTCTAGTATGCGGTCTACCCAAATTTTTTTTTATGCAAAATATTTATTACAAAGTAGAACAGCAAGATTTTGAAAATTCAGGCTTTATGAAGCAAAAAAACAGCGTATAAGTAATTCAATTTGCCGAGATTTGGGAAAGTACCAGTATTTATTTAAACGTATAATTTACCTACACAGGGTGAGTTTTTTGAGATGTTTAAAACAGAGATCTCGGAAACTGTAGGAGATAGAAAAAACTTTAAAATGGCCAAATTTTTGCGAGTCATATTTACAAACAGTTTAAGTTTTGAAAAATATGACAGCTGTCAAAGTATTTAAATATACTTGGGCGACGAACTGTGTTGGTAGACCGCAAATATTACGGTAGACCGCATACTAGACATTTATCTTGTATAAACGAGTAAAAACACGCTGTATTTGTTATAAAAAATTTCTGTTGCATTTAGATCGATCAATTAAAAGAAGCCTTAGTAATCGAAAGGAGCGGCATTGGAAAATTTATCGTCCAAGGAAAGCGACTGAACGACGATCTCCATTGTATGGAAAAAAAGGTAAGTAATGCGTTAGAAACGATTTTAATACTAAAAAATCCGATTCGAATCGCTGAAAGTTTTCGCGATTATGATTTTAGCGCTACGTCGAAAAAAAATGTGTCACACTAAAATTTAAAGGCTATTAAACGCCGTTTATCGGTCGACTAAACAGCCGGTTTTTGTCTTTCTTTCTTTCTAAATTCGATTGAAGACCGGAATCGAAAGTTTAACATCCACTTCCTTCTTCTTTTTACGCGATCATCGGCCTGTAACGAATGCGCGCCCTTTTTTTTTGTTACTCGAACATCCTTTGCACTGATTTACTCTCGTTCGGTTTTATTGCAATGCAGTTGATTATGCATTCGATGAATGTCCCACCAGGAAAGGCATTTCGATGATCCTGTTGCAAAAAAGTGGCTAATGTATGGCAAGAGTAGTATCTACGCAAGAATTTTTCATATACATCTCGATAAAAACCTTATAAGTTGAATTAGGTTTTCCGTTGTTATTTATTACCGTGAAATTGTGTATTAACAAGTTCTACATGACATTTTTGGTATTTTTATTCGACGCATTCGTCTTTATTACGAGGTTTAATTATATAAAAAAAACACACACACACAGACAAAAGTATCACGCCGTGAAAGCTGGACGGTTAAAAATCAAGACGTCGTGTCTTCGACCTGATTGTAATTTCGTTCGGAATGTTAATTAATAATGAGATGATATAAACGTGCTTTACGACATTGTGAGTTCGAAATTCCTGCTAACTCGCTGAAATTGTTACGAAATACCTCGGGATAATGCCATTTTTTGCTCGATGCCTTTTTTTCTCTTAAAATTTATGACATAAAAAATTAAGAATAGGAGAGAGAAATATTGTAAGGACAATTAATTACCTAAATTCTGCGATTTCACGCCACTGGGTTGCTCTTTTCAGTGCTGTGTAAGTCATTGGTGTATGCTAATATTCCATAAACTATTCAAGGTTTTGAAGACTATACAGCGCATTGTTGGTGAGATAGAACCTTAAATGATCGAAAAACTAGCCAAAATTGTATCTACAGGATATGGAGGTCATTTGCCTGCATTTGTATTTTTAACGTATTGTCTTCAACCAATATGCATATAGAAATTTATTACTTTATGTTGTGAATTTTAAAGAAAAACAATCTAAAAAGGCGTCATTTCTTATTCACTCTTTTGTGCAACTCGTATAAAATTGGAATTGTTTGATATGAGTTCCGAGTAGTATTCAACGAGTTCTATCAGAAACTCTTATGGTATTTTGCGATTTTTTTCAATAATTAAAAAGTTATGGGTTGCCATTCTAGATTTCTAGAAAAAAATCCTATTGCGAAGTTAGGTGTAAAGTTAGCACCGCAATTTTTAATTGTCAATAACATTAGTTAAAATGGCGGAACTCTTTTTATTTTTCTAAAAGTACTCTTATATTCTTTAAAATGAACTCAGAACTATTGAGATTCGAAATTAGGTTTATAACGTTACACTCCATTTTTAAGTCGTTTTATGTATTTTATTTTTTAGTTGGGAGATATGAAATTAATGGAACAATCTAGTAGCGCCTTGACGTCGCAATTTCAAAAGGCTGTGGAACATTTAGCGACTTGCAGACTGAAAAAGTGCTCCGTTTGTGCTTACACGAAATCGACATATCGAAAAATGTCGCCGAATTGCCGCAAATACGAGTAAGTCATTACTTTTTTTATCTAAAAAAAACCTTTAAACAACGAAATTTATACGAATTTTTTGAACTTTAACATTTTGACAGTTGATGTTGGTGTTGCCAGTAGGCGCATTTTATCGTTCTGTGATCATTGTCATTAATGTCAATATTGTTATTTACATCAAGTTCTGTGCCATTAAAGGCAAACACAGCCAGACTGGATTGTTGTTTTTAGCACTCATAAAGTTTGTTCACAACAAACTTTTAACTGATACACAAACTAGTCAATGACAGCACGATACAAAAATTTCACATTCTGTCTGCCTTCTCTCTCAACAAAGAAGTCTATTAATAGCACATTACATAGATAAATTATGCCATCAAAATTTAACTATTAAAACTTGTACCGATTAATCTTTTCTTAATTAATTATTTAATTTTTTTTTTAGTCGAAAATTATTCGGTTGCCTTCAAACGCCCTTCCTCGAGATGCGCAACATGATCAAGCCGCCCCCGTCTCCCATCCACAGCGAGGGCGAGAGCCTGTCCGAGTGGTTCTGTCCCATGGAAGGTACCCCGGTGCAGAGCGATTGCTCGTCGCTGAGCGTCCCCTTCGCCGAACTATCCATATCCTACGCGGACGACGCTTCGGACACGTGCAGCAGCTACGGCAAGGACGAGGAGAAGGACGACCAGGATCGACTGAGCCGAGGGAATTGCAGCAGTTTTAGAAGCAAGTCGTTCTTGTATATTATAGCTAGTTGCGTTGAAAGTAAAAGGCCATAAGCAAATTGGCAGATGTAGATATGCCTTTGACATACTCATAAGTGCAAATTTGGGACAATTTCAACTGTTATTTTAATAATCCTTCTTTATTTAACTCAGAATTGACCATATTGCAAACAAACTTGCGCTTACCAGTATACATGCAGTGTTATTGACAGTAATTTAATGCAATTGGGTGTAATGAAATGATTTTTTTTTTCTAGGATTTGGTAGCGATTCGGGTTTTTCGTCGGACATTTGCGCCGATTATAAGAGCAGCGCCGGCGCCGCGACGCCGAAGGAGAAGTTCCGGCCGAAAGCCGCCTTGGATGAGGCGGATCGCGCGAAATTGACGAGGACTAAGTGGACTGCTTCGTTCAGGAAGATGATTAAGCGCATCAAAAAATAATCGTTGTTTTATTATAATTTCGAAAGTACCTATTCGGCGTTTGATTTTTCGTTTTTTTTTTTGTTAATACGCATTCCAGATTGTTGTTTAAATTATGAGTAGGATTATTGTTTGTCTAGTTTTAAGTAGACGTTTTCGTGGTACAAAGCAGTATTGTCTAAGTGTAAGTCGTTTTATGTTTTTTTATTATTTTTTATTTTAATTTTTTTTTTGTCACTCACTTTTATTTTTTTATGCGATTTTTATCTGAGATATTAAAACGTATTTGAAAAGTTGCTTGTTTTATTTGCTAGGTGTAGAAATTGCGTACTCTGTTGATAAAAATAGTCGAATTTTGATGTGTAATGTTAATTGAAAATGATATTTTAATGAGACTCGTATAAAATCGTTCTCTTCAACACTATATTGTCGATTTTCGAAGGAACTGATTTTAAGGATTTAACAAAATAGCTAATGTTGAATTATGTTTTTAAGATCGTTAAAAACAATTTAATAAACTGAATATTTCAGTCCGTTATTATTATATAATAATTATTTGACGAATTTAGAGTTTGAACAATTAAATGTTCCCATAGAACTCATTAAAGTTTTCAACTTGCATTTACTTTAGAGTTTAATGTAAAAGTTGAGCGTAAGATGCTATTAGAATAGTTGTTACAGTATAGAAAAAATATTAATAAACCAATACAAAAGTTTTATATTTTCTTCGAGTATTGGATGGTGTTGAACAATAATGGAACAAGTCATTGAAATGTAATAATTAAATAGTTATCAAGTTATAGAAAAATATAAATTTATATAGAGGTGCTGATTCATTAGATCAACCTTATTAATAAATGTGTCCTGACTTATTATTCCACACCATCCAATTATTGATTTTATACTTAATTTATTGAGCACATTTCAATTGCCACTTATTTCTCATTTTTATAACAATTAGATAATTTTCGTAATTATCAATAAATCTTTCCAATAAGTAAGTTGTTTCCATTCAATTCAAACAATATAAGATATGAATGCAAATAGGTATCTCTTATAAATTCAATTGTACCTGAATACAATTTCAATATTGACTAGATTCCTTATAGTTTCAAAAAGATTTCAATTTTTGCTATAGATATTTTTTTAATTTTGCAACTACAATAGAATTTCAAAATTACATTTTTGATTTCATTTCACGATTAAGTCTTCAACAAAATTGTATTTTAACACCTATAAAGGAAGTAAATGATTTCCTCAATAATAATATAAATTAATGATGTAATAAATACTTTGTAATTCGCAGTATTGAAATCATTTAATAATTACGCAAATCATTTTGATTTGATAAGCAGATTTTAATCTCTATTTGATAAAATTCCGAGATTTTTAATCTAAGCTACTGTGTTTTTAAGGATCACAAAATCCAGGACCGCATTAACTTTTACGCAAGATATTTAGAAAGAGAGTTATCAATTAATGGCAAATGTTCTAGATCCAATCCTGGAATAACTTGATATATGCATAATTCTATAAATTTATTTAAAAGTTTTAAATAATTCCATAATTACATATGAAGATAGTCTCATTTTATAAGTGAATCGATACAGGTAGATACTAAATTATCCCATTCGAATTGTGAGTACAATATTATCCAAATAAATTACATTTTTTTACATTATTATTTGTTCTAAGTAAGTTTTTAATATTCTGTGTTCCCAAATCTTCAAAATTTTCAAAATCTTATACTTATACTTATACTTAATTTGGTAGACCCCATACTAAACCAGATACGGTAGGGTAGACCTGCATACCAGACCGGCACCAAAATTTGGAAGGTACTTACACGTTTTGCTCGAACTGAGATCTGATCCAAATTAATTGTCTGAAGGTCGATGATTTACAAAATATCTATTTAAACGCACAAATGTTACGGCTGTTGCATTGTATTTTAATAATATACTTAGAGATTATTATTACAGTCGTGGAAGCGACGAAATTTATGTGTTGGTGTCCTTCAATTATCCGCAATTAATTGGGATTTAACGCATGATTTTTATGATTTTTTGAAGGAATTAAAAAAATTTATTTAACGACTAAAGTAAACTGCCGAGAGCACAGGTAAGACGTTTCAATATTTCTTCCCGGCCTAAATGTACACGAGCGAATAAATTTTGCATATATGAAAAATGAAAGCGATATTTTTCCACTAAATGTATAATCTGTAATTTGATTCCACTAGTCACTTTTATCTGTTCGTCTGATAAAATGTATTTCCGATTAAATTAAACCGGAGAAATGATTTTTGCATCGTAACAAAAGAGCGTGTGTTTCAGTTATAAAAGTTTCTCTACCTGTGGTTTAAAAATAAACAACAGAGTTGAATAAAGCAGTAGGTAAAGTACCGTTTGCCTCACATTGGGTAATATTTTATAAGGTGAATGTTCATGGCACGTACTTGTCGAGTTGCAAAAGTTAACTGAAACCAGTTAGTCATGTAGGTATACGATTATGAATATGTATCATTATATTGTTCAAAGTATAATAACGCGGAATATTATCGACTTATTTCTACCATTTTTACACTATCTAAAATGTTATACAAATTATTTTCGAGTTTTGGTCATATTGTTTGCTAAATTTTTAGCTAAAGAACTCAATTCATATTATTTTTTTTAATTTATTATCTTTGTTATAAAACAATGCTTTATTTAACTCCACTATTAAATATTTACCTATATATTATATGATTTAAAAAATAATCTAGTTATATTTATAACACTTTGCCTACACAACTGATATGTTCTATGTGCTTATGTTTCAGGCTTTAAATGATAGAGCGCAGGAAAAATGGATGCAACTACGGAAGTGGACAATCCCAATCCTAGAGAAAAAGCCAACATATTCTCTATAATATTCTTTGTGTAAGAGTTTTTTTATAATCTTAAAGACATTCCATAAAGACAAAGTATAACACTGCTCTCTAAAGGAAACCTGAGACATTTTACTCTTGTATTTTCCTAATCCTTGTATACCTAATTTTCCAGCTACACATTACCCATATTCAAGAAGGGCGTTAAAAAGGATTTCGAAGCCGAAGATTTATACAACACCCTCGAAAGCGACAGAAGCTCAGACCTAGGCAGCACATTAGAAAGGTAAATACATCAAACACCAACAATTCCAACACCTCTAAGTATGATTTACATTCCAGAAATTGGATTAAACAAAAAAGCAAACCCAACAACAAAAAACCGAAACTATTGCACGCAGTATGGAACACCTATTGGATAGAATATTTACGTCTAGGAATATTAGTTTTCTTAACGGATATAGTGCTGAGAGTGAGCCAACCGTACGTGCTCGGTTTGCTCTTAGATTACTACAATCCGCAGTCTTCGACATCGAAAGAACAGGCCCTGGGATACGCCGGATTAATCGTAGCATTCAACGCATTTTCCTCCTTCATCAGGAATCAATTCTCGATTAACGCCAAGCACGTCGGCATGAGGGCCAGAGTCGCGGCATCTTCCTTGATTTACAGAAAGGTAAAGTACCTTGGAAATGATGAATCAATAAATCAAAAAATCTTATGCATAGGCTCTAAAACTCAGCAACGTGGCGCTTGGCAAAAATTCCGTAGGAAAAATCGTCAATCTTCTATCCAACGACGTCAACAGATTCGATATGGCGCCCCAATTGATCCACCAACTCTGGGTGGGACCGCTCACAGCAATCGCCGTAATGTACATAATTTTCAGAGATATCGGAATGTCCTGCATGGCGGGTATCGTGACCATAATCCTCATGAGTCCCCTGCAAGGTAAGCCCTTCGAATCCACTATGCAGTGTAAACGAAACAGCTCTTTCCAGCCTACATCGGGAGGCTTTCGGCCAAATACCGCAGGAAAACGGCCCTCAAAACCGACGAAAGAATCAGACTGATGGACGAAGTCATCACCGGCATTCAAGTGATCAAAATGTACGCCTGGGAGAAACCATTCGCTAAATTAATAGCACTGGCTCGCAAAGCCGAAATAAACATCATCAAACGGGGACAGTACGTCAGGGGGATATTCATGGCCTTCAACATGTTCAACAACAGGTTCGCTTTATTCGCCACCTTAGCTACAATGGTGTTCCAGGAACAGGCCATTACTGCCTCGAGAGTAAGCCAATAACTATATCAAAAACCATTTCTTTAGCTTCTTTAATTCGATTTCGAGGTCTACGTCTACATGTCCTACTACCAAATCCTGGCCAATACCTTGGCGGGATCCTTCGTGAACAGCATCACCCAGTACGCCGAGCTGATGGTGTCCATCAACCGAATGCAGGACTTCCTGGAGAGCGAGGAGCACCAGCAGCCGCGCCTGCTGAGCAGGGGGCTCAGCTCCGACGGATCCAAGGACATGGTCGTCCTGAAGGACGTCACGGCGGTCTACGACGAAAGTTCCTCGGAGCCGGCGCTGAAGAACATCAACATCAGGATGGGCAGCGACTTCCTGCTCGGCGTGATGGGCCCGGTGGGCAGCGGGAAGAGCTCTTTGCTGCAAACGTTGTTAGGTGAGAATGGAAATGGAATTCGGGATGTAGCTATTGGGGTTTGATCGATTTGTTTCAGGGGAAACCAGTATTATCCAGGGCGGTTTGACGATCAACGGGACGATTTCGTACGCTTCGCAGGAGCCTTGGATATTTTCCGCTACGATCAGACAGAACATCCTCTTCGGATCGCCGTTCGATCAGAAGAGGTACGATCGGGTGATACGCGTTTGCGAGCTGCAGAAGGACATCAACCAGTTCGCCGATCGGGATTTCACCGTTATAGGCGAGAACGGGGCCAATCTGAGCGGCGGCCAGAAAGCCAGAGTCAATCTAGCTAGGGCCATATACAAGGAGGCGGACATTTATTTGCTGGACGATCCGCTATCCGCTGTCGATATAATGGTCTCAAAAGTGCTCTACGAGGACTGCATTCAGGGCTTCCTGAGCGGGAAAACTAGAATTTTGGTTACTCATCAAGTACATTACCTGAACACCGCTGATCATGTTATTGTTTTGAATGGAGTAAGCGAAGATGTCTAATATAAACTCATCTTCTAACTCGTTTAATACCATTCCAGGGTAACATAGAAATCGAAGGTACTTACTCGGAATTGGTCAAAAGCGAAAACCCGCTCACCGTTCACCTAACTGAAGAAGAAAACGAGATAATCAAACGGCAACTCTCCATATCCGAAGCCTCTGTAGATGGAGACGAAAGGAAAACTAGCGTGAAAAACACTCCTCCCACCGTAAACGGCAAGATCAAAGACGTGTCGAAGCAGATGCAAGAGAAAACGTCGAAGGGAACGATCGAAGGCTCGTTGTTGTGGAAGTATTTCCGATCTGGTCTCTCCGTGTTCGAGATGATGTTCTTGGTGGCCTTGCTGGGCACCGCCCAAGGCGCGGCAAGTTTGAACGACTGGTACATGAGTTTCTGGACCAACGCCGAGGAGGCCAGGACTTTGAACCTAACCAATTCGACGCTGAATTCGGAATACCCTACCACCATCTGGAGCAGCAATACTTACCTCATACTGTACTCGGGTATTTTGGCCGTTTGCTTGATAACCACCATGCTTCGCTCGATTTTGTACTACAAGTTCATCATGACCTGCGCCGAGAAGATGCACGGTGCGCTCTACCGAGGCGTGACTAGCACTTACATGAGCTTCTTCGACCAGAACCCCAGCGGGAGGATATTGAACCGATTCTCCAAGGACATCGGTACTGTCGATGAAGGATTGCCCGCTATGCTCTTCATGTCGACTAGGGTAACTAAATTTAACTCTATTCTATTATTTAATTTATCCTTACTCGTTTAACTTGCAGACACTATTAGGAATGGTGGGTCATCTAGCTCTTGTGCTATACGTTAACCCCTACACTTTAATAATCGTTGCAATTCTCACCCTGATATTCTCGTTCGTGCGACATATTTATTTGAGATCGTCGAACAATATCAAGAGACTCGAAGGAAGAAGTAAGCAATTTGAATGTTACTGTTGTATTATTATTGATTGCGTTACTTTATTCTTCAGTGAAGAGTCCTGTATTCAATCATCTAACGGCAACATTGCAAGGATTAACGACAATCAGAGCTTACAAAGCAGAAACGATTCTCAAAGCGGAATTCGACAGACACCAGGACCGCCATTCGAGCTCTTGGTTCATGTTCATCAGCGCGAACACCGCCTTCGGATTCAGCCTTGATCTCATTTGCCTGATGTTCATCGGATCGATCACTTTCAGTCTAATTTTGCTGGGCGAATGTAAGCAGGAATTGCCGTTAAGCAATCGCGTTACAAAGAAATTTGTTCCAGATTTCAAGCTAACTGGTGGCGATGTCGGATTGGCCATAAATCAAGCCACCGCTCTAACTAGTAACATTCAGTTCCTCGTGCTGTTCTCCGCGAACATATCGAATCAGCTGATGTCGGTAGAGAGGGTGTTGGAGTACCGGGAGTTGAAGCCCGAACTGCAACCGGAGAAACCCCTGGATCCGGGGAAAACCTGGCCGAAGGAAGGCAACATCAGCATCGAGAATTTAGTGATGAAATACGAGGAAGACGGTCCACAAGTGTTGAAAGATATTACCGTCCACATCAAACCCAAAGAGAAAGTAAGTAGAGCAATTACAAGTTAAAAATCACAAGTTTAACAACGCGTTCGTAGATAGGTATAGTAGGAAGGACGGGCGCCGGGAAATCCTCCCTGATCGCCTCGATTTTCCGGCTCACCGCCGTCGAAGGTAAGATACAAATCGACAACGTCAACACCAAAGACATCACGCTCGAGCAACTGAGGTCCAAGGTCTCCATCATACCGCAGGATCCGATCCTCTTCTCCGGCACGCTGCGGTACAATCTCGACCCGTTCGACGAGTACAGCGACGAGGTGCTGTACAGGGCGATCAACGAGGTCGAGCTCAGAGACCCCAACAACATCATCAACAGATTGGAGAACCGGGTGATGGTTAGAGGATCGAATTACAGCGTCGGCCAGAGACAGCTCATTTGCTTGGCGAGGGCCATCATTAGGAATAATAAAATATTAGTGTTGGATGAAGCCACTGCCAATGTGGATCCCCAGTAAGTGCCAATGTCGTGGATATATCGAATTCGGGACACCTTGTAATGGTAATATTCATGAGTATTTATTTTCAAGGACTGACGTGCTGATTCAGAAGACAATCAGGGATAAGTTCTCGGATTGCACCGTCCTCACCGTGGCCCATCGTTTGAACACGATCATCGATTCCGATAAGATTTTGGTGCTGTCCAATGGGGAAGTGCAGGAGTTCAATCATCCGTATTTGCTGCTGAAGAACGAGCAGAGCGCGTTCAGGAAAATGGTCGAAGAAGCTGGACAAACTACGCTCAAACTGTTCGAAGACACCTCCGGTTCCAATTACCAAAGATCGCTCGATTCCGTTAAGATTTAAAAGGAGAATTTAAGATAGCTAAATGAAATTATTGTGAGAATTGTATGTGTACTTATCTGTTGAAATAAAATTCGATTTTTAATACTTCGACTTTCGCAAAATGTTTTTTTTTCGAAATTAATTATAACATTTGCCTTAAAGATACATTCGAAACATCAAAATTATAATAATGACAAGTAATGGTTCTTAAATAAAATTTCAAATGATATCAGGAGCAGGATATCAGGAAAGGTAAGGTATTGAATAATTCTGAAGGTATTGAATAAAGGATTAAAAACTAAACTCCAAACCGTATAAAAGGCGACAAGATGGTAAGAAATTAACACTGGCCTTAATGCATGTCCTTCTAATCATTTCGTAAGTATTTATTCTCGGCAAATTTGTTGAAGAAACACTAGAAATTTAACCGAAAAGTCGATCAGACATATAAAATGCGACGACGTAAGGGTCCTGTTCTCCATCTTCGAATTCAAACAAGAAATCGGCCATGGAAGTTTCGGTCTGGTTGTTGAAGCTATAGAAAAGTCCAATTCACACCATTACGCCATTAAAATCGTGAATAAGTTTACTGTAAGTACCCAGCAAAAAATGCAACAAAACGTTTTCCCTGTTTAGCGCAAACGTGCATCACGTTTCCAGATGTCGTTGAGATTGGACGAAATTTATCGAGAAATAAAAATTCTTAAAGCCGTCAACCATCCGAATATCGTCATATTGCACAGGGTGTACGAGACCAGCAGGAAAATCTACATGGTGTTCGAGTTGTGCCACGAAAATCTCTTCGATCGATTCAAAACCGACAATCCGTTTTCGGACAAAGTCGTCAGAAAAATCACCAAGCAATTAGTCGACGCCGTTTATTATCTACACAAACATGGTTAGTTTCTGTACAATCAACACATCATAATGTACTTTACCTATTACATGATTTCTTTTCAATGCGTAGACATAGTCCATAGGGATATTAAAATGGAGAATATCCTCTTTACTACGAATCCCGATGATCCCACAGATACTTACTTCATCAAACTGACCGATTTCGGATTGAGCGTGAAAAAATTGTCAACGGGCATACAAGGCATGCTTAGAGATAGAGTCGGAACGATCATTTACATGGGTGAGTCCTTGAGGACTGTTTCTTAATGCTTTGAGGCTCCTCTTTAAGGATGAATATTCCTCGTACAAAATCATTTAACAGATCCGTTTCAGCTCCAGAAATCCTTCTGGAATGCACGTACAGTGAACTATGCGACATCTGGTCCGTTGGGGTCATCCTATACACGATGATGTACGGCAAATACCCGTTTACAGCGTCCAACAACAAGGACCTGGCCGCGAAAATCATCACCCACGAGCCGGAGTTTCCCACCAAGCTGTTGGACCTCAATTGCGTGAATCTGATGAAGGCCGCGCTGGTGAAGGACCCCGTCAGCAGGATAACGGCCTCGGAGATGATGAAGAACCCCTGGCTGTCGGATAATAAGATGGACAGGATATGGAAGAAGGAAACGGTGATCGATTACATGACCTTGTGGAAGGAGGAGATGTTGGTAATGTTTCGTTGGGGTTCGTTAGTTTTATGGGTTTTATAACTTAGCGATTTTAGTTGCCAGGTCAGGAATCGGATTGGGTGTCTGATTACAGCGGTGTGCTGACCGAAGGTGGTTCTGATATCCCGATAATGTAATTAAAAAAGTGAGAAACCGCCAATTTGAGGCGGTTGTTGTACAGTTAGGTAATCCAGCAAATGTCTACACAATGGATGTGGTGTTTTTAACCGAGAGCTATGTCGTAATTTCGTATTCAGGAAACCAAAAATTTATTATTGTTATAAAAAGGCAAATAAAATACGTTGCATCTAAAGTTTTACGATAGAACAATTAATTTCCTAATTTTTAATGAGTGCGAGTAAATTATTGAATCACCAATTTTGACGAGCAGTTTATATTTATACTAAATTAATCTTGTCACTGTCAGTTGTCACCCATTGAAAAACTGTCAAAAGTCAAAACAAAACAAAACCTACTTGTCTTTTTTACTTATCTAGTCTGTAAGGAAGAAGTGATTTTTATTTCTACAATAGAATGTTGCAATAAAGCTAAAATTATATATTTTTATACCAAATATAATGAAAACACGTACGTTTTTCTCTGTTTATTTACTTTTATAAGCGTATAAATTAACGAATAACATGCTCGTGTGGGATCCCTGTGGACTGGTATGTGTTTTAATAACATACTTAGCAGTGTTTTATGCAGATTATGTTGTAATTAAATTCGTAATACTACAAACAATGCTAGACAGGTAAATAGACAACAATCATTCATTCTCTTCGGGGCACTAACCGTTTCGTTTCGCAGTTTGTGGGGTACCTTCAATGTAGTCACATTCAACACGGTAATATTCTTATTAATCATATCACATATCAAGGCAGTTGTGACCGACCCGGGCACGGTTCCGTTTCCTCAATCAAAAATAGACTTCTCAGACATCCATTCATCTGATTCCTCCGGTAGGTTCCTCAGCATCTAGATAGCCGGGTAATTACGAGCTGTTAAATTTACAGGCTGCGAACAAACTTTAAATTGGACGATTTGCGCCAAATGCGAGACTTACAGGCCGCCCAGAGCGCACCATTGCAGGATATGCCAAAGATGCATCAGAAAAATGGACCATCACTGTCCTTGGATAAACAATTGCGTAGGGGAATTGAACCAAAAATATTTTATACAATTTTTAGTATATGTTGGTAAGGGTTTTACCAAGATTACTATATAAACAAACAATTAACATTACGTTTATTTTGTAGGAATACTATCAATTTATGCTGTGGTTTTAGTGGCTTCGTCTTGGATGAAAGAATGCAAGGACTGTGATAGCGACATTCCGATGAAAGAGAAAAGAATGTAAGTACATCCGCCTGATCAGGAATTGATACTGAGGTTCCTTTCAATTGCAGTCTGCATTCGATAATACTCCTGTTGGAGAGCGCCTTGTTCGGTTTGTTTGTGTCTGCGATCCTCATCGATCAGCTGCAAGCTATACTGACTGACGAAACGGCCGTGGAGCAGGTGAAAAAACAGGGCCCCCATCGGCCCTACAAGCCGAAGATGATGCTGCTCGGCGAGGTTTTCGGCAAAGAACATCCCGTTTTTTGGTTGTTCCCTTGTTCTTCCGTGCCGCGAAAAGAAGACGCCATTCTCAACGATTATGTCGTTTGAAAGGCTATTTTAAAAAAGACGAAATTTCTGTGGAACATTGGCGAGCTGTAATTTTGTGTTTCGCCTTGAGAGCTTAAGTACTTGGCTTAAAATATCTGCTATTATCATTGATAATGTTTATTTATTGTGATAAGTCGAGATATTTTTTTTCGAAAGTGTGCGAAAATTATTACATTTTTATCACAAAAAACCATTTCGCCTAATAAATGCACAAATACGTATAATTTTACTTATATATGTACATTGTAAAAAAAGAGTATTATTTATTTAAATAAATGATTTTTGTTATGGCTAATTTTTGAGGAAACAATAGGTTATTCTTATAGCACATTGCTAAAAAAAGCTGAAACTGTAACAATAATCAAGCATTTTATAATTATCTACCAATCAAGCATTTCATTAGCTTATTACATATTCATCTAAATCCCTCGGTAAGCTAATATTATTGAGTTTATGAGCCAAATTCCAATAACGCTTTCTCAAAAAATGGGCGCTATTCTTTGGCTGCCGTTGCCTGGTAAATACACCCTTCTTATTGCCACCCACTCGCTTTACATCTAAAAAATATCCTTTTATAGCACCGTATTTAAATTTAACAAAAACTAATTACCGTTTGCTGTTTTAAAATCGGCAAAATTCCAAATCATTTCCCCAATAAACCACCCCTCGGCCCTCAATTCATCGAACGCTTTGAAATGCTCCGCCATCAATTTTACTTGGAACTCCTCTGACCACACGAAATCGGGCAACTGTTAGTTAACGTATTACAATTTGCGTCAATTGAAAATATCCCTACTTACAATATGATAACCCTCCAAAGTGTCCGCACCGTATTCGGTAAATAAAACGGGTTTATTGTGCTTGTTGTGCCACCCTCGCGCTAGTGTCGTAACTGTAGGGTTAATTGTGTCCAAATCTCCTGTGTTCTGGTACCAAGCAGCGTATTTGTTTACACCCAGTACATCCAAAAATTGCCCCTGAAATGTAAGTTTGTTTCATTTGCAGGAAACATTCCAGCTTAACTTGCTTTAAACAGTTTTAATCCCTTAAGGAGTCATTTGTGCTATTCTTGTGCCTTCCTTAATCTACCCTTCAAGGGTTTCAAAAGCTTCTTCTATCCCTTTAGTAGAAACTTACACCGTCGAATCCCCTGAAGAAGGTTCTAGTGGAGTATGTGCTAATTCTCCAGGCCTTGCTTTAAACAATAATTCTAGTCTTACAAGGATTCCTTTGTGCTATTCTTGTGCCCTAATGCACCCTTCAAGTGCTTCATAAACCCCTTTCAAAAGCACTGAGAACGGACTCTAATGGAGTCCCATTCCAATATCACTAGCAACAAACATTTAGATATTTTTACACTGTTTACCGAATGATCCACGTCGTATTCGTACATATTGGCGATGGTAATGGGTCGGCTGACATCGTAAGATTTGATGTGGGCCGAAACGTGCCTGTAATAATCCTCAGATGCTGCCAGTTGCGTCCTGGGCTCGTTTGCTATGGACCACATAACAACGGCGGGCCGGTTTTTGTCCCTGCTGTACAACTGGGTCAAGGATCGTTTGTGATTCTCCAGTAGATCGTTGCTGAAATTTCTACGAGAATTGTTTTTTTATGAAATGAATTGTTGTGGTTTTAAGTTGCTTACTCTGTGTTTACAGCAGGGACCTCGTCGATGATCATTATACCCAAACTGTCCGCTAGATCCATGATTTCCTCGGCGTAAGGGTAATGAGACGTCCTGTAAGCGTTGGCTCCTATCCATTTGATTAAGTTGTGGTCTCTAATGATTAGAGGGAGGTCCAATCCTTTGCCTCTGATGTCTGAATCTTCGTGCCTGCCGAAACCTCTTATATAAATGGGTTTTCCGTTGATTGTAACGCTTTTATTGTTGTATTCTATTTGCCTGATGCCGAATGGGTGATCGTACGAGTCTATTAATTTATGAGAGGAATCTTCCAATTGAACCTAATAATTTTTTTCTTAAGTATATGATATTGTATGAGATATTCTAGTTTACTCTTAAGGTGTATAAGTAGCCCGGATTGTCGCTCATCAAGTAAGGCCACCAAAGGTTGGCGTTAGGAATTTTGAGTTCGGCTTGTTTCGAGTCACTTGAGACAATAACTTTTTTATTTTTATCCATGATGTGTATTTTGTAATTGATTTCCGCTTTGGAATCTGCAGCTCCTGATACCTGTACATTGTAATTTACAACACCTGAAAGTGATACTTTGATTAAAAAAAAGACAAGTTTGTTATCGTTTGAGTCATTACCCGTGGTTCCTGATACAGTTGTGTAAATATCAATATCATCTATATACAATATTGGGGTGGTATATAAAAAAACGGGCCTATCAATTCCACCGTAATTATAAAAGTCGAATGTATATGTGAGTTGTTTTCTTCCTCTGAAATTAACCCATGCTTAAAATACTTATTTGTATTTGCAGAATTATTACCCAGGAAGTGTATCAATGGATCCCTGAGGAATTGTTGTTTGATTTAGAGTAGTATCGACTATAACACGCACGGTATTTTCCTCGTCTGTTAGAAACGATGTAATTTCTGCGGCAAAAGGCAAATGGCCGATTTCATGCGACGCGGCTAATTCGCCGTTGATGTACTAAAAATATTTAATAATGTTTAAGTTTAAACAAGCTTGAGCAAATCGCCTTACGACTTTGGCTGAATAACAGACGGAGCCGAAACGCAGCCAAATCCTCGACGATTTCCATCTGCTCGGTACCCGAAATGTTCGTTCATACAACACGGGACCCAAATGATCTCTGGCTTCTAAAGTTGTTGGGATATCGTTGAAACTGGACGGGACAGGCATTAGGGATATATCATGGTCATCAACGTTCCCCTAATTAAAAAAAAATAATAGAAAATTGTATGCAAACTGTTGTAATGAAACACTCTTACTGTTAGGCCGTCTTTCGGGTTAGATCCGTTTGTGGATAGAGAAAAATGCCACAATCCATCGAGAGATACTTTTTCCCTGGACGCGGATTCTCTGGGATAAAGAATTCCGCATTCGCCATATTGGCTTAGTAACAACAAAAATATGAGTTTACTGGAGAGCATTGTACCGACAAAACACCACAAGCTCAAAACATTCGTTTATGAACTTCTACTTATATAAAGAGTAGATAAATATTGATTAAACTACATAAGATAAGTATAATCATAATCTTTATACATATAAATATCAATATACATAAGTATAAAGATTATTTATAAATACGAATAAAATATATTTACTCTTAGTATCGTTCTTATATGTATAAAACATCACTTCAAATCAACAGCTTTCATTGCCAATGAATTGAAATATTAATTGATTAAGAAAAACTATATTACAATAAAAATAACTAATGAGCTAGGATCGGGATAAATTAATAGGCGAAAACACAATTTAGAATTATTATTTTTAGTCAAATCACGATTTCATTGAAAGAAAATGTGAATGAAGGTAATCGGTATCCTTATGCAATAAATCATAATATAGGTATAAATCATAAAGTCCGCCGAAAAACGATCAATGGGCCAAAGTTCCCATGGGATCCCAAGCCGGTAAGACAATGGGTTCCTGATTGAAGACGTCCATCACATCTTTCGGCACGAATTTCTTGTCAATAACGACCTCGAACGTAAATTCCTTAAACCACTCGGATGTCATAATCAGATAACCTTTTTCGCCTCTGTCCTCGCCCCAAGAATTTTCCACTCTCAGTTTTTCGACTTCGCCATTTTCCTAAACGAAACCAAACCATTTCTAATCGATTCATACTCAAACAACTTCTACTTACGTTCGTATTAACAGCTGTAAACACCATCGCGTGCGACATGGCACTCTCACCGTACAACAACCGGTCAGCTTTCGATAAAGTGACTTGAATGTCGACGCCGAAAATGAGAGGAAAATCGTGCCTAAAAATATACAAAAAGTGGATTATTGACAAACTTAGGATATTATACAACTTACGCTTTAACATCTTGTATTCCATTCTTGGCCACGTATCTCTTACTGACCTCGCAACCGAACCAAACGGCTTCGCCCTCTTTGATACTGGTTGCCGTCAAGTCGAGTAACAATTCCACCGGTTGGTTATTGTAAATGCATTTTCTACCGCCGACCATATTACCTAAACAATCTACGGTATAAATTTTGCCGTATTGGTTAGTCGGCCTAGGATCGGTAACTAAACAAACCTAAAAAGTTTACAATGAAACTCACACAAACCGTACTATTTCAGCGTTACATTCGAGTGCTATTGTACTTGTATTATTGATACACTTACTTTATCGTCAACGTTAAAGTAAGGCTTAACGTGTTGCTCGTAAAACTCCTTGGGCGTTATCGGCCCGATGCTGTGGAACGCCTTGTTCTTGTCGTAAAAGCTCCACGTGAAAGTATCGTTCGGTATGCCCAAGCAGATTCCTACAATTCTGTATACGTGGGTCATTTGTTCCGATATCAGACTTTGAATGTCACCGTCGCTACCGCCCTAAAACAAACAATACACCCAATTAAATTCTCGAATTGGGAGTAACGTAGGCGATGAGCACCTTCGAAACGAGCTCTCTGATCGCTCGGGCGAACTCTCTCAGTTTACTCTTCAGAATCTGATTCATCTTGACGCTCTGCTCGCAACTGAAAGACTCCGGGAAGTTCTTCTTCGGCATCACTCCGTGCTTATTGATAAGGTTCACGATCATGTCCCACTGACCGCCATCGCAAGTGGGATCCTATAAACATTTAAATATATGAAATGGTATGTAAGAGAAGGTAATTTGTATAATGCTGCTGTTGATAATGGTTGCACGTACATGCAATAAGAACGAGACCAATCGTCCGTCGACGGTTTCGTTCCGTCTGGCAGTAGAAACGATGTTGTTGAGGAAAAAATTGCATCTTTCGATCTTGTCCCAGAAGAACAGGTACGCTTGCGAGAATTCGAAATCCTCAATGTTGTGGTGTTTGATGAACGGCAAACGCATTACGTTCAAGGCCGCAAACAGCCAGCATCTCCCCGAGCTGCGTTGATTGGTGATCGGCTTGCCCTCGATTTCGATCTATATAAAAATATAAAGTTTAAATTTAGAAGGTTCATTCTGATTCATGTGAAAAGCTAATTGAAGTACTACCGATTACGTTTGCACGTTGTGCAAATAATAAAATTATCAGTATTTTCAATAGAAATAGCATTTCCATATTTGGATAATATTATAAAATAAACCTATAATACAATAGTTGAGTATTATTCAAGTAAAGTAATCATTGCAGTGTAATTTTTATCGCTTATTTGTTTTTGAAGTCTTGGAATTCTATAGAGGGATTATAAAATACAGCTGCTCAAACATTAATTTCTTTTTATTACTGTACTATCACGGTTTTCTAAAAATAACAGTTAAGGTGAAAGATTTTTTTTTCATTTCAAATATGGTTACACCCAGTTTGTAACTACTGATAATGGAAAAGTTTGATCAGAATTAGCTAAATCAAGAAAAGAAATTGTTGCATTTTTTTAATAGGATGATTATTGATTATTAGAATTATAATTTAACTTACTTTTTGATTGAAAACATGTTGAGTTTCCTCCAGTGTTTTCCTTCGTAAGGCTGCTTCGAAAGGATCAATTTTTGTACAAACATTTTGGGCCAGGACGTTCTTCTCGTCGGCATAAAAATCCTTTTTGAATTTATTGATAATATCCTTATCTAAAACACCTTGAACTGGACGTTTAACGGTTATTTTTTTAACGTACGAAAAAGCAGCAAAATGTTTCAATTGAAAAAATGCATATTTTGACAAGTGCATTTTTTAAACAATGGAAACATTTTAATGGACCATAGGAACAATTGATAATAAATACAGTAATAATTACCCTTTTGAATAGCTTCCATGATAATCGAAAAAACAGATAAAAACGCTCACTAAATATTAATTGCAGCAGAACAAAATGCTAAATAGCAAATCGTAAAATTGTCCTCGAATCGAAATGGAAAGTAAAATAGAGAAAATGATTTTAAAACTGTCAGTTGTCATTAACGTCATTCACGAATGGCCACTGACGAACAGAAATGTAGTACTTTTTAGTAATTTTTAACTTTTTTATCTAATCTAAAAACCATAGAGAATCTAATTATTTTGTCTATGCTAAAAAACCATAAAATTGAATGTTTAAACAAATAGAAATCTACTTAATAACAAAATTTGAATATATATTGCATACAACAAAAAGCTATTTAAAATGCCTTGTTATAAAAGGCCAGTAAAGAATAAAAGAAGATTTAACCTAACTTAATAAAAATAATTTTCAAAAAATACAATTTGATTTGATTAAAAACTTATTTTTAATTACACAATCTTCATCGATGCAGGAATCTACCAACACTTCTGTATTACTTTTACTAATTCAAAAATGTTTATGATTAGAAATGTACATATTCTGGCGAAGAAGTTTAGTAGAATCAGATTTATATCAACCTCTCTCCCGAGAACCGAGGAAATATCAGAAAAATATATAGATGAAATTTTAACATCTGATATGTAAGTTTAATTTCTTTGCTACCATTTATACATTTAAAATATAATATTTGTAATTGATCGATACCATAACAAATTACAAGAATAAACCTTTTAAAATTTTCTTTTTAAATTTTTAGCGAATACAATCAATTAACCAACGAATTTATACCGTTATCCAAAAGCCACAAATGTTTAGTATTACAACCCTTCGTAAAATGGGGTCCCCGCAAACTCACTATCACTCCATCCGAGCAATTGGAGGAAGCTGTAGCTCTTATTAAAACTCTACCATCATGGAACGTAGCAGACACAATTGCCGTACCTTTAGAATCACTAGACAGGAAGACTTTATTCAAGTCGGGTACCATGGAACGATTAAAAAACATGATACAAAAGAGCCCCGATATAACAGCTGTATTCGTAAACACCAGTAACATGAAGAGAGTAACGAGCGATATTTTACACGAAAATTTCAGAATTCCAATATTAGATCGTTACAGGGTGGTTATTCAAATTCTGAAAATCCACGCGACTACCAAACACGCCAAGCTGCAAGTAGCCCTAGCAGAATTGTATTTCATTCGGCGCAAAGCCGAAACCGATAGAGTATTTGCAACAGCCGATAAGGAAAAACTGAAGCTCATATTTCAAAGTAGAGAGCAAAAACTGAAAAAGGCCATTCAGAGATTGAGGGATGAACGGAAGCTGCTGAGAAGCAACAGGAGGAAGCTCGATTATCCTACGGTAGCAGTTGTGGGTTACACGAATGCAGGAAAAACTTGCTTGATTAAAGCTTTGACAGGGGAAAAGTCCCTGCAGCCTAGAAACCAGCTTTTCGCTACACTCGATGTGACTGTTCATTCTGGAGTATTACCATCCGGTTTGAAAGTTCTTTATGTGGATACTGTTGGGTTCTTGACTGATTTACCTACAAATCTTCTGGAGTGTTTCAATGCTACTTTAGAAGATGCTGTTTTAGCAGTATGTAGAAATAGGAAAAATTGCATTTGTAGTACCATTTCTCTTTGTAGGATGTAATCTTGCATATACAAGATCTGGCTAGTACTTGTTTTGAGTACAAAAGAGATCACGTTGTCAAAACTTTGCTGGATTTGGGATCAGAAACCGATGATGTGGATATAACAGATAAAATATTTAATGTTGGTAACAAATGCGATTTAATAAATGATATCAAAGACGATAAGTTGTTGAGAATTTCAGCGAAATTGAATATAGGTAAAACTTTTTTCATACAATTAAAAAAAAATATGTGCAAATTTGCGATTTTTTAGGTCTAAATGAATTGCGGGAGGAATTAGAAAAATTAATTTTAAAGACAACTTCTAGGCATCTTATGACGATTAAAGTTGAAAACGGAGGACACGAAATAAGGTAATTAATACATTTTACAAATCATTAGATACTTAATTCAAATATTAAATTGCAGATGGTTGTATAAGAATGCTACTGTGGTCTCCGAGCATGCAGATGAAAATAATTCGCAAAGAATAAACGCTAAAGTTATTATTACAGACAGTAATTTACAAAAATTTAAACACGCTTTTTTGAAGCGTAAATAATTAATTTCTGAATTTGTATGAGACTGGAATTTGAATACAATTTTTTAAACAAACGTATCATCCTTAGTTTCTTTTTATTAATAAATCATCAGTTGACCTATCGAACAATAAAAATCTTATTCTAATCTCTTATCTAATATACTGATAAACTCTAATCAACTGATAAAATGTCGCAAACTTATTTTTATACAGTTGTTAATTGTTAATTGTTGACACAATAGAGCTATTTGAAAAGTTTAAAATTTTATAACATTAATTTTTTGTTATCAATTACAATGTAAATGTTAATGTAAGTGCACATTCGCATGAAAACAAACATCCACATAAATTATTCACCAATTAAAAATCAATCAGTAGATTCAAAATAGATTTTTACACGAAGTACGGTAACTCTATATTGAATAAATTACATAATAATGTACGAAGATTGTATCGCTAATTCAATCAAACGATCGAAAACGGAATTATTTGGACACAATCATTAGGTAACTGCGGCCCTAGTAAGTGACTAAAAGAAAAGCTAACAATAACAGTTTCAATAATCCTAAAGAGAAATATTCTAGAAGGTAAGTTCTTAAAATAAAAAATTCTTATTGACTAGATATCAGAAATTGACTCTTTTGTAAGTAGTTAATTATCCATCCAGTGTATACACAATATATCGATCATATAGAAATTAGATCGATAGATTACTGAAAACTCAAATATTTTTCGAACAAAACATTATAATTTTTTCAAAATTATAAATAGTACCTACTATATAACTGACTGTATATCTCACGATTTCCTAGTAGGGACATTAAATTTGTTCACAGCAAAATACCAGTTTTTTGTTTTATATAATATATTATTATGATCATCTAGGTCATTTAGATAATTTCCGCTAAGGTCACAAAAAAAACTTCAACAAGCAGTATTCATTCATTTCCGTTTCATGCTCGATGAAAAATATAATAAAATCCTTATAATCGGATTTTGCACAGTATTCCGCGAATTTCAAAAACGATGTGGAAATATAAAGAAAAATACCAGAACATACTCAAACAGCTAGGCGATAGATTGGAAAATGAAATTACCATAACTGAAGATGAGGTATGTCGAACGCAAACGAACACCTGTAAAATGCTAATGAATATTTATTATTTTAGGAATCCGAATGCCAATATTTTTGCGGGACGGACCGAAAATTCAACACGTTGAATATAAAATTCGAGACCGATAAAAATTTAGTGGCGAGCCTCTCGATATTTTTGAGAATTGATGGACGCGTCTACACTTTACCAGGTAAACACAGTCCAACATTTCGAATAAATCTCTCACGTTGCTTTTTCCGTTTAAGAGAAAAACGCTTTTTCGAAAATAAATCTAAACAAAAGGCATTGGAAAACCGACAGTTTAAATATCGAGGTATTGGAACCTTTCAAGCGATTAAGAATCACTTTTAACGGTCTATTGAGAAATCGCGAAGGTGCCACGGACCATGTCCAGTTTAATTTTTTGTAAGTACAATTAGTAACATTAAATACCGTGAATCGTATTACATTCTAATTATAAACAATTTATATTTCCAACGAAGTTTAATTGCTATTAAAATAGCGTATTTTTAGAAATGTGTAAATAAAAAAATGTTTCATTGTAGGTTCATTGCGGCTAGTTCACCTAACTACACACCACATGATATTGATGAATTATTGCTAAGTAAATACGTAAAAGAGCGCAGTAAAAACTCTAATTCTCAATCGTACGTATCTCAAGTAAAAATTAATTAAAGCCTTTATACACTCATTAACCTTAACAGTAATTACATAACTGTATTTCTTCAGTTGTGATCAACATGGTTTCGACCAATTCGGCGTTCTGGTAGGCACTGTTAAGATAAATTCTTCCAACGAATTTACACTGAGCATACCCACGTGTAGAACTAGAAATAGAGGAATCGATAACACAATCGACTTCAGCAAAATATTCAAAATAATCGCAATAGATGAATACGGCAATTTTTTCAACATAGTTGCAAAATCTCTCAAAAACGGCGTATCTCAGTAAGAACAAGAAAAGATTAATAAAACCAACGAAAGTGGATTTATTACAGATTTTTTATTATAGATTAAATTACGGGTTCGCATACTTGAGCAACGAAAAACCGTACACAGTAACTTACGTTGATATATTAACAATTAATCATGGTCAGTTAATAGTGAACGCCAAAGTAAACGGGAAAATGTACAAAATTGATATCACTATGAAGGAAAAACTGACAGTAAAGGCTCTAAACGAAGATCCTCGTGGGCTGGAAATCGTAGATACACCTGCCGATTGCGTAGTGAACAATTTCTCCGGCACAGCTATAATAGAATGTGTTAATGAATACGAAGGTGAGAAGAATATTAAGCTGTAATCTTCTGAATTCATGAAATTTCTAATAGGAACTGTGAAATGGATTTCACAGCCGAAAATATGTGAGAGATTCGAGAAACCATTACCTGATATGTACTTGAGCGACTTAGAAGAAGAGGCATCTCAATTTTCGGAGCTGAGCGGAGGAAAAGGTTGCTCTTTGGCTTTACTTACAACTTTGAAATCTCCTATGGTAAGAAAAGTATATTGTTCAGAATTACAGGACTCGATTTTTATTATACAACATAACTATTTTGGGGCACCTTGTATAGCGTAAAATTTGAACAAAACTTCACATTTCAGTTTTCAATACCGCCAGGATTCATAATAACTACGAAAGCGTTCAATTGGTACCTTAGAGAAAATCCTGAATTACAACAATCCATACAGAAAATAGACAAAGATTTTTGCTCAAACATTGCACAAGACCAATTGGAATGCAATTGTAACGAGTATGTTTTATTTATTTAATCAAGCGATGTTTGTGATATTCAATGGCAAGAATTTTAGTGCAATCGCTGCTTTTGAATCCCAACAAATGCCAAAGGAACTCGTATCGTTAATAAATAATCAATTAGAGAAATATGTAACAGAAGGCAACGAGGGCTGGGCAGTAAGATCTTCGGCTATAGGTGAGGATTCGGAAGAATTTTCAGTAGCCGGACAAAACGATACAATTCTCGGATGCTCTACCAACCGGGTTATCGAATCGATTCAAGCCTGTTGGGCTTCGTTGTACTCTTATCAGAGTGTCAAATATCGTTGGTAACATTTTAAATCGGTATAAATATTATTTTGCATTTTACCGATTCTTTTAATAGGCAAAACGGCCTTCCCATCGTAACAGAAATGGCTGTTGTAGTGCAAAAAATGGTCAACACAGAGTCAGCTGGTGTCCTATTCACACGCCATCCTTTAACAAATAATCCTTCTGAGATGGTGGTTACTTCAACTTTTGGACTAGGAGAGGTAGGTAATGGGACAACCGAATATTTAGCTGGAGTGAAGCTCATCCCTTTCGAGTAACACAATTAACCATTTCAGTTAGTGGTCAGTGGAAAAATCGATCCGGACTCATTCGTAATCGGCCGAACTTGGGACGGACTTGTCACCATTAAAGATAAAAAATTAGGAAAAAAGCTACATTCATTGAACGAAAACGAATACAGTCTCACCGACGAGCAACTCATTCTACTCGGTAAAATCGGGACCTGCTTGGAAAAAGCGCACGGAAGCCCGAGGGATATCGAATGGGGATTTTCCGAAGTGAGTTCCTTTAGAGTACCATTACACATTGGATTGAATCCCGGCTCGTTTTTAAGGGAAGATTGTACCTATTCCAATCCAGGCCAATAACCACGGCGAACACCTGGACCGATTTCGAGCTGAGCCACGAAATGGACACTCCGTTTTTATGCGAAAATATAGTTTCAACTACCGCCAATATAAGAGAAGTGATACCCAAAGCGTTGACGGTGCTATCCAGAACCAGCTCGGTGAAGGCCCTCGATTGGGCCCTACAAAAATTCGTTAAAAAGAATTTCGATCCCACGACGCTCAGAGGCTTGGTCACTTACCAACACAACATTTTTTTAGACGTTATTACGGTACTACGTCCTCTTTTTCTCACGATAGATGGATAAGTTTCCTTGAATCGATATTTTATTTTAGTCTATCCACTGGCATGCAACAGACGAAATTAACGTAAGCGATATTACGCTCGACTTGGCCATATTCGGGCATCAAATAATGGACGAAAGAATCAACCTTTTGATCAAAAACCGGATGGGTTCCAGTTCCGCGTGGAACAAGCTGAAAGAGGTGTATTCAACTCTGCCCACCGCTTGGAAGTACAAGGAGCATTTGGAATCGGCAAGGAGCGTATTGAAGCAGATGGATTTGAACGGTAAATCTTTGAAGGAATTGTATGAAAAAATCGAAGTGGGTATCCAAAACGTAGAAGAACTATGCATCCTGCATAGCAAGACGTCGAAGAGCTCCGTGTTTTACCAGATTTGTGCCATAAATATTCTGCTGGAGAGTAACAAAGGTATGGATAGGATTTTTAAATGCCGGTATCATTATGGAGTTTTTGCAGAGATATTACCGGACCATCTGTCGGATTTCGCATTGATTTTATCGTCGTGCGAGGATGTCGTGTCCGCTGAAGTACCTAAATATTTAGAGCAAATTTCGAAGGCCTTACAAGAGTGTAAAGACAGCGATGAATTTCGTTCTATCGAGCCCAGTCAAGGGCTGGATTGGCTCAAAGCTAATTGCTCTAAAGCGTACGAACTCTACGTGGAATTCATCGAAAAGCACGGGCACAGGAGCGCTGCCGAGGTACTGTGCTCATCCACTAAAATTTGAATTCACTGATTCCGTTTCAGTTCGAAATTTTCGAGGAAAATTGGAGCGACAATCCATCGACAGTAATCGCCATGATTCGAGCGAACTTGAAATGCGACAAAAAAGATAAACCTAAAATGGACGTGGACGATGTTATAAGAAACCTAAAGTCTCCGAAATACACCATAACAAAGTACATTTCAAACAGAACCGATTCGTTTGAAGTCCATTTTATTCTCTTCTTTTAGATGCATAGTGAAATTCTTAATGAACAAAATTCGAGTAGCCGTAGGCGCGAGAGAACAGACCAAATCGATACTGATCAAAGGCATCGATGAGCTGCGAAAGGCCTACAGAAAATTGAGCAATGGAATGGTCGCGGAGGGCTTGATTCCGCGGAAAAGTTTGCTGTACCATTTGACCCAGTACGAAATCGGGGTTATGTTGCAAGCGCGAAATCCAGCTTTGGTGAGAAAGTAAGAATTTGTTGCAAAATCACCTCTTTAATATGCGATGAACGTTCTGAAACATCCAACGTAATATAATTTAGAGCTGGGAGAAGAGAGAAGCTCTACGACTCTTGGAGAGAAATGACATTTCCGGAAATCATGTACGGAACACCGAAGGAAAATGATTCTTCGCAAGGAACCCCAGTGCAATCTAGAAGAGTGTGTATTGGCACACCCGTGTGCCAAGGCATTGTCCAAGGCAGGGCTTGCGTAATAAGAAATCTGAATGAAATTTCCGCGCTACGACCAGGCAAGTCAGTCAATTCAAATTATCCAATTAGTAAACGTAAATTATTTTTTGTAGATGATATTTTAGTAACCTACAGCACGGATATCTGCTGGTCGCCTTATTTTCCAACCCTTTCCGGAGTAGTAACGGAATTAGGAGGAATAATATCGCATGGTAAGTCAAAAAAATCCTCAAAAAACACAATTTTCTTGTAACTTTATTCGCAGGAGCAGTCGTAGCTCGAGAATACGGTTTACCTTGCATAGTCGGGGCAAAAAACGTCTTGAACTGTTTCAAAACTGGTCAAATGGTTCGATTAAATGGCTATACGGGCGAAATAGGAATCGTTTGTTGAACATTGATTAGTTTAAATAAAATTACTACTTCATTAATTATTACTTTTATTTAAAATGGCGATAAAAAAACCCATCGAAAACTCACGTACTCCCCCCATCGAATAATGCTACAGCAATCAACAAATTCCTTCTAGTAAAATGCAAGTTTATCAACGGAGAGTTTTTCGTTGCGAAATTCCGTAAAAGATAAGAATCCCCCGATTTAACGTCGGGATTATGAGACACGTTCAATTCCTCTGCATTCGATTCCTCCAACAGTTTACTAAAGTCCCATATTTTCAACGTGCAATCCAAACCACCTTAAAAGAATAAAACAAACATTCTAAAACTAGTTTTTTAAATTGATAAGAATGACAATGAAGAGACAGAGATAGCACAAGAAGCTGTGGAAATAGGCACCATGGAGATGGAAGAAAGAAGAAGGCCTCGAATAACATGGTGATATGCTGTATAAAAATGTAAAAAATAAACTTACCGGAAGCTAAAACGTTACCGCATCTACTGAACGCCAAGCAATGTATGGTCTTCTCGTGACCGGTCATCTCGGCGACCAGATGACCGTGGGCCAGATCCCACAATAGAACTTTACAATCCGCTCCCCCCGACGCCAAATACCGACCGTCGTTGCTGAACGCCAACGAATGGATGGGAGACTTGTGTCCCGTCATTATCCTGGCCCTGTTCCCCGTGGCGCAGTCCCACAAGCACACGCGCCTGTCGCTCGAACCGGTCGCCACGTAATTCGCGTTCGGATGGAATTGTATGCACTACAAAAGAAATAAAATTGAAATCGTGATATAATGAAGCTTCTTTTTAACGTACATCGACGTCCGAAAAGTGTCCGGCGAATAGTCTCAATGGCTGATAGTGATCGGTGGCCCAAAGCCTGGCTGTTCTGTCGAAAGAAGCGCTGGCAAAGTAGTACCCCAAAGGCGAGAACTTGACGTCCCATATGGGAAACATGTGGCCTTTATACACCACCAAACACGTCCATATTTGGAGGCTCCACAAACGTATAGTCGAATCCTCCGAACAACTCAGCAATAGAGTCCGATCGGGTGAGAAAGATACCGAATATACGGGACCGTTGTGACCGCATAGTGTTCGAGAAGTTTCACCGGAACGTTCGTCCATCATTCTCACCTGCAATGTACACAAATTAAACTCAAACTTACTTATTTTACATCTACGCTTACCAACACATCCTCTGCCTCGATGTTAACCTCCTCCAACTGTTCTGCGGTCTTCATGGCCTTCAACTTTTGAGGTACGAGAGTCCATACTTTCAATATAGAATCGTTGAAACCGACGGCCAACATGCTGGAATCTTCAGTTATCTCTGCACAACAAACTCTAAAGCATAACGAAGATTTTAATAGATGTTTCATAAAATTAAAAAGCTCGATCACTCACGTATAATTGGCGTTTAATAATGTATAACAACAACAGGACGGCATACAATCTGGCCCTAAAGTAACCCTTTTCGATGCTTCCTTACACGCCTTAAACTTCTCAGCTTTGTCATTGTCTTTCCTAAAATTTAAACATAATTGATACAGCTGGTTCATTAAACATTTGATTATAATAATTACCATTCTGGAGCAGGGATACGATCAGGCGGGGGAGCGTTCGGATCTGATTTCGTCTTCTTCGAAAACATGGGGTCCTTTTTGGCTTTTTTCTTTTTCGGTTTATCAGGATTGTCTGGATCACCTCCGCCTCCGTCGCCGTCATCTTCCTCAGTAGGCGCTGCTATGGTTATCGGATCCGGTCCTTTCGGTATGCCGTAATACACTTTCGTCTTGTTATCTGGAAAAGTAGCTGTAGAACCATGGATCGGTTCAAATATCGATACTTACACCTAGATATCTCTCCGCCTAAAGACCCAGCCGTAGCATCAATTTGACTCTTATTCCTCGCGACGCCTTCGTACGTATCAAAATACAAATGATCCTGTATTATGTTGAACAAAACGGAACTCTTCTTTTCGTCCAAATGTCTCTTCAGCAGGCTCAGAGTGTCCCTGGATATTCTGATGACGAATTGGTTAGATTTAAACGTTTCGGCTAATTCGTTGCCGTTCATATGCTCCTTCTTAACGATCATAGCCAATTTCCTCAAATCGTCTTGGTAATAGTAATCTTGCTCGGGGCCGAATTTCCTCATCAGTTCGATCCCCTTATCAGCGTGGTCGTTGTAAACCAGCTCGAGGTACATGTGCACGAGCACGGGGAAGAGAATGGCCCCTAATTCATGCTTGTAGATGTCCAAGGAGTATTCGACGAATTTCTTCAAGTCTGTATAGGCTGCTTCATACGCTTCTGGATCTCCATCGCTTTTGTAGCCTTTTAGTATGCTGTTCACGTCGGCGTCTCTATTTAGCGAATCGACGTTCAAATTGTCCGATATGTTCGCCTCTTTCCGCAGAATCTCTTCAGTGCCTTTTAGATTGTATTTTTTAAGCAGTTGCAACACCGCTGATAGCTGAGTTTTATCCATTGTTGGATAATATTGTATCGTTTTTTCACTCGATAATGGTAGTTTCTAAATTAGCGATTGTGATAAATTGATACCTAAAATCACTTTCTAGTTGAAGCCAGTAAAATAATTACATATTGCTTAGGTTATATTTTGTTTTGTTGTCAAAATGTCAATTGTCAAGCGGAATTCTGTACCTAACTTCATGATAAATCGGGTGGTTGAATAATAACAGAGTTAAATGCAACATATTATGCAGTGTGAATATTTTTTTTATTTTTGATGAAATTTTGATAACCAAGCACTTTGGAACAAAATACACAACCAACAGAAAATTAATATATTTTACAACGAATTATAAATTTAAAAGTACTTTTACCACTTAATATTTAAAGCGTTGGGAATCTTCTCAATTTCATGATATTGAGTGTGCAATATTTTGGAACATTTATCACTATCTTGCCCGCCCAGCCAATGGTCGTATAAATGTTTTATAATTTTATTCTCCTCGGGCAAAGGCGAGGAGAGCGATTCGTACAGTCCCTCGATTTCTGTTATTAATTCTTTAACAGACTTGCCGTCTCCAGGTCTAATTTGAGCACCACCATTTAAGCAACCTGAAATAGATTACACCCGATTAAAATGAATTATGATATAAAATTCTAGTTACCCGAAGGACAAGCCATAACTTCTACGTAATCGTACTGCGATTTTCCCCTTTTTAATTTTTGAACCAAGTTCTGAATGTTTCGAAAACCGTTTACTATAGCAAATCTCAGTAAAACTTCCCCATTTGATTCAAGCAATACTTCTCTAAAATCTGGATTCCTAAAAAATTGCAATAGTAATAACTAGAACAACTTGGTTAACAATTATCTAATACCTTATGGATTTATACTCTAAATTAACGTTGTCGCGTCCAAACAATTCTCTAGCAGCATACTTAAAAATCTGATCGGAGTATCCTCCGGAACCTGACCCCGAGTTTCCAGCAAGATCCGGGGATACTTCGCTATCGTTAGACACCCACGGTTGATGAAACGTGCCGTTATCTAGCGAATTCAATTCGATTCCCTCTCTCGAAAGCATCTGCTCCAATTCAATTGCAGTGATCACGCAATCGACGTCCTTGCTATCGGTCTCTTTGGAATAAAAATCCTCCCGTGTGGCCTCTAATTTTTTATCGTAGCAAGGCATGACGGTTACGTGGTAGATTTGTCTATTGCCCAAGTTGTTGCGAACGTACTCTTTTATTAGCGAGCCCATAATTTGTTGGGGGGACTTTGTGGTTGCTATATAAGGTAGAATGTAGCTGCCGTGGGTCTTTTCTGCGTAGCACACAAAACCTGAGGATATTACAATAAATAAATAGGTGTTTGTACAGGTGAGTTGAAGTTCTGTACCTGGACAGCTCGAGGCTAGCATAGGTAAAGCATTCTTTACTCCATCGTTTTCCCTCGATCTGAATCTTCTGATGAATTCTCTTTGGGATTCCAAAATAGCCAAATCGTCGGCTACACTCATATCGACAACCATATCGGCTCCCAAACGTTTGAAATAATGTGCTAATTTTGAGGCACACTCGTTGGGAGTTAATTGATAACGAACGGATAACGATAATAGGGGTTGAATGGATATAGAAACAATTATTACTTTGGCTTCAGGTGAGTTGATCTAATAAAACAACACACTGGGGTATTCAGTTAACTTAAAAAGGAACTGTATTTTACCGATTTCAATTTGTCATTCTCCTGGAAAACACGCAACAATTCTTCTTGGCTTTGTTGAGTGACTAAAACGCTTTCAGCTGATGTAATGCAACCAGAACAGGCCAGGCAATCAGCTAGGGTTATTTCTACTTTTTGTAATTTTTGTGAGCTACCATCCTATAAATAAATGCGAATGTTTAAATAGTTTATGAATGTGTATTTACACATACGTCTGCTATTTGGAAATATCCATCTTCCCGTATTGTTATTTTCGATCCTGTACTATTTGTGGTTTTTTCTATTTTTACTGGTTTTATGCATTCCTACAAAATTAAAAGTGTATAACATTCTGTATCATTGAATTATAAATATTTATAGGCAAATATAACTTAAGTACCTACTTGAGAAGGATTTATAAAATCATCTAAGTCAGTTAATTGTAAAGTACCACTAAACCTAGACATATTAAAATATAGATGATCTTAATTATTTTAATTAAAATGCAAAAAGCAAATGGTAAAAAACAAATATTCAATTTGTGCAAAATTTTATAATAACAATATAACCCTATTTATTTTGTTATCTTTTTGGTTTTTGTCATTCCTGTCATTACTGGATAGAGAGTGGTCTTAAAAATACGGTTATTCCGTTTCAGCAACTAATATTTTCGTTACAGGCGGTACAATACATATTATGTTTAAAATAATTAAAAAACTGATTAAATAGATTATAAAAAATCAAGCAGATTAAAAAAATTTGCTTCTTATATCTAAAAAAATATATGCGTTAACCAAACTGCAGTTCAGGAAGAGGCACTGATTCTTACAAAAGTCAATGTCATCTGTCATTACTTTTTATGAATCCGATGCATGAAGAAAATGTCGGGTTGTAAACATAATCCACAACTGCTCAAATGAATTTTATTTAAAACAATATTTAGTTTCTCAATAGATCTACAGAAGTAAATTTACAAGTGTATTTTTTGATAGGAAAAAATTAATATTTCTTGGTAAGTGAAGTGAAATAGAGAACACTTAACACAAAGTACTATGAGTTCATTAGTATGTTATTAATTTGTCTATGTGCCTATATAAAAATAAATATTGTCGTTTTTTTAATATATTTCGTATTTGTTGATACTACATTTACTTGTTCTTGAAAGTGTAATGCTTATTGGACATAACATGTAATAGTTCTTCATGAACTTTATTGAAATGCCAAATTATTATGTTCTGGAGGAAATGATTAATATATCGAACAAAATCTTATTTAATTACATATTCTTGTAGGGTCAATAATATGGCTTTGCCGTCGAACTACAAACAAGTAGCAGCACAAATCCCGAACGCCCAGAGCTCGAACCGTAAGCAAGAATTACAATAAATTATTATCCAATTAATATGTTATTACAGGTTTATTTTTACCTTTACTGTAGTGTTACAGCAACGCAAAAATTTAGTGGAATTGACTTAATTTTTTTGATAAATGAGCTTTAAGTTCGCATGCGTATTGTTATTTTCGAAGATGCGACTTCGATATTGAGGAAAATCCATAATTCGCATCTCGATTCTTTATTACGATTATTAAAAGCATGCTTATTTTATTTTATCGATAATTTTTATTTGTATATCTTAAGAAGCCTTTGATGTACCGGAGAATCTTCAAAAATTTTTTCGCATCAGATCATTCCGCAGTAATTTCGTGTAAAAATTTTGAAGAATTTCGGGTATTCCGTAGATTAGTGCTCATATTGCTTCGTTTGTTGTTTGTTGTTCAGATTTGCTGTCGGCGGGCGCGCCCATGACTTTCAACATATTGAAAGGTAACTGCGAAATATACTTTTTTTTAAATAACACTCATCTATTTAATAATCACAGTCACAGAGAAATACCACGTTGAAAATGTTGTTCTTCACTTTTGGGGAAAGTAAATTGCGTTAATTTTGATACAATTTGAGTATAGGGATGTTCCTAACATATCGCTTTTATTTAACATTAATGCTTGGAAACCCCATGTCATTTATTAACACTGTTTTTTTTATATTTATTTAATTATTTAACATGTTTAATAGTATCGTTTTGTTTTAATAAATTAGACAATTTTTGGACTTCAATGATTGTTTTATATTTTAAACAAATACATTTATAGTATGTAATTTGTAAATTAATGTATTTATCACTTTACTTTGAAATATCCAGTTATTTGTAAATGTTAGAGCTTTGCATACAATTAAAGAAAGTGTATAAATCATTACTTTTACGTGTTACTGCAATTTGACGAAGAGTATTTTGGTCATTCTGGTAAGTTGGAACAGTTAATGCGTTACTTTTTGTGCATGGGTATTAGATTTAAATATTTGATATACATTTTTTTTCTCGTTTAATCCCTGTAATACGAGTAATAACTTTTTGTCTACATCTAATGCATCCTATCTCGCAAATCAGGATGGATATTTCAATTTTTCATTTTCATTTGCACATTAATCGTTTTTATTTTAGATAAAATGAGCTGTTTGAGGAATGTGATCTGTAAGGAAATTCTTCAGTTTTTTATTAGTGCAATTTAGAGGTCGAATTTGATTTGTGTTGATATTCACGAGATCCTTAAACTGCTTGTTCTTATCATTTATGTATACTAAACCTGAATTTTGATTTATAGAAAGATTAAGAGCTTCAGGAGGCGCCGGTTCTGGTGCAGTGGTATGTTTACCTCATTACACAATAAATAATTCAAGTTATTAAATAAAATGATATTGCAGAAGGAAACTAATCCTTTCGTTGCGACGCCCAACGGTCATTCGGGTTTCGTGCCGCAGAAAATCGGGAAAAATGCTGCTGTGAGTTTAATTTTCATTCGTTCAGGATTCGAAAATTGTAATTTTTGTCTATTTTTTCTCCAGAAAAATGAATCTAAAACACCGAAGCCGCCGAAAGCGCCCGAGAAACCTCTCATGCCTTACATGCGCTACAGTAGGAAAGTATGGGACACCGTAAAAGCTCAGAATGCCGATTTGAAGCTTTGGGAAATCGGAAAAATCATCGGACAAATGTGGAGGGATTTGCCCGATGATGAGAAGAACGAATTTCAAGAAGAATACGAAACGGACAAGGTAATTATATCCCAAAATTCGTCCTATTTTCTGTATAAAAAAACACCGAATATTTCAGGTGGAATACGAGAAAACTTTGAAAACCTACCACAATTCGCCCGCTTACATCGCTTTCATGGCTGCCAAGAACAAGGGAAAATCGGGTAAGTTACCTTTAATTACAGATAATTAATTCATCAGTGATTAATATCTCACGTTGCATCATCATTTGAGCCCTACGCTTGACTAAAAACCATACTAAATAAATTATGTCGCTTCTCCAACCTACCTCGATCTCCACCTCCCGTATTCCGGTCTCCCATACATCAAATCACGGGTCATATTGGTTTTGTTTTCACTAATTCCAGTTACCCAAGGTGCCGATGGTGAAACGCACGAAAGGCAAAGCAGCTCCGCCAAACAGCAAGCCGCCGATAGAAGGATCGAAATCCAACCAGCCGAGGACGAAGATGGTAATTATCTCATTAAAAAAATCTTCAGGAATGAATTGTTTAATGGTTTCCTCGTGTGATTTTAGATCAAGACGACGGGTACTCGGTGAAGCACGTGGCGTACGCGAGGTATTTGAGAAACCACCGGTTGATCAACGAGATATTCTCGGAGAGCGTGGTGCCCGACGTGAGATCGGTGGTGACCACAGGTCGAATGCAGGTGCTCAAGAGGCAGGTGCAATCGTTGACAATGCACCAGAAGAAATTGGAGGCCGAGTTGCAGCAGATCGAGGAGAAATTCGAGGCGAAGAAGAGGAAATTCGTGGAGAGCAGCGAGCAGTTTCAGGACGAACTAAAAAAGGTGTATATTCTCGTCGATTATCCAATTTATAATTTGTGGAATGTATTTTTATGTTCAATAAAACTCAAATTTAGCATTGTAAGCCCGCCGTGGACGACGAGACCTTTCAAAAAATGGTGGACAGACAGTACGACATGTTGAAACGGGATAGGAGCAAACCGCAAGAAGACCAGAAGGCGAAAGTCGATGAAAACGGTCAATCGGATCATTCGGCACCTTCGACTCCTGCCCAAGAAAACGGACAAACGGAGGTAAGTGTTTGAGTCCCGCTAATTCCTAAATCAAAATCTCGCCCAAATCATCGATTAATCAAGTTATTATTCATTGTCGATTCATTTTACTAATGCAGCCTATGGAACAAGATCAGCCCGACAAAACGGGCCCGCCGCCTCCGCAGGACGCTCCCGCGTCGGCGGTCGCTTCGAACGGCACGAGCGAAAAACCGCAGCCGGTCGAGCACGTGCCCCATCATCTTCATCACCATCATCAGCAGCCGCATCACGCCGGTCCGCCGCCGCCTCCCACTCATTACATGCAACCTCCTCCGGCCTCGCATCATCCCGACCATCATCAACCGCCCCCTTCCGTTCATCCATCCCACGAACATCAGCCGCCTCCGCAACACCATCCCGGCGCGCACCCTCCGCCGCCGTTGCAGGGCCCTCCGCCCCATCAGGTCAGTGTTGCATAATTGTTTTTTGCATTTTACGTTTGTAATAAATAATAATCATTTGCAGATGATTGGTGCTCATCTGTCGCCACCGCAAGGACCTCAGCCGGGTCCTCAAGCGCCGCCGCCTGGACCTCCTCCGCCGCCTCTATCGTCGACAGGTCCACAGGGACAAATCCCGGCTCATCAAGGACCGCCGCTGGGAGGTCCTCCTCCGAATCACGGACCGCCGCCGCCGCATATGCAGCAAAACGCGCCGCCATCTGCGCAAGGTCCGCCGCCTTCGCCGCACCAAGGACCTATGATGCCGCCGCCGCCGCATCAGTACCCGCAGCAATATCCTCCTCCGCAAGGTAATGGTTTTTTAATCATGAAGATTCAAAAATTCACGTGTTAAATTCATTTTAGGACCGCCTCCAAACGCCCAATCGGTGCCGCTGCCGCCTCGTCCGCCGCACCCTGGCGGCGGTTACGCGGGCTATCCGCCGCAACAACAGCCGTATCCGCCGCACCCGCAAGGGCCGCCCTATCCGCCGCCGCCGCCTGGTCCTAATCCTGGGGGACAGTATCCCCATCATCCTGGTTACTACCATCAGCAGTACGCGCAGTATCCCCCGCACGGGGCCGGCCGACCGCCGGTGCATCCGTATCCGCCGGGCGGGGCTCACATGCCGCCTGCGGATGGGCAACCGATGCCCGAGGGGCAGATGTACGGGGCGCCGCCGGCTGGGCCGCCTCCGGAGGGCGACAGGGATAGGCAGCAAGGTGCTGCTGGTGAAGAACCGTCCGGTGAAGAGTCTAAGATGGGTGAGTGCAGAGTTTTTTTATGCTAAATGTTGCTCATGTACTTGATGGTATAAATTTATATTTGTTTTTTCAGATTACCGGCCTGCAGATAAGGAAGAAAAATGATGGAAATAAGTAGTTTGAAAGTAATGGTGGATTTTTTTACGAGTATAAGTTTACTTTTTTTATGATGTAATACAATAAAATTACTTAGTAGCCTATAGTATTTTTTTATTTTATTTATTTTTTCAAAGAATAGACGCTAATACAGATGAGCAGTGAGTAATTTAGTTGAATAACTGAAAATGAAATTACTGGGGTAAATCCACACAAAACAATAAATTACTTGATTTTTATTTATTTTGAACTTATTTCATATTGCAAATATTGCATTCTTCACAATTTCAAGAAGAAGCTTAATGTAACAAATTCAATGACTAATATGGGTTACGACTAATCTATTTTACTTTGATTCTAAGTTGATGGAATCAATTTGGGGATCTACGAACTTAAACGAAGGAAATTTGGTCATTTCTTCACCTTTTCCGCCTCCGTATTGTTTAGTTACTTTTTCCAATTCGGTTTTTAGTTCTTTTTCTAACGCAGGTGTCGGTTCGACGAGTGTTTTTCCACTACAAGAAATAAACGGATGATTAACAAATAAGATAAATACGTCCATAGGTTATTATTATAAAGAAAAATTGTACATTTGGAGATAAAATTTACTCATAACTAACCTGTTACTCTTCTGCCTGTATTCTCGGATTTTGTCAACGAAAAGTTGCTGAATTGGATCAGACGCTTTTTGCAAACACGGAGCTAGAATTCCGATATTACGAATGGATACACCGCTTTCCAATGAGCTTTTGAAAGCCTTCAAGAGTGGTACAGACAACATTCTGCAAATGATTATGTAATGAATATCACTTATTTATTAGCGATAGAAAGATAATTTCGTTGTAAAATACGATTAAATTAAAAATGATAGTTTCATAAATTAACTCACCTTATTTAATTAGATGTGGTTATACACACTTTTCGATAAATTTCTTAAAATGCAGGGAAAATAGGATTAATCGTATCCTCATAGAAATTAAATGTCAATTGTCTTGTCAAATCCTTTGCTTTTTTCTTCTTTTTTTAATCTATAACATATGACCTGGCCTCTGATCTGTAAGTTATTTCGCCCAAACTAAATAATTTGCAGGAGCTGCAATAGAAATTTATTTTGAATGGAAAGCCTATAAATACAAGCTTCCTTATATTGCTAGGCAGTATGTTATTACATTATTCTTCAATATAATTACCAACCATAATGGTATACTCACTATGGATACCTGCTAAAAAAATAAGATGATTGGGATGGTATTCCCCAAAGACGTTACAACTAGCACTAGACAACTAGTATAGCCAAGGAATTAATTCAAATTACTAGTTCCTTAGTACTAGATGTAATGTCTTTGGTACACCCCGATGACATTAACGGTAAAACATATTTTTTAAATCAATGTCTAGTCTAAAACGATTCAGCAGTAATAATGATAAATTATTGTCGAATTCTGAGAGACGAAAGAAGATAATCTTCGTCGAAGATTACAGGCAGCGCACACACAATTTATCCAGATCTATCAATGTCGAACCTATTAGAAGAGACTACGTTTCCGAAGGGTACTGGGAGACGTTTTTGAGTTATGAGGATCCCGAAAAGGATATTATGTCCGCTTTTCTCGTCCTAAGACAGGGTGATTAGCAAAATTTTCTCATTAATCCAGTATTATAGAAACCTTTACAATTCAAGGTGATCCATCCGTAAGTAAAGACACCTCCTTGATTTGCGAACTGCGCGTCTACGAAAACACCCTCCCTTTGATACACGAGCACAGGAGAAATCAGAACCAAATATTGGGCGACAATTTGATCGATTGGGCGGAGAACATAGTGATAAACGAGCACGAAGGCGAAAAAATCGCTGCAGTTACTACAGAACAAAGCAAACCGCTCTTCAAAAGACTCGGTTTCGACGTGGAGGATGGGCAATACTTGTACAAAAATTTACTATCAGAACAATACAAATGTTCTGTCGATTACATGGGTTAGTCTTTGGAAAGGATCTACGAAATTATTCCTGTATACTGGAATAAAACACGTTAGGAAAATTTGTAGGATTAAATTTTTGGAATTTTCAGATGGGCTAGAATTAAAATTCGGTAACAACCAAAACTTGATCAAAGGCATATTAGATCCCGAAGAAGAGGAAGAAGATTGGATGGACTATTACGATAAAGAATACAAATTGCACACATATACAAAAAAATGATGAATAAAAATGTATAAATTAATTGAGTAATCCATATGATCTTTGATTGATCATGCAGTACTTAGAAAACCGAGATGTATAATAAACTCTGTTTATATTGCACAAAAAATTAGTTATAAAACTTGTAGGAAATGTCACATATAAAAAGTATGAAAGTAGCCCTTATTAAACCTATCAAAACATAGTATGTATATCCACTAATATACTATACATATTTAATTAAAAATTTAAATTTACTCTAATTTTTCTTCACTTTAGCTTTACCAGGTGGCGCATTGGGATTCGTACCCCTATAAAATTCTTTCAAGAGTTCCATGGCCTCCTCGCTGCGATAACCACCGTTCAATTCCGTCACTGGACTCGAAATCGACTTGACATCGAACACTGTACGACCTCCGAACCTATCGTTCTGACACCCGTACACTATACTCTTCACTTTCAAACCGTACAGAGCAGCCATGCACATAATACAGGGTTCTACAGTCACGTAAACGGACAAACTAGAAAACACCGATTCGGAATCCAAGCCATTCGCTTGGCAGTAATCGTGCACGATATCGATGCAGTTTATTTCAGCGTGACGGGTGGCGTTGCGCGTCTCATTAACGGTATTCCTACCCGTGGCTATTATTTTATTGTCGTAGATAAACACGCAACCGACCGGCACTTCCAGATTTTCCAGGGCTACTTTCGCGAAATCGAACGCTTTATCCATGAAGGATCGTTCGCGTTCTGATAGTACGGACATGTTGCACGTAAATCGATTATTAATCGCGAAAGTAACGCAGTAAATCGTTATCTTCCAAGCACTTGAGCGCCTTCTCCGGCCAATTTTGGTTATTTGCCACTCTGGGGCTCGGATGGGGCATGTATATTACTTTTATATTGTCGATGCTGTGAGTTTTGAACAACACATTGGTTTTCTTTTCAACGTACTTCCCAATCGCCAGGATGTATTCAGGTTGCAGCAACCGGATTATCTTCAGATACCAATCTTGACAAACCGATTCCAATTCATTGCGAACCTAGAAAAATCAAATTTAAGCGTTAAAAACAGCTAATTTTTTTATAGAAGCAGAGCTATTCAGAAGAGAAGGAAAAGTGGACGACACACGACGACCAAACATAATTCAAAACTACCTGAATATTCTTAATTTCTTCAGGTGTTACATTCAAACCAGTTCCAAGTAGCAACGTGATCGGACAGAAGTTGAACAAGATGGCGTGCGCGAAAAACTTATCGGCGGTGCCGCAGATGCTTTGGAAGAACTTCCACAGCCTCTGGCCGCTTTGCTCGCTGCGAGTGGACGAGAAACCGAGTATAGGCCTTGTGGGGCATTCCAGCTCGGGCTTGGTTACGGTACCTTCGATTTCAAGGAATTGCTTGACGCTTTTCGGATCGCCGAAAGGCACTCCGGTTTGGCACATTCCGAACGCTCCGGGATTCAAGCCCACCATTACTATTTTTTTCGTCGTTTTGCAGTATTTGCGTATATACGATTCGTATATGTTGAAAGCGTAGTCTAGCGGGTTGTAAATGTATTCAATCGGCGGAGAGAGTCGAGGTAAGATGTCTAATGAGTTTATACCTTCGGTCAATTCCTTGTGTAAATTTAATATTTGATCTTCGAAGGTTTGGGGACCCTCGTTTTCTGTGCATGTTTGTTCTGTTTCGGGAATGTTACTTGTACTTGTAGATAAGTCTGGTTCAGGAGCAGTTCTATTGGAGGAGGTTTGATTGAAGTAGGGGGATGTTTCTGATTCAATTGCAAAAATTTGATTTTCGGGGGTTTCGTTATTACCTTCAACCGGGGCGATACGATTAAGTTTTTGTTTCAACATGCTGCCGAGTTAATATGCTTATTCTTTATAGTAGCCACTAAAACAAATATTAAACAATAAAAATACATTATACTCACGTACTCCCTAATAATTCTAATTACGCCTACCTTAAATAGTATAAATTCATATGTGTTACCAACTCGTTTATCTATTATATCACATTTATCTTATTTTAAAGTACATTTTATTATCACAGGTTGTTTATAATCTTAATTTTTCATACATATTTAAATTTATGACATTTCGTATTATGACATTAATTGGCCTTTTTTGATAGATTTAGTCAGCCACTATTAATTTAAAAAATTTATTGGTCAAAATTAGTCACGTGATAAATGTCAAATACATTTTTTTTCATTTATAAATTACAAAAACATTTAAATTACAATGGCGGTACTAAATTTTAATAATGAAAATATTAACAAATTTAAAAATAGTATCTGTAAATATTAATATAAAGAGAATATAAACTTAATGTCTTATCAATAGAATAATAAACTCTTAACACAACAATATATTAATTACTTGATTGAAATTATTTTATGCATATTGAATATTTTCTTTGAAAAAATCTTCGATAGTTTCTTCGCATTTTACTGTTACTGAACTGTTAGTATCTGTGTCCTGGCATATTTGTAAATGATTCTTCAGAAGACCTTCCTTGTTGAACACTTTCTTACAATTGGAGCACTTAAAAGATTTCTTTTTCGAATGCTGAGAGAGATGGTTTTTGTACGAAGTATTTTTTTTAAATTGTTTATTACATATTTCGCACTCGAATATTTTGTGGATTGTACTTAATAAATTCATAGAACTGCAACTTTCCGGTTCTGGTTCAGGTTCCTCTACCTTCAGTTTTAAGCTAAGACTGGACACATTTGAATGCTTCTTCTTCAAATGATTGTTCAATTGCTCTTGCCTTATAAATCTCTTATCACACAAAGAACATTTGAAAGGCTTCTGCGTCGAATGCACTAAAATGTGCCGCTTAAGAACATACTTTGCTCCAAATTGCTTATTGCATATCTCGCACACGAAAGGCTTAATTTGCAAGTGTTGCAGCATGTGCTTATTTAAGTTATAAGAGTGCATAAATAATTTGTTACAAATTGTGCACTTGGCATTTTTTTCTCCAGTATGTCTTTTATTGTGCCTTTTCAAATCGTTCGAGTGAACAAATGTTTTCGAGCAGGTCTCACAAGCAAATTTTCTCACTCGAGGTTTGCTTTGATGAATTGTTTGGGCAGTGTGAGAGGATATGTGAGATTCGAATTCGACTTTGGTTTTGAAGCATTTTAGGCACTTTTGACATGCAAAGGGCAGCCCACCTTAAAAAGAACGGTTTGAAACAATGAGGAAAGGTATTTTTAAGTAAACTTACCGGCCTTTACGATTTTCATTTTGAATTCTGGAAACTCTGACAGAGTCACCATTTCAACATCGTTCTCTTTGTAAATCACCGGTTTCAGTTCTATTGCTTTCTTGTTTGGTGATTTGTGTTTTTCTTGATTTTGCTTTAGTTTGTACATTTGTTCCAAACGTTTGATAGAGCTTTTTTCCAAGCAGGTCTGTACTTTGGTACTAGTTGCAGTGTTTTCGCATACATTTTTCAGATGTATACTTCTTCGAGTTTTTGCCATGCTCTTTTATTTCATAATATAATTATTAATCAATTAATCCTTCAAATTGTTTTTAAATGTAAATATGTATATAAACACAAGTAAAATAAAATAATCAACAATTGACAATTATTGACATTCGACATAACTAATAACTATCCAATAATGGTAATGGATACTGCCATTAAAGCTATACGGCCAGTGTAAGAAACGGAATACCGAATAGTAAGGGGCCACATAACCCCATTTGTCCACATCAATCATAGATGCCAGTACGGTCAATATGAAACGTCAACTATTTGAAAAAAATCTATTTTGAAACAAATAAAAATACTCAAATTTTAATCGCAATTACCTCGAAGAACAGAACGATTTCGGTTGGTGTTGGTAATGTTATTAAAAATTTTAGTGCTTTACGCCTTGTTGAATATCGTATACTCTGCGTCCGAACACCCGATATTGCTAATAGTTTCCTATGATGCATTCAAATATAATTTTTTCGACACGAAATTGGTGCCCAACATGGAAAGGATCAGAAAAAACGGCACTTATTCGGATTACTTGATAAACGTTTTTCCTACCAAGACGTTCCCAAATCACCACTCGATCGCCACTGGTTTGTATCCAGAAGTTCACGGAGTTATAGGTAATTCTTATTTCGACCAAGATAGGAGCACCTTGCAAAAAATGGGCAAAGACATGTTCAGTTATAATAAGGGCGTTGTACCGATATGGGTAATAATATTGACAATAATTTCTTCATTTTCTATTTTGCGAAATTTTTTAGAGGTTGAACGAGGATTCTGGAAAGGGAAGATACTCTGGTAGCATGATGTGGCCTGGAGCCGTTTTTCCCTATCAAGGCAAAAATATTACTTACAGACAGGATTTTGATTCGAAAATTGATTGGTACAAAAGGATCGATACGGTAATTTTTGCATTTTAACATATCAATTCTTATACAGAGTGTCCTGGGTAAGAACTATCATAGAATGGATTGAACATATAATCGTGTAAGGAAACATATGGTATTAATTATTAATTACAGTGTCACGTTATAGAGGTAGACCTTTTACAAAATTTAAGGAAATAATCAATAGCTTGAAGTTTAACTAGTTTTCAAGAAACTTCACAGGTTTCTAAGTGAAACTGTTATTAAAAAGGCCATTGTCGAGAGGTTTTTGCGAAATTTTTGTTTTGATTTTTAATGTTGAATCGGTTCCAAAAATAAACGACACCCTGTATTAAAACGTACATGTAGGAAAATTCCATCACTCCTATTATAAATAGACGCTTTTTAAATTCGTTACGTTAACGTGACCTTCCAATGATAATTGTGTTGAATTTGAAAATGCTGGTGTATTAGAAAATCGATAACAGGCTAACGTAGAAAATTGCTGGGACTAATTCATATTTTATAGCCTACTTACTTATTTATATTAATGACTGTAGTAAATTGTTTTCGTAAAACTTTACTTCTAGTATGTATAGGGAATGTCAGGTTCAATCCAATTATGAAGCTGAAGTAGAGGATATTTAAATTTCTACTGATATATAATGAATTACTTCCTCTTTGTAGGTTATCACTTGGTTAACTGACCCCTACAAGCCGGCAAATCTGGTTATGCTTTACATAGAAGAACCGGATACACACGCACACGCATTAGGACCTCATTCCCAAACAGTTTTGCAACTTTTACGAGACCTCGACAACATTACTCTTTATTTAAAAGTAATTTTTTTAGTTTTCTATTACTCAAACAATCATTAAATAATAATGTCTACTAGCTTAAAGAGACAAATTAAATGCTAAAGCTAGCCAATAAATATAAATATTAACGAAGTTTATTTCAAATTTAAGGAACAATTAGAAAAACACAAATTAGCTGATAAGGCCAACGTTATACATTTAAGCGATCACGGTTTGGTCGGCGTGAAGCCGACTAATTTCATTAATATAACTCAGTATATGAAGAATGGTACTTACAATATGGCCGATTCGAGTCCCGTTCTTCAAATTTATCCCAAAAAAGGTACATAGTACAATTCATTCGATTGATAAACTTTCAATACTCCTTGTACATCTTCACAACAGGTTACCAACAAAAAATTTACGATTCATTGAAAGCGGGATCGCAGAAAAACGGCCACTTTAAGGTGTATTTAAAGAAGGATTTCCCCAAGCAGTGGCACTACAAAAAATCGACCAGATCGCCTCCTATTCTGGTTATGTCCGATGTCGGTTACGCCATGGACGATTTGATCGAAAGCGCTCCATTATACGCCAAAGCTTACAATTTCACTCGTAAGTATTAACAGGAGATATATTAGAAATTGTTCTTCATTCCTTTGCCTGTTCCAGTAACAAACAATTCCGAATTTGGTGTGCACGGCTACGAAACCAACGTCACCGAAATGCGTCCATTCTTCATGGCCAGAGGCCCTAAGATCAAAGTAGGGCATAAAGTAGCCCCGTTTCACACCGTCGATCTCTTCAATCTATTCACGAAGATTTTGGAGATTCCTCATTTGCCTAACAACGGTTCGATGGGCAACATTGTGGAAATATTAACGGAGAAACCAGCATCGCATACCTTCGGTTCCATATTGGTCGTCACCGGTAAGTTATTTAATAATTCGTTCTTATTGCTTTAACCTCGTAGCACGTGCAAGTTTACATTTAAAATATTAATCCGTAATTTGTTAACAACATACTTTTATTATGCTAATAAATTGATTGGTTTTCGATGGTTATTTGCTGGATGTTTTACCGCTTTTTAATTACATTTTTATTTTATAGCTAAAGAATATCTGCGTGGCTTATGGAAATACGTCATTTAATGTGCTTTATAAGTAATTGCGATGGTTTTAAAATATTTGTAACAAGAATTATACAAATTCGATTAATTGCTTAGAAGAATCAAGAATCAAGAATTAATTAATTGTTTGTGTAAAAACGCTTTATTGCTAATCCTTCTAGAGTCATATAAATACCGGTGTTAAGGCAATATTTAATTGACTCTGGAATTATTACACGCACCCTAAATCCTGTACAATAAGAGACGAGTTTAGTAAAATTTCCCGGCACGTTTTCTAAATTTTCTTTCGCTTTTTTTCCAGCCGTAGGCGTCTTGATAGCCGTGTTGATCGTAAGCGCGGCCGCCTCGATCGCGCTGGCCATCGTCAAAAGACAGCAGACGATCGCGACGGCGGCGGCGCTCAACAAGCGGTTTCCGCAGACGTTCGTTCGAAACGACGCCGTCGAGGTGCAGCATCTCCTCGAACCCGAGGACGCCTAAACATGGCCGATATAAGAGGTCGTCCCGACGTAGCAAATGCGAATCTCGCAACGAGGTTCGTCGTTGTCGTTGCCAAATTTATTGGTTTATAATTCGCGAAATCGCTTCATTATTATTATTACTATTGTATTTCGAGGTGGAAGGTACTTCGAGTTGTCGAGAGCGAAACGAATGTAGTAAGATGGTAGACTGGAAGGTTGCCGGAATGTAGAGAGATTGTCACCGAATTGGTATTGTTAAATAAATGTAGTGACGAAATTATTAAAGCCGATTTCAATTGAAGTAGAGTAAAGGTGTGTTGTATTTTGTAAGTTTAATATTCCTGGTGTCTTAGATTCATTAATGGCTCAAGTGGATTCGAAAAGTTTCCTGTTGCTTTTACTATTTTTTTTCTGATGATATTTTCGTCCTTCCTCGGTTTGGTCGGTAGTTTAAGCCTAGTGTATTAGTCCAAAATCCAGCAATTTCCATAAAAGAAAAATGCCTCTTTTCCTTTATTTAAGTATCTTCTTCTTAAGCCTGGACTTAGTTCAACCTCTTCCAGTTGCTTCCAGTTCCAGTTTCCAGTTACTCAGTATAGTGTAATCTAAAACAAACTGAAACCACCAAACAATAATGGCATTTATTTCCCAATTCCACATCTCTCCCGTTCGTTGACAGACTTTAGCTCGTCATTTACTTGTCAACTTCCTATACATCGCAAAAAAGAGCCATGTCGGAACAAGCCGAGCCCGTAGAAGATACCACTCACATCGAAGACCCCAATTTCTACTACGGCTATGGCGGAACGTTCAATTTCCTCAACGGGGACGTCTACGAAGGCGACTACGTAGCCCACATCAGCGGGCTGGTCTGGAGAGAAGGAAAAGGCACGTACAGGACGCGCGACGGAGACGTAAGTCCTCACGCCTCTGCAGAAAGCAAATCCGAGCGAACTTTTACCCCCAGATCTACTCGGGTAAGTGGTACAACGATCAAATCGCCGAAGACGAAGACTTCGAGATCACCTACCAGGACGGCAGCAAATACACCGGCCGGATCGTGAAGAGCCACTACGAAGGATCCGCGGTGTTCATGGCGCAAGAAGGGTTCCACGTCTTCTGCAACTTCGCCGGCAACAAACCCGATGGGGAAATATGCATGGTGGACGTCAAAGGACGCGAATGGAATGGTAAACTGACGCGCGGTACGGCCGAGGGCTTACTAAAGGAGGTTCTTGAACAGCGCAAGCTCGGGACTCCGACGCCCTGCTCCTGCCGGAGCATCCGTTCTACAACGACATCTCGCCGAGGCTCGGGAAGGGCGTGCTCAGGATACAGAAGGCCACGCAGAGTTTGGTCGACGTGCCGTCGGTGCGCAGCCTCAAGCCCATGAACCAGGAGACGCTCAACAAGCTCGAGATAAAAATCTTCGCCAAGACGAAGAAGACGATTTCGAATTTGAAGTTCGAAAATTCGCGTTGGTACCAAAATTGGATGACGTTCAAGCACACTTACGAAACCGTCGAAAGAAGAATTAAAAACTTTGGTGAGGAAACTCCTCGTTTATTGATTGAAATGCTACAAAGTTTGTGCGTGAGACGCAAAATTTCTAATCTCCATTAATATTTCTTGAGTTTTCTTCGAAATACGCTCCTTTACACTTAGACGCCTTTTCAATCATCGAAGCATTTTTATAGTCCCTTTTTGGTACAGCTTTTAGCTCCTGCGATAGAGTCATCTTAAGCATTTGCCTTAAGAAATCACGTTTAAAACCCAAAATATGGGACAAACTCTTTGTTAATTATTTTTGTCCATTACAAAATTGGCATAGCACCACTGAGATGAACAATCAATCAGCTGCTACAACCAAACTAATTGAGAAATCTCTGTAAATTGTTTGCATGCTAATTAAGAACAGTGTTACCTGCATACAGAAACTTGAAGTAGTTAAAAACATTAACTGCAGGTAATTTCGGGGTACTTTTTTGTCAGAAGGTTGCGATGGTTGAACAACAATTTCTAGTCCTCCACCTCTAATTGATTTTACAAAGTACTAATACTTTTAGTACTAATCCTTTTAATCAACCATCCTCTTTCGTCGACACATTTACAGGGATCGAGAGTCTGTCTCACATGGAGAAACAGTGGTTGGCCAAATACGAGGAATTCAAGAAGAGATACTCGGCGATAATGGAGGCGAGGCATTCGCAGAAATTGAAAACCGAAGCCGATTGTAAATTGTACGAGTTGTATCAGACCGAGGAGTTTCTGCCGCCGGTTACCGTATTCACGGCGTTCGAGAAATTCGGCGACGACGATTACGAAGCCGAGGAAGACGGTATGATGTTGCTGACGAAAAACGTAAACTTGAGTCTGCTGCGATAAATCTCCCGTTCGAAAAAAAAATGTATTAATAAACGTTTTTATTCTATTGCGAAACGTGCAACATCCGCGATTTTTTTAATCTGATTAGATTCGAGTGGACCGAGGCTGTAATCAATTTTGTCGATCTTGCATGGAAACGATTGTTATAAAATTTAAAAGTGCGCGGCACGTGAATTCCATACAAACCACGAGACGGTCTCAAATCGGAATTCTCGCAAAAATATAATTTTTCTATGAATAAAAAACCACTTTGTTATAAAATTTACCACCTTTTCTAGCGAGACGGATGTAAATTTGTCCCCATTGATGTGCTCTGCTCTGCTCTGCTCTGCTCTGCTCTGCTCTGCTCTGCTCTGCTCTGCTCTGCTCTGCTCTGCTCTGCTCTGCTCTGCTCTGCTCTGCTCTGCTCTGCTCTGCTCTGCTCTGCTCTGCTCTGCTCTGCTCTGCTCTGCTCTGCTCTGCTCTGCTCTGCTCTGCTCTGCTCTGCTCTGCTCTGCTCTGCTCTGCTCTGCTCTGCTCTGCTCTGCTCTGCTCTGCTCTGCTCTGCTCTGCTCTGCTCTGCTCTGCTCTGCTCTGCTCTGCTCTGCTCTGCTCTGCTCTGCTCTGCTCTGCTCTGCTCTGCTACACTCTACATTTTTAAAAATAAAAAAAAAACTTGCTGCAACTTAATTTGCCTTTATTTATTTCATATCGAATTGACATTGGAAATACTATATCTACTTTTTGAAGGGTAATTTTCGTATTGATTTAAATAGGATGATATGTCGCCTATTAATCGAATACTGATTTTTTATGTACAACTCTATTGATGTGTAATGACTAACGTGTTTATTTAATTGCCCGCTACTTTATAAACAAATTGTTTAATGGTTTTAGCGCGTTGATAGCCATCAATTGATTGTTGGGGCTATTGAGTTTAATTTTAGTGATTCAATTGTATGTCGCACGATTGTACGATGTACTCGTATGTAGTCGATTGAGACCAATTTTAGTGATTCAATTGTATGATGCACCATTGTATGATGTTGCTGCTTTTTGGATTACTTTTTTTAGAGCCCCTTGGAAATTATTATACAATAAATCGAAACGTCACAATTGCTAATAATTAATTAAACATTATGTCACACTAGGAAATATTTATAAATAATTTATTGTTTCAATTAACATCTTTGTGTCATTTTATAATTTAAACGAACAGGATAGTTTCTTATCCAATAAAGGCAATTATATTTTTTTTTACTCATTTTTGTAATGGTTCTAATGAAATTACAATTATTATTGTTGTATTTAACATACTATTAGTCATAATATTATTTGTGGAATATTAGTGGTTAACAGACAATATGAAATTGTATTGTAACGAATCCGTAATAATCGATTAAAAAAACCCTTTACAGCGAGAAAAAATAGCTGGAACTATTAAAAATACAAAACCGATAAATATTGGTTTATAATGGGATTTGAGCCGATAAATTTTGTAGTTTGAAAAAAAATAGCATGTCGTTATTCAATAGTATTATTATGTTTAAAAACGGATTAGTAGAACAATCAAACGTAAATTGACATGTTAAGTTATTTTTCGTAAATATAGAGCGAAAAATAACCAGGGTCAAGGATTAATACAATTATGTAACAAGGCTATATAAAAATGATTTAAAAATCTCTGTATACTTGTAGCCAAATAATATTCATGTTTACCTCATAATTGCAATAATTCTTGTTATACGTTTTAACGTCCTAGATACTTCCTAGTATCTAGTTAGTACTCATTTAGGTACCTTAACAAAAATAATTCTTACATCATTTTTCTTGTTAATTTCCTTTTATGCCTTTCTAATTTTTTGCTTTATCCTTTTCCTAGATTACTAAAATTCTACCTCTTTGATAAAAATTTAAATTAATAAATAAATTTAAAAATGTTTTTAACAAATATGCATGTTCCCTGTATAAACGGTTAAATTACTTAAATCGTTCGAACAGGATCGATAAGCAACTGGCAACTTCAAATAAGTAATAGTACAATTGTTTTAAGCACGTGTGCGTGCGACTCCAATCACTGAGACTGTGCTCTTTCCGAATTAGTTTCAATTTTTCCTATATGATCTATGAGTGAAACAGTCCGCAATGGGAAAATCCGACAAAACAGTGACCAAAAGTGATGGCAGCATTTTCTCGGGCACGTTCACGCAACTTTTGGCAACAATTAGCGGTAAGTAAATGCCATTCTAGTTGTATAATTTGGTAATTTTTGGAACTGCAAATGATTCGTTTGAAAATCTATAAATAGATGTATTTAAGTGAATATTAAATACTAATTCACTAATCGTTAAAATTCGACAAAAACAACTGGTTAAATTTTTCATTATTTCTCACTTTTCTACTGTCAATATATCGAAAATAGTTGCACATAGGCCTAGGATACGAATATACAGGGTGTACCATTAAAATAACAATCCAAAAAAATATTGTCTTGATCAATAACTCAAAAATATGATGCTCAATTCTGTTTCTGTTTTCACCATTGTAATCAGCGGAAAAAATGCTAACAGTTTGCTAATTTAACCGGTGTCGTAATTTCAAAATTATAAAAGTTACTAATGTCGAACATTTAATTTGGATAACCCTGTATACTTGTTAATTATTGTCTTTATTATCGAGCGAGTATAATTAAAATATTCACATATTTACAACAAAATTTTGCGATAGTACAGGTATTTAAAAAAATTCAAATGTTAATGAGTATGAATTTCATTAAATGTAATTGTTTGTTCCTTTTTTTGATGACTGAGTTGTTGAGTGTATTATTCAAAACTTTATATCAAATAATATACATACTATGAATACTAACTATATAATTTAGTAGCAACTATTATGTACTGTGTAACCCCCGAATAGATACCCACGCAATTTTATATTGTATCTAGTAATGAATTTTTATTAGCATATCAATTCATTTATGTATCATGTATTTAAAACAATAACAAAGTGCAATAAAACTTTGACAGACTGATAAAATTTAATTTATTCCAAATGCTCAAATTTTGATTTTACATTTACCCCACAACAATGTATTTAATTATTAAAATCATTTAAATACATGGCATTTCCTTTTTCAAAACGCACTCTACAGATAAATAAATCAAGACTTCTGAATGTGCAAAAATGTTATTGCCAATACACCTATCATTTTCTATCGGAATTTAAAGAATTAATAATTAAACACACTAATCAGATAGATAAAATTTCCGTGAACTTTTCAGACGAATAATTTTCGTGCTCGATTGTGATTTCCGTTACACGTTTCAATTAGGTAATTATTCTTTATTCTAAATCGTTTAGCAATGTATCTTATCGGGCGTCTGAGTGATTTTTTTGTTTAAGTGGAGATGTATACATCTATAATGACCAAAAATTTAAATTGCCGGCCTATCTGTACAATTCATTGAAAAATATCGTATAGATTATAACACGTTCAATGATATTAATTGATTGGTTATTTCATAGTTACATCATTGTACTTATTTATGTATAAGTATTGTAATTTTATTCAATGACTTGTTATGATAAAAAGCTCCTCATTGTCTAGGATTTACTCCCAATTGAAGCAATTAATTAGTCTAGAATGGATAGCAGGAATATGTCATACACTATAGGCAAAAATACATATGATATGGGTTTTTCCTTATGTTATTAGAGAAGTTTTTTAATTAGAATTCGTGTCGTTATTCCAGGCTCGTTATTCGCGATCTCCGATGGGATGACATACGGCTGGACAGCGCCCATGATGCCCTACCTCATCAGCGAGGAAAGCCACATCAAAACCACCAAATCAGAAGTGGAACTTCTCGAAACTATCCTGATGGTCGGCTCCTTCTGCGGACTACCCACCACCATCTACCTGGTGGACAAAATCGGCCGGAAAAAATCCCTGTTACTAGCCGCCTTTTCCTCGCTGATCGGCTGGCTGGTCATCGCCTTCGCCGACAAAATGATCTACATCCACGTGGTGCGCTTCTTCTTCGGCGTCATCGGCAACATGTCCTTCGTCAGCATGCCCATGTACATAGCGGAAATAGCGGAGAGCAAGATTCGGGGATTCCTGGCCTCCGTGGTGTACCTGCAGATGCTGATCGGGTTCGTGATCGTCTACAGCGTGGGACCCTACCTACCCTTCTACGTGGCGCCCATTATCGGCATCGTCGTGCTCATCACGGAGCTGTGCGTGTTCTCCTGGATGCCCGAGAGCCCTTACTATTTGCTCTACAAGAACAAGCACGAGCAAGCCGAGAAATCCATGGAGTACTTCAGGCCCGGAAAGGATATTAGTTTGGAGCTGAAGCAAATCACGAAGGCCATCGAACGGCAGAAAACCGAGAAAGGCGGCATCAAAGACATCATTATGGTGAAGAGCAATCGCAAAGCTATCATTATAATGACGGTTTTGAACGGCGGGCAACACATAGTCGCTATTAGCGTGATTCTAATGAATTTGCACGATATCCTAAACTCCGCCGGTTCGATTTACATGGACTCCTCTCACGCCGGTATACTGTTCTCTGTGATAATGCTGGTGTTCGCCAATTTCGCCTCGTTGCAGGTGGATAGGTACGGCAGGAAAGCCCTTCTGCTCTTATCCACAACGCTAACAGGCTTCTGTCTCTTGGCTATTGCGGTTTACTTCAATCTAATGCTGGCGAATTACGATGTAGTCAACGTTAGTTGGATCCCCATCGCGTCTGTGATGATTTACGCGGCTACTTTCAAGATAGGCTTAGGCGTCGTGCCGATTGTGATAACGGCGGAGATTTTCCCCGCCAAAGTGAAAGCCTTGGGGATGACCATAGCTGATGCTATGTACGTGATCGGGTCCATAATCAGTATTCAATTGTACACTTGGCTGGAGTCCTCTTACGGCAAGCACGTGCCGTTCTATGTGTTCACTGTCGGTAGTTTTTGTATCGCTTTGTTTATTTTGAAGTACTTGCCGGAGACCAAAGGGAAAACTCTGGAGGAAATTCAGTTCCTGCTGAAAGGGGAGAGGTACATACCGACCAGTAAGAGCGATCCGCTGATCAACGGGCAAGATGTCTGATGGTTTTTGATGTTCGAAATTGTTGGAGTACTAGAGTAATTTAGATAAATTAATTTGTTTTTTTTAATTTAGTTTATTACGTGAGACGTAGTTTTGTAAATAAATTTATTTTTGTTACTTGCAGCGTTTTGTGTTTCATTTTTGAATTAACTTAGATTAAAATAATTGAATCTATTGAAATTAGCTCGATGATTGATGATGTAAATTGTAATTTTTCCATAATAATTCAGTGAATTTAAACTAATTATTTTTTATTTGTTATTTTCATTGATGTAATAAGATAATTTTCTTAGAAGAACATGCATCTTTAAACTTTTATTCGTTCTAACAATGAATTGTATATTTTACATAAAAATTACTTTACCTAACGAAATAGATATAATATACTCGTATTATGGAATAATTCTTTAAATTCTTAAATTTTTTGTACTTCTCATTTTGAATACTCCGGCAACATTAAATCAATGGACTCGCTCTTGCGCTGTAGCAGCAAGGAAGTCTGTCAGTTGTCAGCAAGGATCAATAATCTGAAGGATCCAAAATACCACAAAAAATGTGAAAGAATAAACAAACAACTAAACTGTTGATTATCGCTTATGAAACACCCTTGGGTAAGATTTAAACTAATTATTCGCACGTATAATACGTAAACTGAAATAATAGATTTTTAGATAAATAATAACCCAATGAATCGGCTATGAAAAGACAGAATGTCCGAACACTATCCCTAGTCGTTTGCACCTTCACCTATCTCCTGATCGGTGCCGCCGTCTTCGATGCCCTGGAATCCAAGGAGGAGGAAAGGCGGGACACCCTGCTCAAAGTCTCCTCCAGCGCGCTCAAGAGAAAGTACAACATCAGCGAGGAGGACTACCGCATGATAGAGCTCGTCATCATCGAATACAAACCCCACAAGGCCGGCCCGCAATGGAAATTCGCCGGCGCTTTCTATTTCGCCACCGTCGTCCTCGCCATGATCGGCTACGGTCACTCCACGCCGGTCACGTCCGGAGGAAAAGCCTTCTGCATCGGATACGCCGTGGTAAACGTCTTCATAACATTCCAAATTACCCCAAATATCCCACGAAGTTATAAGGAAACGTTAATAAAAATAATTTGTTCATTAATGCTCTAATATGAAGCACTATTATATAGGTACTACAAAAAGGTGTTGTATAACAACGAGCTGGTTTTCTTATCAGATCGGCATCCCGTTGGGGCTGGTTATGTTCCAAAGCATCGGTGAGCGTCTCAACAAATTCGCCTCGATCGTCATCAAGCACATAAAGAAGTACTTGAATTTCCAAAAAATCGAAGCCACCGAAATGAACTTGATGTTCGCCACCGGCATGCTGTCTTCCATCATCATAACAACGGGAGCCGCGGTGTTTTCCCGTTACGAAGGTTGGACTTACTTCGATAGCTTCTACTACTGCTTCGTGACGTTGACCACCATCGGTTTCGGAGATTACGTCGCTTTGCAGGTAACTCAGCCATCTGAACTCGTTAATATAATATACATGATGGTTGGTTATTTGTATTTAGAACGACAATGCACTAAAAGAAAGACCTGGTTACGTTGCTTTGAGCTTGGTGTTTATTCTCTTCGGACTGGCAGTTGTAGCTGCTAGCATAAATTTACTCGTGCTTCGCTTCATGACCATGTAAGTACCCAATACTTATACAGCATGTCCCAGTAATACTACTACAGAATTCTTATCAACAAACTTATTTTCAAGACCTTCTTAGGAAAGCTTAACAACAACCTTTTGCTTGACATTCTTTCTAATACACTAATTCTTAAATATTAAAATTTTATTTTATTTAGGAACGCTGAAGAAATACGTCGTGAAGATCAAGACTTGCAATCGTCGTCTCACCACGTACTGACTTTAGATGGAGAAGTGATGGCGGTTAATGGGAAATTATTGTCGGGTCATCCTATGGTTTCCGAGGGAGAAATAGATCAAATGTCGGTGTGTTCTTGCAATTGCCTCGGTTTGAATCACGCCGAAAATGAGGAATTGCTTTTGGATGGAAGCTATTACCCGTCGAGTTTGAAGATAAAAAGGGCCTCGGTGTGAATAATCAGTTGGAATTATCATATTTTTGCCGGTATTATGTGCTTGCGCGATCTCCCAAAATCAATTTGACTTTTGTTGTATATTAAAGTAAAAACGTTTAGTATAAAATTGCTTTTATTCAGTGGTATTTCGGAACCTTAACAGTTTCGGGTATACTCAACAAAAATAATTTGCGTCACTTGTAGGGATAATGTTATTTGTAAATACGGGAAGGGAAAGATGGAAGCTCTTAAAAAGGTATTATTTTTCCTGTACAAAGCGCCCCGTGGGAATGACCGGCTGCAAGAATTATCACAATTATATTTTTTTAGGGTTTTCGCCGAAATATTAACACAAATTTGTAATGAATGACGTCAGCCTCGTTCATTCCTACTTCGAGATATTTCATCGGTACAAACAGCTTCAAGCTCTCTTTCAAAAGTTGTTTGGAAGTTTGGTGTAAACTTTCTGATATTTGTCTCTGCAAAAAATATCCATTGAATATTCATTTGGGGTTTTCTCTCTAGCTTAATTTTTGAATTTTAATCAAATTCATCGTATCTGTAAACTCGAAAACATGACTGCTACTACAAAGAGCTTTACCACAGAAAGGAGTCTGACTTTGATTTGTATTCGGGAATTAATTTGAAGTATTGAATTTATTTCGTCGACGAACTTTCTTCGATTGTGTTGTTCTTAGAGCTTAGAGGGTTCCAAAAGTTTTAATTTCAGGTATACGAAGAAATATTACAGGCTTTATGAGCGTAAGTAATCACATTTTTCTCTTTAATAATTCTATTCATTTTACCATTTCCATTCAAACGAGATAAATAGTAGGTATAAATTGGATAATTTTATTTACTTAATAGATAGACATTTACAAGTTTTATGAAAAATAATTTAATAATTTATTCAATAGTAAAGCACATACTTATCAATTAAGTGCATAGTAAAAAATTTAATAATTTTTCTAAGCAATTTTGTTTCTCAATCTAAGTTAATAAGCAAATAGAAATGAAATTGATAAGTGTACATCACTCCGAATCCCTCGTATATTATATACAATAAATAAATTGTAAATATTTCTCACATTTCTCTCAATAACAATTTACATTTTATGACATTTTTCATAGCCTACTTACTTCTAAATTGACCTTTACAAAGTAGTTGTATTTGTTCCGTTTACTACTGCCCTGAAAAAAAATTACATTTAAAAATGAATAATTTGAAATTCTACAGAACAATTAAAAAAAAATAGCTTTGAAGGAATATGTGAATTTGGGACACCCTGTAATCAAATAATATTTGATATGTTCGTGCATTATATGAACTCCACCTAAATACAGACAAGAGACGTCATACTTTTTTCCGGTGACAATTAATTAGAGATTACTCGTTTGTTGAACGCTGATAAATTTTTTATTACCTTATAAAAACATTTATTTTATTTCTATCAATAGGTAATTACTGTAAATGGAAATACCTCGTTAGCAGAAAACGAAGAACTCACCTACATTGCCCCCAGCAATTCCCTTTCCCTCTGAACCCGTATCGAGAGTATAAAATCGTCTTTTATAGCTTACAGCGTGAAAATAATAGGATAATAAATGCTGATTGTGCACGAATACATGCTAAATTTTACGAAGGATTGATGCAAAAGTAAACAACATCAGACAAACGCAGAAAACAACGCAGAAAACCTGCTTCTACAGAGTGGTCCCTTCAAATTGTTAATTGTTGAAATACTCGATATTCCTCTCCCTAGATACTTATTAGACAAATCGATAGAAAATTTGATTGGTATAATTAGATAGATTAGGAGCGGCAGAATCTCCGATTTCAATTAACAATACACGATATTGCGTCAGATAAATTTTCCTGCGCATTTGTAAACCCACCCTCCAATCTCCATTAAACCTCAAATACATATCACTCCTCAAAACAAAATTCCATCGAACCACTTACGTTGTATGCGTATCCGACGTCGTGGCGGCCCATTTGTCCAAAATTTTGGGCTTGAATAATTGCCCGAAGGTCGTCCGGAACATCCGATTCATGCAACAATACAGTATGAAATTTATGGAACCGTTCGTCAACGCCATGATGTCCATGACTTCCCCGTAACGCTGGTAGCACGTGAGGAACAAATCGTGCCCTTTGATACCCACGAACAGGGCGAACATTCCCTGCGGGAACTCGGTGATCAGGAACAGCAGCAGCACCGCTATCAGCATTTTGGTGGTTCGGTCCGATCGCCGTTCGGATTTGTTGCTGCGCCGTTTCACCTCCTTCCCGCCCACGGTGAGAGGAAAGGAATCGTAGCCTCTGAGCACCTGCCGCCTCTTCTTCGCGTTGAATAGAGTCCTCAACAGCCACACGCTGATGATGGTTAGGATGATGCAGGGCAATAGTTTTATCAGTACCGCGAACAGCCAGAAATTTATTTTCAACAGGGTTTTGTCGCTCTTAAGCTCCTCTTTCAAGTCGGTGTGGTACAGCGTGAAATCCTGCTCGTTCTCTTTGATATCGATCGAGGATATTTCGAAGATGTAGTAGCTGGGTATGCAAAGGAATAAGGGTAGTACGTAGCATATGCATATGGCTAAAGTGCACCTGGATTCCGAACATAACGTGTGGTTTTTCTCTGGATACCTAGAGATAGAAAATTTACAAACTTAGTTTTGTTGTTATAATATTTTCGTTTTAATGCGTAAAGTTTTAGAGCTCACCTTATAGCTAAAAACCTCCAAATGGCCAGCGAGAGCGTCAAACAAATGGAAATGGTGTGTAACACCTGGCTGTAATGCATGTGGAAGAGCATAAACACCGCACCGTAGTAGTAAAAATCCTTTCTATCCTTCTCGTGGTGATAGTAGTAGGCGAACGGAATGTATTCTATCATGAGCAGCATGTCGGCGACGGCGAGGGCGCTCAGGATCCGATTGATCGGCGCGTTGTACATCTCCTTCCTGGTCAGGACGGCGATGTTGAGGACGTTGGCGACGCTGCCGAAGACGCACACGAATATCGACGTGTACACATGGTAGTCGTTCGCGTAGGTGGTGGTGAGCTGCAATAGGGTGGCTCCGCCGCACTCGTACTCGTAGTTCTCGGGGCTTTCGCTTGACATAGGGGATCTGCTGAAACCGACAAAATCCGCCAATCTAAAGTTTTATTGGCATTTTAGGGCACTGGATGTTTCGGAGAATAAAAAAATATGATTGATTATTGGTTAAGTTTTTCCTCTGATTCATTTGCCTTGCTGAAGAAGCTATAGTTTTGTGTGAGAAGCTTGTATAAGTAGTGAGAAAATGTTCGTATTCAACTGGCAAATGACAGTAGATTTTATCTTAGTGATAAATTCATCTGCGAGTTCACAAATCCGTCCAAAGTCTTTTAATAAGCCATTTATCTTACGGAGGCTCATGAATATAATTTAAAACCCATTGATTAAAAGCTTTTAGTTTAATAGTTCAAAGTAAAAGTATTATAGTGGTACCAGAGATAAATGGTTACACTTTATTAAAACATAATTACAACAATACTATAGAATAAATTACTATTAACAAATATTAATTGCCAAAAAACAAATACATAGGTATTATACATACCTACATTCTAATTTAAATTTCAATTACCTAATAAGCGTAGGTACATTGATCGCTAAATTTATTTTAAAATATAATTGTTTCCGCGGTTATTGAGTGAATAATTCAATTTTTAAACTAAAATATTGATAATGAAATTAATTTTCCACCTGAGGGAACAGTTTTGTTAAAGATCATAATCATATTTAATTAATTTCGGAAATATCCAGGACTACATATTCCGACAATATTAGTAATTGGACAGCTAATTTGCATTTGAATTAATTGAAATGTTTCAATTATTACCTGATTATACCTGACTACCTACATTATTACATGATACCTGTTTGTCGGCTTTATCAAATTTAAACAAAAAAGTCTATTTTATAAAAAATACCCTATTTCAATAGCTATTTGAAATAACGAGCAAAAAATATGTATGTATTTGTGTAGCCCCAAGTGTTATTTCCTCCCGGGTGTATCATAAAACGATATGTACTTTCAATTACACAGTCAATTTCCAAATACCGTTACATTAATAATAAAAATAACGATGCGTTCCATTTTGGAGGCCCTTTTTGTACGAAATTGTCACAATAAAAACGTTCGAGTTATCGACCTATTAATAAATAAACATGTTTTCCCCTTAAAGCCGATTCCCCCGGCGGAAAAATTCATAAAAATTAATCGTGAAAATTTATACCGCGCTCGTTACTCGCTCGAGATATTAATGAAAGGAAATTCGAAAACAGTGTAGCGTTTTCCGAGCTATTAATTCCTCTTAAGCCCGTTTTACGCATAAAAATGAAAAATTCAAATTCTTTAGGAAGAATGTGTAACCGTTTAGGTGTGGTTTAGTCACTTTGCCTGAATAAATATTTGAAATACCCACTTGTTTAAACGCTGCTCCAAAATGGCATGAAGGTCTTCGTCAGAAAAATTCAGAATGGGAGATTTGGAAAAGAATTTTAGCAAAGTGATCCTTAATAATGTCACGTTGTGTTTCATTTGAGAGTTACATGTCGTCTAGAAGATTACTTGATGTTTCTTACATTTTAATTGACCTGAAAAATACAAAAATATTAAGGAAGTTTATACCCCAATGATGCAAATTATTAGCTTTTTTAACGCTAGATATTCGCCCTGGTTTCGCAAACTTGAGATGTATACAATAACCTGTTAGTCTTCTTAACCACAAAATGTTAGGTTGAATAAAAGGGGTGTTCAGGGTGGCTTTTCCTATATTTTTAAAATTGATATTAAATTAAGCAGCTAGCAATTTATCATAGGTCTGAATAAGCCATCAATGAAAAAGGCTGGGCTTGTTTTTGTAGCTATCAATCAAGATAGAAATTCTGGCATGTTGCGGATTAGCTCAATTTGAACTCAATTCGAACGAATCCCGTTCAACATACGAAAATTGTGAAATGTTAAGCCGATATTAAATACTTTAAACGTTTTAGCGGGAATTATACTGAATAATATCGCGTCGTGGATACTTTGTATGGTTTTTTGAGGTAAAAATTAGACATTACTGCCTTATATTTAAGTATATTTGAGAAATTAATTGCGGTATTAACTCGCTAATTTTCGGTTGTGTTAAGGGTATTACATGATAAATGGAGCTTCGTGAAAGCTTGCGAAGGATTAAAAATAAACATAAAGTTGTATAGAAGAAAATTTTAACTTTTAATGGAAATATGAACTGGATTAATTGGCGGTTTGTTTGTATTTCTAATCATACTGTTGATTCTATATAGCCCAAAACTTTCTATTTGTTCAATTTCAAATGTACATTATTTCGCATAAACATATTATGATAATAAAATAAATATTTACATATGGGAGAAATCGTTGTTTGGTACAGATAAATTCGTAGTTATATCAATAAATGATACCTAGTTATTTTAATCTCTACAACTATTAGTAGATGTACATATGTAGGTACATATGTAGGTATTACAAGTATTATTAATAATTAAAATTGTTTTTTGGCTTTTTAGTGCTTTTGCTTAAAATACAGGTAAGTATTTTAATGATCTCTTTATAGAAACATTTGTACGTTGGTTTTTGTAAATTCGTAATTAACCCAGTTTGCGAGCACATAAATATTTTTCGTGCGATAAAGATGATATTTTATGCATGAACACCCACTAAAAATTGTATTAATAAAATCGGCTTGTTTATCTTAGGTTAAATTTACGTACCGGTAACCAAAGCTTCCCTGGACAAAATAAAAATTGATGATATTTACACTAGGAACGTTGTTTATCTTGTAAATTAGCTGTAATAAACATACCTACCCAATAAAATACAAAATGTATAAATAAACCTGTTCGAAAAACAACAAACACGGTTCATTTCAAAGTAAAGCCTTGTCGAGCAGAAAGGGTTACTTCTAGTTATCTTTATTTATCCAGTAGAAAATCAAAAATTCAATTTTTGCTTGTTACGATCAGGAGAGATCGTTATATAGCCGATTTCCGCTTCGAAAATTAGGTAGAACGGATGTTCTCCTGTACCTCTTCCTACGGAATTTCGATATTAAAATGCTGAACTCGGTCGAATTAAATGGAAAAGTCAAATTCTTACTACCTACAATTCGCAATTTGTTCATAACACAATCCCTTGATGGATTCTTTCCCTCCTACATACTTCCTTTGATAACTTTTAATTTCTTTTTAGATCAAAACATCTCTCTGAAATCACGAAAGCTTTAAAAGGCATTAAGTTTGCAAACGAAAGGTATAATTATTTTAGAAATAATGAAATTGCGTTGTTACGGGCCCCGAAGGGCGAGGCTATTAACTCAATTTCCTGGAAGAATAAAGCCGATCAGGCCAATCTCTCCTGTTGAAATCCTCGCTTTAGAATCAACAATTTTTAAATACCTAAAGGGTAAGAAATCCCATCATATTCACGTATCATTGACCACGGATCATTGATCGAGCAATGCTCGATCCAGTGGCGAGATTTCTCGAGTTTATTGTGTTAAAAAATTCATTTTAAGCGGGTCTTCTGGTCCCTTTGAAGATGAATAATAAAGCTCTGCGCTTATTTAATTCAATATCCTCCATCTCAGCTATAATTAATTTTGTGTCATAATTTCGACGGACAGTGTATTTCAGAATATTCCAAATTTCATAGAATTCTGGAACTTTTCAGGCATCTTAGACGTTTCCTAACTAGCACTTTCGACTATTATTCACTTAACATCTACCATCCAACTAGTACAATTATGAATATCCAATTTAGTAATTAGAGGTACATAGGTATGTAGGGTGTAGAATTGCTAGAAGGGAACAGCCCTATTGCAAATTCCAATTGGCTTTGAAGGGATCATCCAGCCCGGTGAGTTCCCCAACTTTCCGTTGTCAGCTCTCGGTTAAGATTGACCTAATAATAAAGTTCCGCGTTTGCACGGCTTTAAAAATATTTTCACAATTCTTTACGCAGATAAGTGCGATTTACAAGCGGTGTTTCCTGTTTACATGATTTTTTGCCCTTTTAAAACCCTGAAAATGGGAATTAAATCGGAAAGCTGCGCCGCGAAATGGGAATAAACAAAGGTATATTCATATTTAGATTTTCAGTTCGTGATGTACAGGATTATCCTGGCCTAGCGGTAGTGGCACTTTATATCAAATCGAAAAGTTATGTTAGTTGTTAATGTAATTTACTAATGTAGGCACTTTATTACATTAAATTCGGCTATTTACTTCTGTAGATATTAAATAACTAATCTAAACAAATTATTCAATATAAACCCTTTTAGGTTGCCTTTAATTAGTTTAGGATTTGAAATGAGTAAAATTTCATTGTGGAGTATTAAATTTTAAGTAGTTAAGAACACAAAGTATCTAATATAGCAACCGTATTGCTTAATAATTTAATGCAAAATTATTGTAATCGTATTAAGTTATTAAAATTATGTACAACGTTGCCAATGTTTAAACAAATTCAAATATCTACCGCTTTATTTTCTCTCTATTTTCACTCTTGAAGGAATCGAAAATTCACAAGTATTGACATGTTTATAAAATTATTCAAGATTTTTAAAATGTCGGGCAGAGTCGCAGTGTATGTCTCATCATATTTTGCTAATTTCGTTATTGAGTTGACGCTTTTGAGAGCCCATTTTCATTCGTAATATAATTGTAAATTTTCCAATACGTTTCCGACTCAGAAAGTTTCTACTCGGCTTATTTAAGCTATTATTTTTAAAAAAATAAAAAAGGTTTGAATAAAAGTCGGGAATTTTTATTACATGCCAAGAGAGCTTGACAAGCACAAAATTGAAAATTCAGTAAATATAATGGTTCGGGGAAATTTTAAATAAGTAATTGCTTTGAAGGTGCATCAAATTTGTTTAGAAAAACGAAAGCTTCTTTCGGAGAACATCATTATGCATCGGACGGTCTGTAATTTGCTAATTAAGAATTCCTTTAAATTGCATATTTTCTATATTAAATTAAAACCTGACGCTCCCTTTTGGCACTATTAATGCATATACATTCATCACAATAAACAAAGTAGTAATTGCTGACTGGAATTTTAATATTTCTACCGCATATAATACATGAAAATAAGAGAATTTTTAATGAAATTCCTACATAGAAGTATATACGATTACCTACCTACACATTAATTAAAATTCTGCTCTCTTACAACTCTCAATATCACACATTCAACACAATCCTTTGAAGATCTAAAATAATCTAAATATAAAGGCCAAAAATATACAACATACATTTATATTTCCTTAACGAAAATAGCATATTTTTTATCCATAATTAATTAGTAAAGTTTCTATAATTTTAAAATATTATTTCGTATATGATACAATAAGAATATATAATCGTTTTCCAGCCCTATTGGAACACTATATGTAAATGAATATCTTGCCCCTTGCAGGCAATTTTGAAAATCCAACACCGCTTCTCATCTATCCTGTATTCTGCATCCAATTACCCACTCAAAATGGGCTCTGCATGAAAATCAATTTCAATACATTCTATCAAAAAAGCTTGATGCACCACGATAGCTTGCGGATGTTGTAATCAGTTTCCCATGTGTTTGAAATGATGTATTGCTGATGTAAACCTGTACAGCATTGTACTTTACGTAATGAAGCAACGAAGCTTTCGCTTCCTGCGCAAGTTAACATTTTTGAACACATTTTACAACAATATAGTTCGACCGAAGTTGCTCGAACAACTTGTATTTGATGTGGGTACATTCGCGGGAACATCCAGCAACTAATATATGAATTTCATGAAAGGCAAATACGTAATATCAAGTTTATTAATTTAATGCGCCATTCGGTGATATGTATGTGCATTCGAACCAGGTAATGTAAATTATTCAACTAAATATTAATATACACTTTACGATGTATGTACCGCAATAAATCTACTTACGTCGATTTTCATGCGGTTTTGAGCTCGATCGTCGAATTCGGTTTTCAATATGTTTCCTTTGATTTCGGCCAACATTAAGCCGATATTAAATCTGATGATGAAAATAAAATAACATCGTTTCTGAACTGGGTTTGTATGATGTTAATGTACGGTGTGTTTTTCTTATAAAATGGGCTTTATAGATCTATCACAATACTTTTTTATGGAAGGATGATTGTAGAAAGTAGTTAATAAAACAAACAAATATGACTTCTCGTCAAAACACGTAAAAATTAAAAGCTCACAAAATCCGATAAATGTAGTTTTCTTTGTTTTAACCAGCGTAAACAGTGTAATGGTTACAAAAATATTCGAATTAATCCCCACGAATATTCCCATATTCAATATGTCAATCACACGCCCGATTAAAGCAACTTCAATTTATATCATTGTGTTATTGTAAGTACGACCTTTACGGAGCTTTCCGTATTTTTAGATTGATTAGAAACCTTTAATAATACGCCTTGAATATTCCAAGAATATTTACCTTAATTCACCTAAAATTTGATACATTGTTCATACAAATTGATCCAAAAAGTTTTAAGGGATTGATTCGGAAGATTGAAAAGGGTCTTTCACATAATTTTTTGACCGGTTTAATTAAA